CGTACTTCGTTCGTTTACATATTGCTCAATCTCTCTGTTCTCGAGGTGTCTTCGGTATTGGCGATATATTCACGGCCTCTAAATCAGAGTATCGATATTCAGTCAACAAGGTCATCGATGTCGATGGGTGGGGGGTGGGTTTATCGATGAGAACTACCTTTCATACGCGTAGCATCGTCTTTGCCCAAGATCGCTTCGATAATTTTGGGATCGAACTTTGACGGATCAGGTTTCAGTTCTCCTCGACGAACAGCTTCGGCTTGCTTTTGGAGTTCTTCGTTATCGCTATTGTTGACTGCCCACTGAAGTAGTTGTTCCATGGTTGGTGATATGAAATTGAAAAACAAGGCAAATTTATTCTTTGAAAGCCGGGGTTTTTTATTCGAACAATGTGAACTGGTATATGCTGGAAAGGCGTGGAACAATAAATGATTTTCCTAGTCCGTATCGAATGTGCAGGTTGTACCATAAGTCTTTCCTCGAATAACAGCTATCATAGGCCCTATTAGACATCATACAACTTCTTCGTGTATATATACAATTACCTTCTACTCGCAATTCCACTTCACCAAAATACATTTTGATTGAGAGATCCACTTTTTCTCCTTCCATAACACCTGGCAATGTTGGCATAGGAATAGTAAAGTTGGCCACCTTCCTCACACCTGGACTGGTTGTGTATCGAGGTTGTTCTTCTGTATCAGCTGCATACAATGTGCAGGTCGTATGATGAGGGTAATAGGCGAAAAAGTCCTTGGAGACGCAATTATCAATGTCTAAGACAATGCATCAATTGATTGTTCCCTTTTTCTCGACATGATGTATTTACCTAATGCTTCTCCACGTCGTACATATACTGAAAAGCGGTTATCACATCGGACGCTGCCATCAGCACGGATAATCTTGTAGCTCGGAGGGTCGATGCCTTCCTCGAATGTAGTGGTTGTATCAATGCCATACCAATAACGAGGGATACGAGTCGTAACGACATTGGGATTTAAGCCAAAGTACACTGCACCACGCACCACAGCCAGCTCACAACGAGGAGGAACAGCCACCAAACCCACACGAGCAGCAAATTCTTCTTGGACGCGTTCAAAGAGGTAATTGGAAGATCCGAAACCACCCACCAAGAATACTGCTTGCAGACTATGTGCCTTGATCAATTGATCCTCCACCAATGCTAATACTTCACGAATGACAGGTTCAAACACCTCCTGCTTGAGTTCAGCGGCTGTGATACAGAGCATACCATCCTCGAGACCAATGGTGGGGTTATTGAGGGAGTCGAGATTCATGGCTGCTGGGAGAGAAATGAATTGATCTTCAACACCATCAAATTGAGGCTTAATCAAGTCAACAAAGGAATCCATCATTGTCTCAAAGGCTGATGCTGGGATGGATGACAAGTATTCCTTAAACTTCTTCTTGAGTAACTTTCGCATACGTCGATCAAGAAAGACTGAGCCACATGATTGACCATGACCTTTGGTGCATTCACGTAATTTGCGACCAGCACGTTCATCAATCTCAAAGACAATCAAATCCACAGTGCCTGAAAATGGGTATCATTTTAGCCATCAAATCCAATGTCATCTCCTTCCTATACATACCTCCTCCAGCATCACAAATCATGAATCGATCACCATGCCTGAGGTTGAATTGATCACATTTCTTTTCACAGTATAATGCTGCAGCTTCAGGTTCTGAGATAAGCATCAATCGATCACGATGGTCGGTCTCGGTAATAAGTCCAGCCTTGATAGCAGCTTCACGCATGGTACTCTTTGCCTTATCAGACCACATGGCAGGCACTGTCAAGCACTAGATATCCATACAACCACTATTAATAAAAAGCTTTGGTCCCCTCCCACATTCATGTATACTCACGTATCGGAATTGATGTTGTCCATAATTTCTAGCAAAGCCTTTCTTCAATTCATTGACCACGTGCTCATGAAAAGAACCAAGATAGTCGGCAATAGCATCAACAATCGTAAGACCATTGGGTAATGGAGGGAGATCCTTGGCGATATTCTCATCGAGATACAACTTGTATTGCTTCAATAGCACAGAATTACGAGCAGTTGGTCGCTGCATCTCGAGCCGAGCTGCGTTTCCCCACTGTGTCATTTGACTCGAGTTGCCATGATAGAAATTGAGCGTGGGTGTCTATGATGATGGTACATGGATTAGAGAACAAGGCCAGCCATGGATACACACCTCCTTGTACACACATACCTTTGGATAGACATTGTTGTTTTGCTTGGGCCTGTATCAATAAATAAAGTGAATAAGCTTTTCTATGCATGTACACGTTACCCATCGTTACCATCTGACAATGTCGACCACTTCGTCGTTCTGGATGAATGCATACGAGCAGCCGGAAAATGTTGTACCTGTAATTTTAAAAGTGAGTCCCCATGAACGTAGCTTAGGAAATGGCTTGTATAAACACTAACCAAAATCGATACCGATGACAACAGGGTAGTCGTTAGGGTTGAAGGGTCGTGCTGCAGCCACTGCCATTTTGGAAAAACAAGGGGAAGGGGAAGGGCGAGAGCGAGTGAAGTTGTGTGTTGGATAAGAGAAGGAGGAGGAGGAGGAGTAGGAGGAGAAGGAAATAGAGTCAAGGGCAACAAGTGATGGAACCCGATTTTACCGCAAATGGAACCTATTTTAGTGCCACACTCGTGTGTGGCGCAGGGTTATTACTTGCAATGAAAAGAAAACTCCTCTCGGCGCCAAGAGACTAACCAACCATCAACAACTTTTTCTCTTTTGGATCAAGGCATCACAAATCCCTATTCTCATTTTCTGACCTTGGAAAGCTATCATTGTTGTACCACCTCCCTCACTTTCATACGCTATCCTTCACGTGGAGCTTCATTGTAGCAGTGTTCATTATGCCACTCCTACACTTTCATGATTACCTTTATTACTAAAAACGTTCATCACGATAACATGCTTCGGCAAAAAGGTCCACTTTTATGTATCTCGATGACTAGGGTCCTCAGTGGCCCCCACTAGTAATGGCGACAGGTATATCATGGGTGCATGTTGTAACATGGCAACCAGTGTCGTCATTTCTTAACACTTGATGATGTCTATATCCATTCTAATTCTTAACATGGCAACAGGGGTCTTGTCACTGAAAGAGAAGCATGCCCAATGCTGATGATCATTTTCAATTCTTCCAGAGAGAAGGATCATGAATAACTTTAATGACAAGAAGGATCTCGATGATGTTCCTAAAGTAAGCACTAATCAATGGGAGTCGCCACTCGGTAGAAAAACATGAGACGTATCACGACGTCGTGATAGCAACCATCCCTGCAAGACGAGGTAGTAGCCATCATTGTCCAACCATGGTGGTACAAAATATGGAGAAGCCTTCAATTCACAAGCAATTTGACCAGTAGCAGAGAGCAATAATACATCAAAAGGGGTTGAATCATACGAGGTCAATGAGGCACGGGCCATTAGATGGTTGACATGCACAAGCGTAACACCAGCTCGTATCGGGGTTGCCGTTTGATAGCGCTGCATTGACAACCAGAGCAATCGGTATTACTGCTTTGTAGAACACACCAATATTCAACATCGATGGGTCATAGCGACATTACCTTACAAGCTCGTAGGGTCATGTGATGCTCTGCAAAGTGCATGACTTTGTTGAAATTGTTGCCCTCCCTTTTGAAATGCTATGACCAGGCGTGGCTTATCGGCGACTGAAAAATTTTGCCATGGAGGCTTGTGGGGAAGAGAAAAGAGACACGTCGATAGGCAACTGTGAGTTTCCTCCTTCTTCCTTTCAACGGACATTGGCCCTTCAACCTAGTATTCTGCACCCTAACTTTGACGGAATCATCGATAGCCGCTCCATTGAAAAGTATTCAACATGTCTAACGTTCCTGCCAGTAAGTAACCAATGGGCGTGTGTCATGTCATTACGAGCATTTGGTTGCTCATGTATATTGTTTTTGATAGTCTTGAACCCCACCGAGCAAGACATCCAGATGCTTCTTGCCGCTCAGTGCCATCTTGGTACTAAGAACGTCACCACTCGCATGACTCCTTATGTCTACAAGCGTCGTCCTGATGGTAAGCATGGAGATGATGGAATTTATTATGTGTGTGTATGTATATTGATTGACTTTTTTTTTATTTGAATAGGTATCAACATCATCAACATCTCCAAGACCTGGGAGAAGCTCATCTTTGCTGCTCGTGCTATTGCTGCTATTGAGAACCCTCAGGACATTTGTGTGATTGCTGCTCGCAACTTTGGCCATCGTGCTGCTCTCAAGTTTGCAAAGTATGTTGGTGCTGAAGCCATTGTGGGTCGTTTCACGCCTGGCACATTCACCAACTACATTACGCGTTCGTTCCGTGAGCCTCGCTTGATCATTTGCACTGATCCTCGTACTGACCACCAAGCCATCAAGGAAGCTTCCTATGTCAACATCCCTGTCATCTCTCTTGCTGACACTGATTCGCCTCTCACCTTTGTTGATATTGCTGTGCCCACCAACAACAAGGGTAAGCACGCTCTTGGTTTGATCTATTGGTTGCTTGCTCGTGCTGTGTTGCGTCTTCGTGGCACTCTTGATTATGAGACTCCTTGGGATGTCATGGTGGACATGTTCTTTTATCGTGACCCTGAGGAAGCCGAGAAGGAAGCTGCTGCTGCTGAAGGCAAGGAAGAAGCAGGCGAATGGAGTGGTGCTGCTGAAGCCGATTGGGCTATTGAAGGTGCCGCTGCTGAAGGACCTGCTGGTGCTGCTGTGGATTGGTCAGCTCAAGCTGCTGGTGGTGATTGGGCCGATGAAGGAGCTGTTAGCTCCAGCTGGGCTGATGCTGCTCCTGCCCCTGCTACTGGTGGTGGATCCTCGTGGGATTAAAGCAAGATTCATCGTTTTGACTAGTATCATTCAATATCATCATTTTATGAAAGGAAATGATAAACACAAAATAAAAATGCCAATGTGTCATTTTGTATGAATGCTAATGTTGTGCACACGTGAATGGTATATGTATCTTGGTGAATGGTGAAACGGAAGATGGGTGGTGCTAATACCGAGGACCTACAGAGATTGGCTTTGTGGCGTCAGATGGTTACACAGGCTGGAATGAAGTTTATTGGAAAGTGGTAGGCCAATGTAGTATAGAAGCATCCTTTTGGTTCTGGACATCTCCCCCAGACACAATCACACACACACTCTCTCTCTTTTCACTTACTCCTTTCCTTTATTTATACATACACACACACACACAACCATTGAAGGCTATGGGGCGAGAATCCGATTCAACAAAGAATAAGACCCAATATCAGCCAGCCCTCCTGTTAGAGCCACCCTCTTCCCCTTCTTTTGACTCCTTGTCGCACGATCTCGATACCTTCATTAACGAGTTCAATTGCACTTTATTCGATACTACTTTAACTACTCCATCGGTAAGTCCATTCTTGCGTCACTGCATTGCTTCATGTCTCATTGGACTCATTGTGTGCGTGCGTGTGTGTGCCTCCATTATGGATATTCCAGGAACAGCATTCCTCCTCTCTCATGAACATTGGGTCTGGACCACCGCTGTCATTTCAACAAGATGCAGGTCCTTCAATAGCACAACAACATGTTAGTGGTGGCACTGATACAATATCACCTCCGGCATCTCCTTCACTGTTTCCACGTGTTCCAGAGATGGTTGTACCACACCTTGAGCAAACCTCATCATCATCTTCAGAGCCAACATTCACCCCCTCAACTCCTTCACCACCTCAAGTCGCCATCAACAACGATAGTAGCGATGATAGTGATGATGCTTATAGTACTTCAGCTGCCATTGCAACAACAACTACCTTCGCAACGCCAAAGATTAATACTGCAAAGCCAATGTCCACATCATCATCATCATCTACTACCGTTCCCTTGACGACGAGAACATCATCGCTCGAGCGTCAACCCTCCAATCGACCCCCACGTCTTGCCAGCCTGCAACAACAACAACAACAGCAGCATCAGCAGCATCAACATTCCCATGGACCACAACAAAGCCCAGCTATCATGTCGCATATTGCCCAGGACTTTGTGGATCGTGTTAAGCAATTGAACAAGACACGACGCATCTTTTGCACTGAAGAGTATCCAATGAGTTTCACCGGTGAAGAGGCTGTGGTATGTTTTTTGTCAATTACGCTCAAAAAGGAATATGGGGATTCATATTTATTATGGATATAGAAAATTATGCGAGATTTGCTACCATCTGATTTACGACCCATCTTGTATCGCAAAGTGGCACGAGCATTGATGCACATTTCACCACCCTTGATCAGCCCTGTTTCTTATTCTGAAAAGTCCATGCGGAAGAACACCTTGTACGATTCGCCTTATGAAGTATACACCATTGTCGAGGAAACGATGGAGGTTGGCTATGCTCAAGGAGTGTATACTGCCATTTCACCATGCTATACCTATGGCTGTAATCCGGCAACAGGTGGATGTTATGCACCCATGTGTCCCAATCGATCAGCTCGCAAGTCCCCATCCCTTTCTGACAAGCATGTAAGGAAATCCCCCATTGTCTTTATTGCCTCACACACCTAATCTATTTTTGGTCTAGTCGCATTTACGTCGCAACATGTCAATGACCTCGTCTTCATTGGCCTCTTCTCATGATACGGTAAGGGCGGTGAAACAAATCTTCTCGTGCATGCATGCATAACCCACTCATCCGTTTATGCGCCTATTAGACCTTGTCAAGAGCTTGGCAGGCGACCGTGTCTCGTGACATTCTTCAAAATACACCTGAACAAGAAATCAAACGACAAGAAGCGATCCATGAACTCATTTACACCGAAGAGGACTATGTGCGTGATCTCAATCTTTTAGACGATGTATGTATACTAGAGCGGAGCGTGGATTGGTGGGGAGGGAGGGACGTTTTCTGATTCGATCATATTTTTAGCTGTTTGCCAAATCCCTTAGATCAGCTCAATGTATTGATGAGAAGAGACGAGGCCCATTCTGTGACAATGTCTTCAACAACTATATCGACATTCTCAATATCCACAAGGACCTTTATCGAGATTTACGCGATCATCAGAGCATGTGTCAAGCCAAATCTGCTGGCGGATTTGTTGACCAAGTGGGTGATATCTTTTTACGCCATCTTCCTCGCTTTATGGCTGCCTACACTCAATACGGTCCCCACGTGGTATTGGCCGAGTACGCTGTGAAGCGTGAAGCAGGCAGCAACATCTTGTTCCAGAACTTTATACGAGAAAAGGAACGCCAAGCCGAATGTCGCAAATTACCTTTCCGCCATTTCATTGTCTTACCAGTCACTCGACTTCAGCGCTATCCATTATTGATTGATGCCGTCCTCAAACGCACCCAAGATGATCATCCGGATAAAGATGACCTCGCCCAGTGTCTCGACGTATTGCGGGAGATTGGTGCCCATGTTGATGAGCTTGCATCTGCAAAACGTATGACCATGCATATCTATGAGATCAACGACAATCTTAAATTCAAGCCTGGAGACCCTGTCTATGATTTGCAATTAGCAGCACCTGGTCGAAAGTTGCTTCATGAAGGAACATTGACACGACGTACGCATATGGGTGTGGAGGCTGTTGAACATCACTTTTTCTTGTTTGATCATTTACTGCTCATCACCAAGCGCAAAGGCAACAATGATTATGTCTTGTGGAGGAAGCCAATCCCTCTTGAATTGCTGCATATGCGAGATGGTACCGAAGGTTTCTCTTTGGGTATGCGTACATTGACCAATACATCAACATTCCCACCTACGCCAGGAAGCCTACCCCAACAACACATGATGTCTCCCGCTACTTCACTCACAATGAGTCCCACCAATCTTAGTCCTGCCACCACCATGACACCCATCACACCACCTTCATCATCATCCACTTCTCTCATCATTCAGCATCTGGGTCGCCATGGTGACGATTATTTGTTTTATGCACCATCAGCACAGCAACGTATGGAATGGAAGCAAAAGATCGTCGAGGCCAAGGAAGCCCTTGAAATGGCATTCCCTGAACGTCGAGCATTCGACATCCGATCATTGAGTGATACGACATTTGCATTGACAGGGGGTCCTGCCAACCATGGCAAGGTGACTTGCAGCACTGCATTTGGTAAGAGAAAGTGCTTCGCTTTGTTTGTGTAGTTTGCTGATGCATGAATCTCTTTTTAGTGGGTGCACGTGGTATTCGCATGGTAGCCATTGGCACAGAAACCGGTGTATGGATGGGTATCGAAGGAGACACCAACAACTTGCGCAAAGTCTTGCCAACCGATTATGTCACTCAAATCGGTGTTTTGGAAGAATACCATGTCTTTTTGGTACTTTCAGGTAAAAAGGAAAAAAGGGGGCGAGCGTGATGCATGTACTAGTAGTAGCAGTAGGACTTATCCTTCTATGTAGATAAAATGTTGATGGCTTACCCCTTGGATGCTCTCGATCCTACTGCTTTGAACAAACCCGCCGAGCGTGCCTCTTTCAAGGTTGCAAGTCATGTGTCATTTTTCAATACCGGTGTCTGCAACAATCGAACGCTTGTCATTGTCATGAAAAAGAAGGGTCTTGATAGCTTGTTCCGTACGTACGACCCCGTTTGTGGTGATTTACGTGATCCCCGTAATTCCAAATTCCTCACTACCAAGACCAGCTTTTTGAGCAAAGCACCTGCATGGTTCAAATTGTATCGGGTAAGTGTCAAGGGTTAAAAGCCATGATGGATCTTGAAAGTTCTCATTCGTTTTTCATTTCATTAGGAGTTTTACATTGGTGCAGAGGCAACATCGGTGCAATTCCTCAAGGCTCGTTTGGCCGTGGTGTGCTCGCGTGGTTTTGAGATCATTGATTTGAATCGACTCAACATGATCCATAACTTGCCAGAGCTCCAAGACCCCGACTTTTCATTTGTACAGCAACGATACGATAATCTTGTTCCATTGGGCATGTTCCGATGCCGTGATCATTACTTGCTTTGCTACAATGAATTCGCCTTTATGGTTGATATGCATGGCAAGTACAAGTATGGCAACTATCAACGGTAAGTGGTTTTCATCAACATCTTCAATGGTAGTAGGATGATGGTATTGATGATTGGGGTTATTATAGGATTGATTGGGAAGGTTCACCAGAATCAGTTGCGTTTTCCTATCCATATGTCATTGCATTTGATTCACGGTTCATTGAAGTCCGGCACGTGGAAACGGTAAGAGTCTTCTATTCACGAACGTCTAAGAGAAACAACGGGATAATGACCATGCGTACATTATAGGGCCAACTCGTTCAAGTACTTGCAGGAGAACATATGCAGTGCTTACAATACAAGCAAAATGCCATTACACCTCCTGTTGTTCATGGCAGCATGGCACATCCATTCAAACACGGTTATCAATACGTTTTCCATTTGGCTGGTGTATTCGAACCATCACTCATTTGGCAGTAATCATTTCCTATTCTTGTTTTTATTCCCATACGCACACACACGCACACATCCCACTCATTTCTGCATACTTCACGACAACAACACTCCATCCATCAAAAAAGAAAAACACATGTTTCCTTGGTATATTACAATTTACGTTAATACAAAACTAGAGTAGCTTAAGCTCAAAGATCATTTCATTGCCCGTAATACGATCATCCATCACGCAGTGAATAGTGTTGTGTGCATCAGGTTTTAGACAGCGGATATTGGTGCCGGGGATAATTTGTAAGAGATGGCCCTATGGATATAGGTTAGCTGGATCATGCTCCTCCATTCCCATCCATGTTACGATGTATGTACATACCGTGTCCATGTGCCGCACTTCAACAAACGTAGGCTCAAAAGCAATAATATAAGGGAATCTATATGCGAATGACACGGGGTTACCCTCCCAGGTAATCATCCAGTCCTCGTGAACCCGCCTTCCCTTCTTATCGATATAAAACGCGATTTCTATTGAATGGGGGTCATATCAATGTTGGTATTCTTATAAAGCGTAAACAACTTACCATTATAACAAAGAAGGATGTTGCCATTTTCATGACGAAACATGGAGATCGGCTTCAGGTTTTCGCGTTGAGTGATAGCATAATGGCGTTCATCGCTTGGATCAAGTACACCTATCATAGGCATGTATTTGTGAGCTAAGGAACCTTCTACATGTACAATGCTACACACTTACTTTGTACCTCTGTCGATGCTAAGTCGACCATTTGAAATCCCTTGGGACATCCCACGCAAATAATATTGCGAAAGAATTGAATCGAAGAAGCTACGCCGGGAATGTACCTGCATATTACCCAAATCTTTATGAGTCATAAAGTAAAAGCTTCCCATCCCTCTATCATCACTTACAAGTCCTTGTATACTTTGAGAGGATCATTGGGATTGCTGCGTATCAGTCTTCCAAGGTGATTGTGTTTCTTTTTTGGATCCAAAGTTTCATGCGGCTCCAAGGCACGGATGGTGGATGACATTGCATTTTGCCGTACAAAGCACACAAGGGTCTTTTCACTGATTTTGCTATCTTGGATCTTGCCAATCTTGAAAAATGACACGTGACTACTGATTCTTCGTCCACGTCGATTAGCTGCTGCTGCTACTGCTGCCGAGGTGGTGTTGGTGGTAATGTTAAGTTGTTGTTGTTGATGTTGACCACCCTCCGGTTCAGTCAATAGCGTATCCAAGGAATAAGAGTAGAGCACCTTGTCAGCCAACACCAAAATGATGCGATCGAGAATATCAATTTGGGATACTTTTTCAATGGCCAAAATGCGTACGAGACCACCTGTGTCTTTCAAGACATAGACACCTTGATCGCTTCCAAAAGCAATGGATTTGCCATGATCAAATACAGCTGCACATCGTACACGGTTGAATGCGCTGAAAAAGGTATCATTCACAAGAACTGGTTCAAGTACACGTGTCTGCTCTCGTAGCTCTTGTTGTTGCTGCTGGATCTTGGTAATCCATTGTCGTCGGATAGCCATAGTGGCCGCATAAAGTGTGATGGTTGTGCCAGCACCATGCTTGCCAAGATACGAAAAGCTAAGTGGGTATCCACTCTTGGTAGTGCTCGAATGATTCGCTGTTGATGTTGTTGGAGTAGTAGTTGTAGGGTTGCTTGCAGTGGTGGTATTGGAGGTTGAGGGTCGTGGTGATGGTGGGCTAATGCTATCAAGACTGCCAATGGATGTGAATGAATCTTTGCTGCTACGGCTATATGGAAGAATTGAACTGGCTCGTTTGGCTTGATCAGGCAGTGACAATAAAAGCAGCATCAATGGTATAGGCTATTGGATCATTGTGAGTAGAATGAACATCATCACCACCACCACGTGCTTGTTTACCTTGCGATAGAATTTACACTGCTCCACATTGTTGATCACCTTTTGCTTGATGATGACAAGATAATGGTCAAGCAAAAATAAATGCACATCGGATGCCTCAGAGCCTGATCCTTTCTTCTTAAGTGTGCCTTTCATAACAAGTTGTCGTCCTTCATCTTGTAGTCCAAGATCAACCATATCAGCTGCATGACGATTGATCAATCGCTGGTTCAAAAGGTGTAAGCTGTGCTTGCTTTCCATCTTGCCCGTTTCACGGTTGACTTTGGTGAGATAATCTCCAATGATTGTCATGGCTTTTTCCAGGTTGCTATGATCAGGATGATCGGGTGGTGTGTGCTTGACAATCTCGCGCAAAAGCAAGTTGTAGCGTCCAAGTCGTGTGGTGGGCTTGGTCAAGTAACCATTCAATTCCAATTTTCTAGAATGCTTGAGGCGTTCTGTTTTCTGTAAAAGAGGCATATCGCTATTAGCATTACACATGTCAGTGATATAAAGGGACCATAACACATACCTGTACAAACATCGTGAATTCAGGGTTGGATGATTTCTCGGATTCAAACACGTATTTGCCAATGACTTGGTGGGCGCCGTATCGTACGAAAGGCTCGAACTTCTCCACGTACTTGAGCATAACATCACCCACTTGGAAAACGGTTGGCCCAGCTGCTTGTCTTCTGAGGAGTGCTTGCAATAATGAAGAATTGACCTTGTACACATCCATCACATTCCAAAAGACTTGCTGTACGAATTCACGTCGCTCTTCTTCATAGGGTGAGATAATAGGCTCGTCTAGCAAGGGGTTGATCCAGAACTATAAATAACATGTCAATGAATATAAATAACTAGGTTTGACATCTTGCGTGTACTTACATTCTTGAGGTACATGAGGTCATCCACAAAGTCCTTCTCGGTATAGATAAGCTCGTAAATGTTTTCTTGTCGTCGAATCTCATCCTTTGTCATTGATTCAATCAGTGACCTTGGCACTGTGCGAATCCATAATCGGTCTTCCTGTATAAAGACATTAGCGTTTTGCGTGTAGGGATTCATTTCAATGTACCTTTTCAGCCAATAATGATGATTTGCTACTTGATCGAGCGTGTCGACTCCGAGAGCTACGAGCCTATAACATATCCATGCATACATAAATGGCCTGCTGAGTAGCAGTATTGTGATTTGTACATTACCTGTTCAAGACGACGAGGGCAAGATGGGCTGTAGCAGAGTGCTTCACGTGAACATGTAGGCGAATAACAATCGGTCAACACGGTGAACACGCCATTGGGAAGAGTATCATCACGGCTGCTGGAGGGGTTGGATGACGTCGATGTGGTGGCGGTGGGGAAGTTGGCTACGTCTGAACGATGATCTTCGATGTCTTCTGGTTCAGTGGGTACTGGGCTGTTGGGAACGGGGCTATCAGGTGCAGCATTACTTGAAGATTGGATTGCATTGATACGCTCTTGAAATTGGTATAGCTCATGCCTCGAATCACGTAGACGATGCTCATAATTGACGTCATGGAAGAATTTTTGTGCATCCAATGCTCGACCCAAAAGTACTGCTAGATTACGATCCGTCGTCTTGATAATGTATGCCAACTTGTCCTAATGTAACGTGTCTATCTTAGCCCGTCGATTTTTCACAAAGTAGAAAAGTAATCTTCTTCTTACCACTGCTTCACGTCCATCAAATGCATTTTGATACTCGATGCTATCTTTCATCCGAGGACCCACCGTAACACGATCCCTGAATGCCTCGGCTACTTTGGATAACAAAGCTGGATACACCAAAGGGATACGCTCCTTCATGATAGCTGCTGCTGCTGATGTTGCTGATGACGTGCTATTGATAGTCGAGTCGTTGGTAGTAGTACTTGTCAAGGTTGGATTGCTGAAAGAGAATGAATGAGAACGTTCTCCACATAATCGACGTGATGATGAAGATGAAGATGAGGATCGTTGTTGACCACCTGTGGTTGATGATGATGATGATGATGCATGGTGATTGTTTGCCAGGCTATAAATGCTTTCAGCCGAACGACGTAAAGGGATGGAAAGTGACACAGATGATTCAGGTCGAAGCGAAACACCGAGGTTGTCTACAACATAAATTGTATAATAATAAGCTTCCCAGGAACATAAAAAGATGCTCTATGCTTTTTTTAGAATATCCTTTCTCTCTCGCTCTCTCTCCCTCATATAAATAAATATATATCCATCACTCTACTCACTCACTGAAATCGCCGAGAGCTTGGCACGCATCGGTGCCGTAGATTTGGATAACTTTGATAACAAACTTCCACTGCCAGCTGATAATGATGCATTGCGTTCACCGGGTCCCATATCTTCCAATGTAATCTTGGGTTCGATGGTCGTCTTTGGTCGAAATAATGTACTTCCAGCGCGTGATAGTCGTCTTAAACCAGTCGGCTTTCGTGATAGGTTGGGAGATGATGATGATGATGATGTCGTGCCATGGCGATGGATTGACGTGTCTTTTGTTATTCTCCTATGATGTTGATCGTTTTCCCGAAAAGGATCATTGTTGTTGTTGGTGGATGTGGATGATTGTGCTTTTGAGCTCTTTGACGCATTCATGTTGATTGATGTGCTGTTGTTGGTTGGTGTCATGTTGCTATTATTATCGTCAGCGTCCATTTTCGGTAAACGCAGTTGGGTGTATGAGTTGGAGTTGGAGTTGGAGTTGGAGCAAGTCGTTGTTGTAGCAGTTGACGTGTCGGTGGTATTATTAGCTGTCGTTGTAGTAGTAGTGGTGGTATGTTGAACGTAAGAGAGGGTAGCTGATGAGCGGCTCTTTGGGTGCATGGTGGACAGGATTTATGCGTTGAACATGGATCGAGACTGAGAACGATGCAATGGATGAGGAAAATGAAAAGAGAATAGTACCATGGGCAAGGAGAATCTTTTTTCGTTAAACAACCCCCGAGACCTGACCCTTTTCTTGGTCGCTGGATCTAATCAAGCCGCGTCGTTCTTGTAACAGACGTCAAAGAAGACGCAAAAAAGTGTAAAGAGAGGAAGAAACACGAGTAAGATAGGCTCTATATCTTTGTGCTAGTATTATACTACGTCTGTGCCTGGTGCTTTGACGCTCTTGTTTGGCGACACAAACATCCATCTTGTGTACATGCATCCCATTTTTGACATATCTTTCCTTTGGCAGTTTAACATTTTGACTTGTTTTCTCAGGCTACAGATGTGTAATTACGCATTTCTATGTTTCCATAGCATTCATCATACGATCGATCCATTCATCAAAATACCCTTTCAATACATACATACTGCTGATAGCAGCAGTTGATCTATATCATCATCATTCTTCCACTCCATAAGGATATCCCAATGTTGAATCATGTAATCGATGTCGTGAATTTACATCATTCTCGTCTGATTTGCATCAACCAGCTTTTTAGGGAGTAATGTCATAAATTGCCATCGTGTTCTTCTTGGCTACGAGTGCAGCAGAGAACTTGTTACCCTAGTGCATGCATGGTGAGTATCTCTCACCCTGATAATGTCGTTTTAATCTCTTTGCTTTCAGGCACCAACGACCCGATTAATCGATGAGGGGATACAAGGGTCTTATATGCATGCAACTCTTGTGAGCTCCAACAAGTCGTAGATCCTTAATGAAATTTAAGGGGTTGTACAGAGAAAAAGGCGATCATGTGTTGTGAGCACCATAAAGGATGATGTCGTTAAGGCATTGAAGAAGGCTCATTAGTAGTAGTAGATATGTATGTATATATTGACTTTACAATGAAAAATGTCAAAGATGGATCTACAGCATACTGGTGGATCGATGTTCATGCACCATTGTATACTGGTAGTAGTAGTAGTATTAGACACACGCACAGCATCCCTTTAATGACCGTTTTTATTGTAGTCAGCCGACTGATAATGAGTACCCGTAAGTAGTGAATGTCCAATGATAGTCAAAGTGGAAATGCAGTGCGATAGAGGGGTCTCCATTCAAAGTTTATGCACACAATGGTGGGATGGTGGGGTGGGGGGGAGAGATGTTGAGCATGACACAAACAAGCTACTCGGATTTGATATCCCGCACAGCATGAACATTCTCGAGTGGCACGCGATTGCTATCTTTCCTTCCTCTGTTTCTTTTCTCACGTACGCATACGCTTCTGTTGGGTCGCTTGTCAGTACGCCATTCGGATTGGTGGATATCGATTACAGTCATGGACGCACCCGAATTACCCGACCCATGTGCAACTGAATCCAAAGCCAATGAGGAGCACGACCAGCACGATGCTGCAGCTTGTCAACCGGTTGCTGATGACGAGAGCGACAAGACCATTGCACCTTCTTTAATGAAGAAGCCAACCGAGCAGGATCAACCAAATGAAGAAGCGCGTACAACATCTCTTTTCGATATTCCTGCAAGCATGTTGACACAACGACATCCATCACTATGCAATGTGTATATGATTACGGCTGATCAATACGCAGAGATATACAGCAGCTACATGTCCACACCCTTACCTGATGACATTCTTTTCCCTTGGCTTCATGGCGTGGATGGTCAATACTACTTGCAGAATCTCTTTTTCGGTGTGGATAAAGTGGAAATACCCCGACATCGAGGGTTGATGGTCGTGCATGCAGATTCCATGTGTCCGCATCATGCAAGAATTGTTCACTCTGTGTTACCTCACGAGATTTTGGATGATGCCACAAGTGACGACGACCCTTCCTTTGCTGATACAAGTCGAGGTCCCAATGTCCATTTACGCAACTTCAAAATTCAGATTGCTCGTTATGCAACCATCAGCGATATCATTGTATATGGATGTGATGCTCATGCAGTGGCAGCACGGATCGCAAATGCACAGGCCAAGTTGCGTGAGAAACGTCAAAACGAAAAAGGCGAAAATGAGAGCCTCTTGGAGTATCGAGTGCTGATGATTCGAGGTATCATTTATATTGGGGGAGGGGATTGCATGGAGAGAGAAGAAGAAGAAGGATTAAACTCTTGTTGTATGTTGTCATTAGATCCATTCCCAGTGATTGAACAGCATTATCCACATCTTGTCGGCTATGATTCTCGTGGTGCGTGCATCCACAACATCAGCTTCTCGGAACGTGAACGGAAGGAGATTCGAGCTATGAGTGAGGCAAATGAAATCACACCCCATGTTTGGGTAAGAGGAAAAACAAAAGCCAACAATGAATCACCCATCATTGATACCAAAGTATTAGGTTGGCAATTCGAATGATGTACCTGGATCAGCTCGACCTTTGAATGATGATTTATTCGACAATGGCGACTATCAAAGCAACGACGATGATGACATGGATAATCCTTATCGATTTTCAATCTGCATCGAATCCTATGATCTTGCCGAGATGCCGCAACCCTCTTCGCTCATGTTGGCTCGTGAGACGCTCAATGACTTGACCAATGAAGAGCTACCAGTTGAGATCATTCACCTTGAATCCCTCTGTTCATTTACGCCAACATCGATCGCTTCATTTGATCAATTCTTTGCAAGAATGATACATTTGCTCGAGTTTATCGATGACCAAGCATGTGCGCATGGGAGGAATATATTAATCCACTGCACGGATGGATACAGCGAGACAAGTTTGCTAGTGCTTTCATGGATCATGTACAAGTTACGAATACGACTACCTGAAGCGTACTTGTTTCTACACGAGAGGCGGAGCTTTTTCGTACTCGCATCCAACATCTTGATTCTCCAATTGATTGAACATTCCATTCTCCACAATACCGACAAACCAAAAGAGATCGAATCACAAAAACGGAAACGGGATGATTACGATGATGATGATGAGGAGGAGGAGGAGGAAGATCAAAGCCAGCCTTATAGTCGACAACCAAGTGCCGCTGAAATACTCGACGACGCGGTGGATGCCAGCAGTAATAATGATGATGACCATGCAATGAGACGAGATCAACTTGACTATCCACCACCTATTGCAGATCACCGACAACTCTATGATGACACCTATCTCAACATTGTATCCAACCAATTGATGCCATCTTCAACATTAAAACATGATAATTGCAACAACAACAACAATAATGATACCCCAACAGTTACATCACCCATTCATCATATTTTGGAAGAGGAGGAAGAGGGGGAGGAAAACAACGACAACAATCATCCTTTTTCAGAGAACAATGTTGCCATGGCAATACCCGCTGAGGACAATGAAATTTGGTCACACAACTTATCGAGCCCGTTGTTACCACCTATCGATCCGCAAGAGCTAGCCGACTTTCCCTGGTTTTATTCAGAACGATTTGAAGGCTCTTTTCCATCTCGTATTCTACCCAGCTTGTATCTTGGCAACCTGAACCATGCTACCAATCCCGACATGTTGAAAGCCTTGCAAATAACGCACGTGGTGAGCGTGGGTGAGCATTCAGGGCTTGATCCAACCCAATTTCAATTGCTGCTTTTGGATAATCTATATGACGATGGCATTGATTCGATTCGCGGGCGATGGGAAGAGGTGACCAAGTTCATTGGTGAGTGTGCAGTAGCCATGGATACGTATGCGTGTGCTCATTGAAGGATTTACATTAGATCAAGCAAAAGGGGCCAATTGTCTTATTCATTGTCGTGTTGGTGTCAGCCGCAGCGCTGCCATTACCATTGGATACATCATGAAGCAACTTGGGATGTCTTTGGTACAAGCCTATCTCTTTGTGCGAGCCAGGAGACTCAATGTCATCATTCAACCCAACCTCAAGTTTATGTACGAGTTATTGCAGCTAGAACTAGAATTGTTCGGCAAAATGAGTATCCCATGGCCTTCACTTTGTAAGGAAATCCATTTAATCAAATTAGTTGCGATCCTTGATACTTGTAAAACACTATCCATATGTAACAATGAATAAGGGATTGCTGTGTATTAAACGACACTCGACAATAATCAGGCTAGTCTCGGTCTATGTGATGAAATTGGAATGGATCTTCATTGGTTGTGGGGCGACGTTTAATACTTACTCCTTAGAAACCTGTGGCGATCCTTATCATTATTATAGTAGACGATGACAATGGCAACGAGTGTGTGAAATAGTAGGCATGCTTAAACGGTAAGACTTCATTGTTGATATCAAAGAGAGGAATAAATAGAGAAAAAGGAGAAACTGTGTACACAGACAAAAAAAAGCTGCTGATTAAGGCAACTATGAAATAAAGAAAGATTGATGTTGAAAGAACAAAGGGCTATGTGCGAAAAGAAAGAGTGCGAAACTCTAGGTACAGAGAAAAAGTAAAAAGGGCTGAAAGTGTGTGAGAGAGGTTGTTGAGGGGGGTGCGAGATTAGGGTAGAGTAAGTTGTGTGTGTGTTTTTCTTCTTTTTGGGGAAATAGAAAAAAGTAAAAAAAGGAATAACAAGAAAAGGGCATGTTTCTACTGCAACGCCCAAGGGAATGAGCGAGCAAGGTATCCAACAAGCTGAGAATGTGTGCATTGTATATAAGGCGTATATGAATTGCGGAATTGTTGAGGATGGATGTGAGTTGCGGTGTTGATGTCAATAGGTAATTTTTGCGTACAGAGATGGCGTTGTCATACTGGAGAAGAGTTTGATGGGCATAGTGCACGTTGTTAAAAAGTGTACATCTTTTCCATGGCTTGCCTCTGGAGCACGCCATGTTGGAACTTTTTCAACGTTTCATTCTCCTGCACCAATCTTTCCACCTCTGACAAGAGCTCAGTTTGCATGTTCTTCAGATGTTGGATTTGTTGCACAGCTGTTTTTTTTGTGTGTGAGCACGTGGTATGTATTTTGGGATCATCATCTCTACTACTACTTACTGCGTGTAAGCAATGCAGCCTTGCTCATCTTCTTGTTAGTGCATCCAGGCAAATGCTTTCGTAGTTCATCGAAACCATCTTTGATTTGGGCACGTCGCTTTTGCTCGGATTGAATATGGATTTGTCGTCGAAGCTCAGCAGTGGTCATGCCACGCCTAAAGTTTAAATTAACATATAATGTTGAAGATGGCATTGAGCACTTACTCTTCAGCTTCCTTGTCAATCTCATCATCATCAAGCTGTGGCTCATCATCCAAGTCGTCTTTTTCCGTATCGGTGGTGGTGTTGGCCTTTTTCTTTTTGGCTGCACTCTCATCGGAGGAAGGCGATGATCGCTTACGCTTGTTACGCTTAGCATCCATCTTTCTTTCATACGTCTCCTTTGAGTATTCAAGGAATTCGGTATGATAGAATTCCATGGGCACCGCATTAGCACGAGCAATGGTCTCTTTAACGCGCTCAGTGGTCGAATTCGTGAAAGTGGATGATGGAACAAGTGGGGTGATAAGCTGTGGATGTGGGGTGGCAACAGCCACAGCAGCAGCAGCGGCAGCAGCAGTGGCGTTGTTTTGTTGTTGATCCAAAGCTTGGGTTGTCAACACAAGTTGTGCCGAATGCTCATGGTTGGTACCAGCTGCAGTGGGTGGTGTTTGAGGCGATGAGGTCGATGAAACAGAATCGGGGCTACCAGGATGTTGCTGTTGCTGCTTGTCGCCATAGTAACCCATGCGTGACGATATGGTGGGATACGCCATTGGCATCGCCTGATACATTTGTTGAAAGGCATAGTCTATTAAGGAGAGAAAGAAAAAAAAAAAGATCGGCAAAGTGTGTCAGCCATCGACAGAATATCATGGAGAGGAATACACATTCACACACACACACACACACATAACCCCTTACATCCACTAGACTCATTTCAACCCCTTCTCTCACTCGAGTATTTTTTAACCCATGGGCCAATCATAACGGCACCCTTTTATGAAGTCAAAACTCCGTGGGAGGGGGGTTATAACGCGTGCTTTACCTTGATAGGCGTAAGGCGGCTGCTGATGCTGCTGAGTGCCATCAAATGTAACAGGTGGTGGTGAAGACGATGATGCTGCTGAAGGCGAACCCATGTTTGCATTGAAATTCGACATCATTGACCCGGTGGGATAATCAGCAAGGTATTGGTTCGAGGTGTTGGAAAGGACGATTTCACTCATGGTCGAAATTGTTGTTGTCGCAAGGATGGTCGATAGGGTAACAATAGGATGAGGGATTTAAACGAGTGGTGTGTGTGTAAAAAGTATCAACGAGTGTAGTGGGGGTGTGTGTCAACGGTAACCAATCGCTCAAAGGAATGAAAGGAATGACTGGTGTGGTGGATGTTGCGTTTGCACAAGCAAAAAGCTGGTGAGATAGGATGAATGGATTGGTGGTGGTGGTAGTAGTGAAAGGAAAAGAAGAGGAAAAATGGGAGGGATTGTTCAAGTAGTTTTTGGGTTCTCTGCAACAAACCAAAAAAAAGGGAGCCAGCAAATCCATCGCTTGTGCAACGATGTGCAAAGGCTGCAACTTGTTATTTGCTTGGCTGGAGCAAAAAGGAAGGAGCGTTAATGAAGCACTATTATAAATTGGATTTTGCGCTTTGTCTAATGATATTTGATGGATCAGCGAATAATGTATGCTGTATGCATGTGTTGCCAATGCAGCATATCCAACACCACCCAAATACAAACATTGGATTGCCGGGTTTGTTGTGCTTGTAGGCAATAAAGTTATGCGAATGATATCATCCGCGCTCGTTGGTTGCACTAGCCTAGCAGCAATGTATTAGAGTTAGCAGCTTTTCTTTTGTTCACAACCCCGAACCGGAGCAGAAATCCCAATAAATGTGTAAAAAGCAAAAGGCTGTTTATTATTATAGTTTTGGTTGAATAAGGGAGACGAATGCATATGTATCCAAGGCAACCGCAGACGCGCCACAGTCATGGCAACGGGGAAAGAATAGCCCATGCCGGGCAGACAACAGCCCTGCTCCTTTTCCTATTGGTTGTGAATGCCGAAAGTATTCATCTTTACCTGCATTGTAGCAACAGCATCCGATTACGCGAGTGTACGCATGCCCTCCCCCACAACAACAACGAGCTCAGATCTATGACATGCAGCAATAGCCATCACCGCTTCCTTCTCCCTCTCTGCAAAATTTTCTTACTTGCCCTTCTCCTCACCCTCTAAACCCATTCACATGAAAGAATCAGCATTGTGTCAATGATCGATCATTTTCCAATTGTGGCGTATTATTATGCTTCATGCTATAGCCGACGAGCTTGTTGAGTGGATGAATCATTCTAAATAGACGTGTGCACGTGCATTGACAATCGTCTTCGTTTTGTCCTGGAGTGTTTCAATCACAGCGTCTCATCCTTGGAAAAAAAGAACCACGTAGCCCAAATCTCTCTTTTTACCCTGATCCGCAAATACAGAGTGTGAATGACAACATCCCAATCGCAAAGTCAACGTCAATGAGCAACATTCAAGCAATGAGTTGTGGGATCGGTTGATATGAGCAGTGCATGTTTTATATGGCTGAAGTACCAGGAGGAGGGCATCCAATTGTAAAGAGACGTGGAACAGGGCTGTGACACGACAGCATTGTGTTTTGGAATCAATCATCTTCAATCCAATCCTCTTCTTTCTCCCCTATGACATTATCATCTACTTGTTTCTATCCCTCTTTTACATTCACATTCAATGAAAATGCCTTATCAACATGTTGGGAAGGGGGGGCTAGCTGCTGACATTGATGAGACTCCTACCGCATCCAAGAGGCAACCCCACTGATAAGGGTGCTATAAGACCTGATAAAGAACCCTCGACCGAATATGTATGCACATGGCAACGCATAAACAATCCTTTACTTTTTTTTCCCTTTTCTTCTGTGTGTGAGAGAGAGAGTGAGAGAGAGATCGACACCACTAGCAACACAAGGATAGAGCACGATGCCCTTTCTCTTTCTCCCCCATCGGCATTGCCATAATGGGATGATGAGACCCTTATCATTTCGGGATCTTCCGAACCACCCTCACATAGTGATGCACGAGTGAAGAATGGTAGTGGTGGTGGCAAGTGTTGAAAGAACTACCCAAATGTGCACGTGTAAATACATTGGCTCCCGCTTCTTGCCGCAGGTAATGTTTTGTGTTATGATTGCACAAGCACATGGTTGCTCCCTCCCCTATATCGGATATTCCGCACACCCATCATCAAATAGTCATCGAGAAAGAGAGGGAAAGAAATTGCTGGATGACACGAAACTCATGTAGGAATGACCTTAAAAGGTTATTCTTTATTTATCGTCGCAATTGGCGCCCTGTGTGTTTGCTTTACAATGACGTGCATAAATTTTTGCTGCTTACTCGGTGATCCGGTCGCCAAGTATAGCTGTATCTGATAAGGAGCAATGATCACCTTTTCGCTAAATGGGTGTGAAAAGTGCCAGGTTGACACGATGGATACAAGCATGGATAAGCTACGCGATCGTCATGGCGTGTGTACAAGATGCTTTTGAATGCATCCTCCTTTGTTATTGCTGCGGTCCATGATGCCTATAGGCTTGTATAGTATATCATCGGTAAGAAAAGGAAGAAATAAATAGGTATAAAAAACAAAGACCAGGCGAATAATGGAATTCTGTTTGTGTTCCGATTTGCTTGTCAACGGTTTATCTGACACATGCGTCGTACAAAAATGAGCAAGTGTTTGGAAAAGCTGAAAGGGAAGGCCCGGTAACAGCAGCTACTGCAATGATAGGAAAATGATTCAAAATAGCCAACTCAAACGATAAGCTTCGTGCAACACCTCTTTCTCCCTCTCCTCCCTCTAGGCATTGCTTCACTTTAAACCACAATCATCATCATCCCTGCTCGCGTATATATAAACCCATTCAACTCTTACCCGTCAAATTCCTTGCTGTGCCTGTAACTTGTTGCTCAACAATCACACAATGACCTCTTTTCTTGTTAACGACATCATTACAACCATGGTCTATCATCATCCCCAATTCTATGTGACAGCTCAACATGCCCGCCCATCAAAGATACAACGCACTTGTGCTGTATGTGGTTCAAAAAACCATATGACAAGTAAGCAAAAACGCATGTTTTTTTCTTCATTCGTTATTAACACGCATATACTATATCGTTATAGAGCACTGCCCTGTTCTTCCATGAAATGATTGGCATCGATCCCGTACGACATGACGCTATATATATACCCTTTTATCATTCACATCTTCTTCCGTACACACATCATTCAACGCCGCAACGAAAAAGTAACATCATCCATTGCATCATTCCTCTCGCTCATCACAACATACAACATCCTTCTTTCTCTTTCTGGGGACAACAACAACATCATCATCTACACTCTGCAGTAGTAGCAGAGGCATCATGATGGAATCTGTATACGCGAGTTATCCACCTAATCCCTTGCTTTCGTTTCCAACATACAGCTTTCTATGGTCGAGGATTCTCTCTCTCTATGGTTGTGCCTCCATTCCTTTTTGCATGTACACACACACACACACACACACATTTTTATTTGCTTTCCACCATCTTATGATGATCTTCACAGTAGTGAACTGAATGCTTTCCTTGACATTCCTTCTCCTTCCTTCCATGGCTTGGCACCTGTAGACCCAATCACTCATTTTCATGTTTCATCTTTTAATAAATACCTCACACCGCCATTCATAAAGAGTGTTCGATAAAGATGCGTGTATGTGTACCTTTGGGGTTGTCGTAAGATTTTGGGTCCACAAAAGGAAACAGGCAGATAAAATTGTGGATCATGCACTGAGATGCACCGCTTCCGAAACCTTGTGCTGACGTGATGCATACCGTGATGCAAAAATCAACAAACACGGCACACATAAACCCCCTCATTGCCGAGTCTCCTTGTATCTGCTTGCCCTTGCCGAGTACTGTTTACGCGTATCCCTTTAAATTCATAAGCATGGAAGGATAAAGATCAACATCAACAACAACGAGGATAAGGATCAGCATGGATGCGTGTATGTATGTGTGTTTGTTATCGGGGTGGTGTGGTGGGGGGAGGAGAGAGAGAATGACCCTGCTTCCCGAGTGAAAATATCAAACATGCTATGCCCTTCTCCCCTTGTTTAGTTCAAACACAGAAAAAGCGAAATGCATAATATGCAACAATGGCTTTGATTGTTTATACCGTGCTTTAGCAGCATTTTTTATTATCTTATCCACAAGTTGCCTCTATCTTTTGGCCATGTTAAGGAAAAAGGAACAACCGAAAAAAGAAATAGAGGACCCCAATCGGGGGAGTCGGATAGTTCCGTGCGTGGGCGTGTGTGTGTGCGTTGGTGGTGGTAGGGCAATCATCGCACAATGTCAAAGTCAGTCCCCATCCCCGCCTGGTATTCTCAACCACTCATACAGCATAAATCTCGCACATGATCTTCAAAACAATTGAGGCATTTTGTACTTTGGAGTATGTATCCTTCATTTTATTGGTATAGTGGGGGGTCAGTCGTCGTCGGGTTCATTGGCGTATATGCATAAATCCAAGTTCCTCCATGTATACAAAAAGACAACGGTAAAAGAACAACCAGTGCATGCGCACGTCCCCTGCCTTTTCCTCTCTCTCTCTCTCTCTTTAACCAATCACCCCAAAAAGTCCGTCTCCGATCCAAAAATACTGCATGCAGGCATATCCATATTGATCGGCATTCTGCTGTTGTTTATCCTCTGTATTTCCGTTCATCCCATCCCATCAAGCTGATCATTGAAAAAAAGGGGGAAATACGAATTGCATCGATCCATATTACGTGTAATGCTGTATATGATGTATTCGAATGATGGGTTGGTGGTGTTGTCAAAGTATTACGTACGACGATGAAGGTGATTGTAACGTGGTAGCTATCTCTATGCTGATGCCTTTTGAGCAAGATCCACCAGACGTTTGAGACCAATGAGCCAATTCCCATGTTTGTCGTATTCAGTTGTCATCAATCGTGTATGAATTTCCAAGCTCTTTTCCCAATCCTTGTCTTGTAATGCTTTCACACACATACACAAAGAAAGTTGTCAACATGGATATTGTATCATCACACACGCACACACATCCAAATCCAAATAACATTACCTTGGCTAAACTCGCTTAATGATTGAACTACACGATCAGGGATCTCATTCTTATCCAGCTCGTCCAACATCCCATTGATGCGTCCCTGAGTATCCTGGAATATCCGCTTGTTGGGACCTGCCTAGAAGGTAAACAATACATGTCAGATGAACAACCCCCCTTGACGAAATAGGAGGAAGCTATTATATGTTGCCAATCATCCTCCCTAGATGTTACTCACCGTGAAGCATGGTTCACATTGACTAAGGATGGATCGCATAGCTTGTGCAATACTCTCGCGGTCATGGTTGTTGCTGTTGTTGGCATCGTCTGTAGCTGTGGCTTCTCTCTTTTTGAAAATCTAGGCATGGATCTATTAGCGTCTCATAAAGAAAGAGTGACAAGCAAAGGAAACGTACTGCATCGGGTGGATCGTTCTATTATAGATGAGGGAGCATTTGTGTGAGCGGCTTCATTGGTGCACAGTAGTAATTGGTCGCTGATCCCTGTACCCAATGATTCTCAATGGTGGCGTTTCGAAAGTCGGTTGATGGAGGTGGTCCTTTTGGAGGTGGTCCTTTTGGAGGTGGTCCTGTTGGTGATGGTGCCATGGCAACAAGAAAGCAGAAAAGAGCAACTTAAAGGGGTGAACACTTGACCTCTTGAAATGGCTATAATTTTCCGACCATGCTTGGACCTGGATACTCTGTTTCACCAGGGCGGTGCTGGTACGACAAATCTTTGATGCAATCATGGGCCCCTCCTTGTGAGCATAAGAAGGCTAGCTTCTCTCTCTTTACTCTTTGAATAAACAAGCATCTCTTTATTACCATTGTTACACAAGCTTGCTATTTGACATGTACGCTTGAAATGTGCGCCTTTTCCTGCAATACGCTTAATACTTCATAACTAATTCTAGAACAATTCTCAATATGAATGTGCCGTAATCGTGGACATGCAAGTAATGCCATGATACCAGCATCAGTGATGTGGGGTAAGTTGCTCAAAACTACACGTTCAACACTTTGCATGTAATGCATGTGACAAAGGATTTGGTCATTGGCTGTTGTTGTTCCTGCAAAGCGCACCTGCTTCAAAGATGCACATCCTTGTCCTAAAAGCTCCATCCATGTGATTAACGTACTCATCTTTTCCACCACCTTACTCTCAATGGAGATCGATTCGAGCGAAGGGATACATGCAACCTTGTACAGTGTTTCATCACAAAGACCATAAAATGCTCCCAGTGAAATATGTCTTAATGTTGCACCCCTTTCGGCCCTTCCACAATGTCGGTCGGCAAAGCGTTGTAAAGCATCATCGTTGATACGCCGCATGCTGAGTTCGAGTGTATGTAGATGCTTCAAGGCAATAAGTGCATCAAAGATAGCGCCATTCCAAGTCGTGTCAATAAAGTTGTTCTTGATGGATACGTGTTCGAGTTGAGGTGCACGCTCCAAGACGCATGTAGCTATATATTGAGATCGGCGATCTTCAAGTTCGCAAAAGAATGTGGTCAAATGCTTGAGTTGAGATAACAATGGTGTCATGATGCCATCCGAAAAACTGGTAGTGGTGGTAGTACGATGGCGCATTAACTGCTGCTGCTGTGGTTGAGATAATGCCCGATGCCAATAACGTAATTCTTGTAATGTATCATTGTTGTTTTCGAGCATGGCGAAAAAGTCATTTGTGTCGAGCTTAGATCCATCAATACACAGTTTCTGTAATCCAGGCTTGATGAAGCATCGATGGTTGGAAGCATCAGACCGCTGTGGTAGGATCGACAAAGGGGTATCATGCAAGAGCACTTTGACCGTTGGACAAAGGGTTGGGACAAGAAGCAATGCGCGTGGATCAGCTACTTGATCAATACTAAACACGTGGAGTGCGGGTAATCGAGAAAATAGGTCTTGGATTATAGTTTGATCCATGGAAGGAAATATACGTGCTAATGATAGTTTCGCCATTTTCGGGTAGGTACGTTTAGCTGCTGACATGTCCATGTTGATGGTTTGGCAATGCAACGTGGTGAGATTCGGACATATACGAAAGACCTCACCCAAAGCAAGCGATGTTTCACCGCTGCTGGATTCTATGCTGAGTTCTTTGAGATTGTTGCCAACATGGCCAAGAGCTTCAAGCAATAAATCAACATCGAAACATGATTGACCTATAATCACTCTTATGATTAGCATCCATGCACCAAGATTTTGAAAGGAAACCACGTACAAACGGCAGTGAAAGATCGAAGCATGGTGAAGATTGGTAATAGTTGTAGGTAATGTAAGCCATCGTAGGATAAAGTGAGGCCCTTAATAAAGGGCGCGTAAGATTCGAGTGCATGAAACGTTTCACTGGAGGCGTCGAATGCTGTCAGCGAAAATCTCAATTCGACACATGCACACAGCCTATCTCGCCAATTTCGAGAAACATTCAAATATGGACTTGCCGTATCATAGGAACGAATGACTTGTGGAAAAAACCGTGTCGCGATGTTATCGATAATATCCAGCGGCAACTCGGTAATAAAGTCGATGCATGTGTCCTGCCTTGATTCAGCTTCTGATTTGATCACCTGTAGCTGGTCGTACAAAGGATCCGCCAACGACACTGTTTGGAGTCCTTTGTTGCATTCATGGATGGCTGCAAGTTGACGGCCCTGCATAGTAAATATTTGGGCTGCACACAGGTAGCCTGATGGAGCATAAGATGCAATTTGCTTCATTTGAGTGGCATCATGCAATGCTTCCTCAAATAGTGCATTGGTTGCTAACGCCATTGCACGACGATTGAGCACTTTAAGTTGTTGTTGCACAAGATCATGCAGTATTTTGGTATCATCGACGATCGTGTTTTGCTTATTTGAAACGTGGGTTGATGTTTGTATGGCTGTAGCGTTACGGAGTTGACAACGAGGCGTGTCGATCATAACAATATGTGTCACCCAACAAGCGAGAAATGAAAAAGAAGTACTTTGAATGATAAAGTGTTGGAATGTGGTGGTGTCATTTTTGTGCAAGCTAAAGTAGACAGCCAATCAATGTACATGTTCCCAGGATTTTTCACCGCATAAAGATCTATGTCAAGGGAGTGCATCCCCTTGCTCTTGTGATTGTCGCACAAGCCATGCTATTTGCATTGACCCACTCTCATAGCTATAAAACGGCGGGGATATTGCGCATAATAAAACCACACCAATATGCCGTAGTTGGCATTTGTGTATGTCCCAATTGGCCGGTTTTGTCACATGTTCGGGGCAAGCATGCTATGAGTGATGATGATCTTTTAGATGATAAAATAGGCACGCGTTATGTGTCGGTACAATTCAAAATGACCGTATGCTATTGTCAAAGACACATTGTATATGATTACGCATGCATTCCTCTGCAAAATTGAGATTTAAGGCGCATGCTGAGCCATGGTGTGCGGAATTAAAACACTCTCCTATGTGATGCTGTGATCTCACGAGACATCACCCTCCCCCTGCCACATTATAGGGCTTTTACCTTTCGATAGCAAACGATATTTTTCCCGTTGTTATAATAGGATGATCGAAAAAGATAACCACGTTCTTGCTATGGTGCGTTGTGGTTTTTGAAAAATGGACCAGAGTGTTTGCTCACAGCGTTGTAATTCAAATAGCTGGCAATGCCCAAAGGTGGAGCTGGTATTTAAGCGATACACCACGATGCAAATGTCAGAGCTAACTTTTCATATCACTCGCAGCTATCTTTCTTAGTGTATCGACTTACGATGCGTTCTACAAACGTCTATATTGCTTTACTTGCTTTGACAGCAGCTATGGGTATGTAAACTACACCGGTGCATCCCTTCATGTATCGATGATCTCACATGCCAAAATTCTTTTATACAGCACATGCAGCTGAACCACATGAGCAGCAACATCGTGACATTGCTTTAAGCAACCATCACCACAAGCACAAAATGATGGATGATAGTGCCATGAAAGCTGATGGAAAACAGGATGTTGCTCCTGCTGATCAAGAAGACGATGATGTTGAAGTTGTCACTGTACCTGTTCCAGATGGCACAAACCAAAAGGAAACCAAGCACCAAAAAGTTAGCGAGGATGAGGAAGAAGAAGAAGAAGAAACAGAGGGTGAGGATGAAGATGAGGAGGTGACTACCACCACAGAGGTGGTCATGTACACTGAAGTTGCTTACGGTCCTCCACCTGCTGAAGCATCCGATGAAGCTATGGAAACGGAAGATGACGAAGACGAGGAGAAGACCGCCAAAAAACTAAACGTTGGCAAGGAGGATGAGGAAGAAGAAGAAGAGGAAGAAGAAATCAAGAAAAAGAAGAACACTGAGGACGAGGATACTGACAAGTCTAAGCAAAAGAACGTGGATGAAGAGGATGAAGATGATGAGACTACTGGCAACGCCAAGCAAAAGAATGTAGATGTGGAAGATATGCGACCTGAAGGTGGTGCACGATTACCCAATGGCAATCCAGCAGGTGTTAACCATGCTGTTGTCTCTGCTGGCACTACCAAGAAGGGTGCATCATCAGCAACCGGCTCTGCTTCCTCCATGGCAACAGCAAGTGGATCATCCTCTGGTGTTGCTTCCAATACTTTGCACATGATGTCAGCCTCAGCTAAAGGTAGTGCATCCAGCTCTCAAGCATCCCTTCAAGCTTCGGTTGCTTCCTTAGGCTCCAATGTTGTACCTGTCACTATGGGCATCTCCGTTGTGTCGATTGCATTGACTATTGCCACCTTTTTCTAAACCTTTACTCTCCTCCTCTTCTCTCTCTCTCTCTCTCTCTCTTGTAGACCATAGTAATAAAACCCTTTTCAAAATATATAAATCGCATTTTATAATGAATGAGACCAGCCACTCTTTTTTTTCTATATAGTCCATCTACTGTTCTTCTTGTCGCTTGTTTGACCTCCAATCTTTGAGTGCTTCAAATACAGTCATGCTGATAGCTGTAGTAGGAATACCCCAAGCAATTCGAGCAACCAAGCCTCTTGTAAAAGCACGCCATTTACCCTCTCGTTGCCACATGTGCTTGACAATAACCAAGGGTCCCTGTCGAAATTCGGCACCTTGTTCTGCTGCTGAAATCTGCCATCGTGTTTTGACGATATCGAGGGGTGTTGATAGAGTGATGCCAATAGCGCTTGCCACACCAGAGCATAATAGATAAGCATTCAATGGTAAATGAGCTGCATCGGTATTCTCGCTTCGGCTGTTCTTGTCATAAAAGTAACGTGCGTATGCCATCTTGCATTCTTCATAAGCGGCGAAATAGGTCATTGTGTGGGGTACGAACACAGCCAGACCCATCCAATAACCTCTGAAAAATCCGGGAATGCCTTCCGTTTTCCAAATCTGGCGAGCCATCGATGCCGCTGATTGTGTCTTTTGTGTCTGTAACCGGTTCTTGATCACTTCCATGGGTGTAAACAGCGTACCAGCAGCCACTTCAGCTGCACATCCTGAAGCAAGATGATTGAGCATCCCGTCTTGCGCAAGATATCCACGTTGTCCCCCGTGCTGGTGAAGGTATGCTTTCGTCGTCTCGTAACACGTCAAGTATACTGAAAGCGCAGGCACTGAAAATAGCAATGTCACTGGTAGTCCTCGATACAACGATCGCACCACTGCAGCTGGCTGATGAGACGCTGAAGGCTCGACAATGACTTGTTTGAGACTTGCCAATCCATGGTCGTTAATGGTGCTCCTCACTTGCAATCGCGTCTTGATAGTATCGACTAGTAATAGTAGTGCTCAACTTTTAGCCTGTCGTTCGTAATAAATGAGCAGCGATTATTGTTACATACTGGGGTGGGTGCATACACGAGCTGCAAGGGCGGCAACGCTCGAAGCAAAGAGATAATACGCATCCATCTGTTGTCGACATTAGAGCCATGGTTGACAGTTGAAGTGTATGACACGTCGTATTATGTTGAAGGGATCCAATGAGAGAGGGAATGGCAAAGGAGAAGAGGCGTCATGAGTCATAGAGACAAGAAAGGATAGCAGCAAACACTTACCTTGCTGAGGTAGGGGTTAAGGCACAATGAAAACCAGTGCTGTAACAAAAGCGGGAACCACACAGAGGTGTTGATGACTTGCCGAAAACACCAACCTTATTCTTCAAAGGTCGTTTCCATGACAACATAGTCATTTGCTCTGTCGAGTTGCTGCGTATGGGATGCAATAATTGAAAAAGTGGTCCATGTGCAAGCAGTAATCATATCAACGTCATAGATCAACACCACAATGAAGACTTTTTGAAGAATCAACCCAACAACGACCACGACGTTTATTGAATGGCACAAGGATACAATGCATAAAGGGATGGGTGAGTACATACAATCACATGACTAGATAGGGCTGAGAAAACAAAGAAGCTGCATGATTGATTTCGGTTACGAGTTACCTCTTTCTCGCGTTACACTTTCAACACTTTGCGCACCATGGAAAAAGAAGACGCCGATTACCTCGCCATGCTCAACAACAAGACAATCAACCCACCACCAAGTGAACAACAGCAAAACACGCAACAAAATACTTCCCATGCTGGAGAATCCGCTACCCAGTTTCCAGCCTTGATGGCTGCGCGCGACCAGATCACCGCTCGATCGAAGGATCTCTCTCTCGTATCCGAAACCGATGCACCATTCGAATGGGTCAGTGCTGATTGGAGCAGCAATACGTTGCCTTCTGTACAACAACTGGTGGAACTTGGCTGGATCGATGAGCGTGTTACAGAAAAGACAAAGAGCATAGACGAGTTTTTTGACAAGCTTACCAAGGGTGGTGATCCTTATGGCCAAGCGGATCGTTTCCAATCACTTTACGAAGCCATTCAACATGTATTTGAAGGACAAGAAACCAAGGTGTACTTGTTGGGTGACCAATCGATCACGGTGCTTATCTTGGGTATCATCAGCACCAATGACGGCAAAAAGGCTCTTGCTGGTTTACGTAGCTTGCTAGTCGAGACGTAGATTGGTACTCAAATAAAGCGATCGCCCATCATCCATGCTATGTAATCCAATCATCACAATCTGACAAATGATGTGGAACCCAATCGACAATAGGAAGCTCATCGATAATTGCCAATGATTGGCTATACACCATGCTGACAAACCTTGCATAACGTCATGGCCATTTGGAATCCCGACTTGGCAGGTTTATATATAAAAGGCCCGTGCTTTCTACGTCTCTTCTCTTTTTCATGCTATCAAGACGTCTCTTTCACAGAATGGCAACTCAAAACAAGGAATCTGTTGACAACTTTTCAATTCATGGCAACGCCGTCCAAGAGGTGAGTACTATATTTGATCAAGCGATAAGGCGTCGTAGCTAAACTGACACCCTTCCCTTTCCAATTAATAGGTGTACGATATTCCCATGTCAGCCATCAACAGACCCATCCCATCTATTTTGGATCGCAACAAAGTTGATAATATGAAGAAGGCTTTGCAGACCGAAGAAAACAAGGATGATTTGACGCCCATTGTAAGTACAAGGTTGCACAACTACTATGAGCTGCGGAAAGCTAATAATGTGCTATTAGGATGTGCATCACGTGCAGTACAAGGGTAACGACTACTATTTTGCATTTGGCGGTTGTCATCGATGGGCAGCTCACAAGGAGCTTGGCAAGGATACGATCAAGGGCAAATTGATTAATACGCCACCAAGCATGATCAACACTTATCTAGGCTCATCATCTCCCTTCAAAGATGCTTAGAAGAAACAACACATCCCCTTGTGATTTATATACCTATGCCTCCTCATTACTTTCCATGGATTTCAGTATACATTTTCTTGCATTAAACATAATAGAAGTTACGTGTCTAGCTACATAGTTTGGATATAATCATTGCCGGTTGGGCAATATAATGGTAACTCTTCATTGAATTGAAGATTTTGCTTTTTCTTGTTGCTGGGTAAGAAAAGCTGGTTCCAGTATGCTTTGGCCATATACTCTTGACCAATCTTGTTGGGATGGAAACCATCCAAATTGCTATGGATTACATACATACGTCAGCGTGAGGTCATTATGGGATGCTTTATCCTTTACCTAATGGCCTCGACAGGCACCGAATTAATGTCAATATTGAATGGTTGATAAACAACGGTCGTTGTGGCATCCGCATTACGATTCGCTTGTTCCATTACAAGGCGTCTAAGCTCTCTGTCATACAACTCGACGTTTCTAGCGATCTGTTGTTTGCCTAAGGGGGCTACAGCCATATCAAGTAAACCGGCCAAGGGCTGTGGGAGCAATTTGGTACCCGAGATTGGGTGGTGGCAGCATATACATTCGAAGGTTTGCACGTCCATTTTTTCGTCTTTGAAATGCTTGCGGTACGTAGGATTTTTGTTGGTGACATCTTGCATTTGCTCAGAGTGAAGGAGGCCCACTATGCATATGTAAAAGATGAGCGACCTTGTATTCCCTTGCTAATTAATGGTTTATTTACTCACCTACGCTGATGATGGCATAATCGATGTTCTGCTTAAGAAGTTCAATGCCTTTCTCCATACGTTGCCTGTATTCAAGAAACGAGTAACCCGGTAGACATGAAGCTGACAAGTCATTGAGTCCCATAAAAACGGTGATAAGCTTCCATTTCGTAGCCATAGCTGTGTTTTTGCCAATGCGTTCAATAAGGTACTCGGCTTGTTGAGTAAAGTTGTAAGATGTCGCTGCTGGTATTGCTGCATTAAGCCTGTCAATCTCGCTCCTATCATATGGATCAATATTTCCATGCATGCTTGTGATGACAAAAGGCTTACACTTGTTGGGCATCATAAGCGAAGAACGTTTCTATACATAAAGCATAAGTATGCGGAGAGCTTAAGATGGGTAAAATTCCTACTACCTTCTGAAATAGGGACATCTCGTACACCTACTGAGGGCCCAATCAAGGGCTCACGTGTGTAGTGTTCTAGAAAGTTGGGAATCGTGATTGCGTCTTCGTCCTATAAAATCATAAGTTTGAATAAAGATGTTGTGGTTGATCATCATAAAGAAGAGAAAAAGTGATCCACTTACACCACCCATGTCAAAACTGAGACCTCGGTATTGCTTAAATTGCTCTGGTGTTAGGTAGTCTGTTTGGATATTGATGGCTGCTACAGCCGATGACAGGCTAAGAAACGCAAACCATAAGGACTTGATCAATAAAAAATGGCTTTAGTGATTTACCTGTCACCAATAGCAGCGACGACTTCGATGTCTTTAGGTCTTAATTTATGTACACTAGTGGCTCGTTCGAAGTCTGACAATGTTGGGCATTCTTCAATTCTTCTAGCTTCCCTGGTAACGGATGTATCATCCCCCAGAGAGTCTTCAAAGGAATCGTCGGCACTGCACCATGCTAAAGCACACCCAAGCAACAAAATTACATTGGTCGCCTTCATGTTTTTAAAATGTACAAGGATACAAAAAGTAAAAAGAGCGAGAACAGAAGAAAAAAGGTGTGGATGTGGAATAAGTCAAGGGGGATGGCAACTCGTGCATCAAGCATATCGTAAGGAGAAGAGGCTGCAGCTTGCACAGCACAACCGGTCTAAGCGATCCTCATGCAAAAATAACGTCCCTCACGTATGGTGGGCTTAAGGGGCTAGTTGCCGTTGGCCATTTTCTTCTTTCAGGAGATGACATTCGCTATGTATGCGGCTGAGCAACAACGATGTTGTTCCATGGTTATCCATACCGCGGCGGTAATAGCATTGTTGGGTGATACACAAAGAACACTCGGCTTAGATATCCATTACAATGATGCTGTACGCCCCCATTGTCATTCTACGAAAAAGAGCCGGGATTGCATGTGGATGAGATTACACAGCAAGTTGTTCAACACCACTCCTGGCCCGCCACCTTGGAAACGTTAACTTTTAGAAAAGGAGTCAAGATCCCCGCATAATCATGTTGTCCCTCGGTAAATGAACACCCTTTTTGCACCCACGGGTTTCATTATTGCTTCCATCATTACATGTAATATCGTTGTCGATTGAAAAATGAGGTTCGATACATGTTCTGTTTACTGTCCAAGTTACTCGGGATTTGTGTTACGTGATGTGGGTGGCCTTTCACCCCTTTTTTCACCCTCTCCTTCCACCATGAGCGCCAAGCACATCGCTGCAACTGACATGCGTCATTGTTTAGACTCCACACTGACGTGAATATGTTATCAAGTCTCGTTGCAGATCACGTTGGATATAAGGTTGTTGTTGTTGTCGGCTATCAACAAACAAGACGATAAACATTTCCGCATCCACCATTTGAGATTTTCCCATGGACAGTAATAGCGGGTACATTTGACACAAGCGCATCTTTGTAATACTCCAGAAATATGGTGCACTTATCACAACCCAATCTAGGTCATGTGCTCCCCACATTAGATCTGGTGTAACTGCTTACCCCACCATTTGTCTACACGCTTATGTAACTGTTGACAAAGGATTGTTGTTGCTTTATTTTGTGGGTATGTACAATGTAATTCAAACGTATTATATATAGGACAAAGTATATATGGCAAGTGAAGAATTATGGATAAAGAAGGAGGTGGAAAAGCAGGAGATAGGGGTTATAGTAGTGGTAGTGATAGTGACATTAATCATCGCCTGGTGGGATAATGCCTGGAATGACGTACTGCTCAAAGCAAGTAAGCGCACCAACAAGGCATACAAACAGGATGGAATGGATAATGGTGCGACGTAAGACAACGCCTTCCTTGCCTCGCATGCCAATGGTCGATACACCAGTGCTGAGGGTTTGTGGTGAGATGAGCTTAGCCGTTACTGCACCAGCGGTATTGGTTGCTGCCATCAAGATTTTCGACAAGCCAATTTCACGAGCAGCAACAACTTGCAAGTTGCCAAACAGCGAATTAGCCGATGTATCACTGCCTGTGAGGAAACAACCGATCCAACCAATCCATGCTGATAAGAAGGGGAAAGCACGACCCACTTGGGAAAGCGTAAGACCCACGGTGTAGACAATGCCCGAGTAATTGTAAAGGTATGCAAAAGCCATAATCAACGACACTGTCAAATCGGCAAAAAAGAGCTGCTTGACCGTATCAATAAGGGCGTACCAAATAATCCATGGCGAGGAGCCGTTGATCAATACAATCACGTCAAATAAAAGACCGGCAATAAGAATGGCTGTACCAGTGGCCAATGGTTGGAAATCCCAAACGGCATCATAAGGCTTGCTGTATAAGGTCAACCATACACGATCATGCAAATGAGGAAATTGGACGCTTTGTTCTCCATATTGTGAAATGTCCGCAAAGGTCCAAATAATGACAAGGATCACAATCAATATCCATGGACTCCACGCCAACATGGTCTCGTAAATCGTTGGCTTGACAACGGCAGTAGATACGGGCTTGCTGGGGACTTGACCCATCTCCTCATCCATGTCACGGTTGGGATCACGCATGTCATCATGATCATTTGGCATGTTGTTGTTGTTGGATTGAGTACTTGAAGTATCATCATCATCATCTTGTGCAGGTTTGCGCCAAAATTGCAAAGTCGAAAGCAAGGATCGTTTCGGTACTTGTTCAGTGCGGCTGATGGTGGTGACAACGAAGTCATTGGCTTCCGTTTTCTTCCAGAATTGAGCACGATCCAAAAGGGTCTTCTTAGGTGGAGTGGTTGTTGTTGTTGTTGCTCCATAGTCAGTTGCAGCAGCTGTACCAGCAGGAGCATCATCGGGATCAGCAACCATTATGGCTCGATATTCTTCACGAAAAGGTGGTTTCCAGAATCGCACAAATACGATGATAGCCAACATGGATACGAGACCTGAAAGCAAATCTGGCAACTCGGGGCCGACCAAATTGGCAAAGATGCCTTGGATAACAGAAAATGATAGACCAGCTATCAATGTAAGTGGCCAGCATTCAAGGAAACCAGCACGTGGACCAGCATAAAGCACCATCGCATAAGTTGGCAGGAACAGACTGAACAAAGGCAATTGGCGACCCAGCATGGCAGAGATCTTCATGGGATCGATTTCGGTCAAGCTTCCAAGAGTGGTGATGGGGATGCCCAATGCACCAAATGCCACAGGGATCGTGTCGAACAAGAGCGTAAAAGTCAATGCATCCAACGGCTTGTAGCTAACAGAGATACGTGAAATGAGACACGAGTACGCTGATTGGAGGAAAATGCAGGAGGAGAAAATTACCCTAATGAGACAAGGAGGGCTGAACAAATAGCTCCAGGAGTACCAAAGCCAGCAACACCTAAATCCAGGACATCGGGTCAATCCAAAGTTTCGTCCCGCTTGTGCAACATGCATCGAGAAGAGAAAAAAAGCAACTCACCTTCCAGCACAGCTGAGAAGCTATATGCAATGAGGATTAAAAACACACGCTTATCGGCAGGGGTATTTGTGAGCATCCATCTTCGGAAAAGCTTAAAGATGCCTGATCGTACGGCGATATTATAGATCCACCTATCATGTGAATCAAGGTTAGATTTCCACAAACCTAGATGATGTATGTACATGCAATAATAAAAAGTCAGCAAGGCTCTTACATGGCGTTTACGACGATCCACATAATGGGCCAATTTGCAAATACGATGCCATTGGCAATAGCAGAGAATGCTTGCTGTGCAGGCATGTGCCATCCAAAGATTGCAATCAAGATACTAAAAGAGGACAAAATCACTGTGTATGAGAAAAAAGGGGTACCCTATGCATGTTGACAGCGTGGGACACATACCATACAACCAAAGATAAAAATGAAGCATAATGGGCAGGCATTCTTAAAACACCCAAAAGAATCAGCACTAGGATGAGTGGAATCAATCCAACAAAGAATGATCCAACAAGACTACCACCAATAGGTGCGAGAGGCTGTACAAAATAGTTGTCGTACGCTTCCGATGGAGCCGTTGGGATGTTCACCATGGCTATTCTATGTATAAAAGGTCGTTGGAAAAGAGATAAGAAATTGCTATTGGGATTTGGAATTGGTACCTTTCTTTTATATTGCCCATCCTACCCCGCATCTTTCCACGTTACATACTACTACACACGCTCGGCCCTTGACCGAGTTACCCCACGTACGAGCTATCGCATAATCCCGGCGACGCTTTTGTTTCCGACTTTTCCCTTTTTGTGGTTGGCAGTGTCACATCAATGATTTCCTTGTGGGAATCCCAAAAACTCAATGCAGCTTTGTTTCACCAAAATCAGTTTGGCGGGCGATGCCCAATTACGTTCATTACATCAATAACCAGCCTCCTTGCCTGTTCACACGCACACTGCAAGGATCTCAGAGCCCAGTGCAAAGTTTATGTCATCATCCAGCTGTCACTTCTTATCACACAATCGAAATAACCTGATATTCTTTGTTATCATTTATATATTACACAAAGGGGAAACCAATAAGGAAAGGGAGCTTTTAGATGGCTGATTGTCCTTCAATTTGGATAAACAGAAGAACCAGCTCGTTTCCCTTTCCCCACAAACGCAAAGTAAAAGGGATTATAGTTACACTAAGATGAAAGCAAGATGGTGAAACAGAAAAATGACAAGGAAAAAAAATAGTGTGATGGTACGACGACTAATCTACTAGGTAAAAACATGTTCACTGCTGCTGCACATGTTCCACCGCTGTAGGCTTATCCAATCCCATGGATGACGATGACGCCTCTTCAGCGTCGTGTTTGGTGTCCTTAGCATACCAAACCCATTTAGATCCCCAGAGACCGTATACAAACTCCATGACGAATCCGACCAGCGGCAACACAAATGAAATATGGATACTACGATTATCCTTTAGCAAGGCCATCAATGTAGGGAACAAGGCACCACCAGCAACGCCCATAACCACTATAATACATCATGTTAGTAATAGAAAGAAGAGGATGGCAAGCTGCAACTTACATAGAGGTGCACCATATTTGTAATTACGTCCAAGATCTTTGGTGGCCAATGCAAAGTTGGTGGGGAACATGATGCTTTCAAAAAATAGAATGATCATAAGGGTATAAGTGGTGTCGGGTGTGTTGATCGTAATGGTGCAAATGGTGGTGATGATTGCAGCAACAGCGTAAGCTGCTAGCAAATGCTCGGCCTTGAACCATCGCATAAGTGCTGCACCAATAAAACGACCGATAGTAAAGCACATTTGTCCTAACGCCAATAGCACAGATGAAAAAGAATCGGATTTGCCGCCAACGATAGTTGCATAATAGATAAACATGGATGCAATTCCCACTTGGTTGCCAGTGTACACGAATTGGGTGATCGCACCAAGCCATAAGTGTGGAGATGCCAACGATGCACGCTTGACCTCCTCACCGGTTGCATTAGCTTCAGCCTCCATTTGAGCTTCTTCATCGAATTCAGGGATACGTGCAAAGCAGAAAATGATAGCAATCACAAAAACAGCTGCCAAACAAAAAAAAAATTTATAGGTAAGCTCATCATGATGATCGATCACACATATACACCCCTCTTGAGTAGTATCAAGGCATATAGCTTACCACATCCAACACCAACATACGTCCATTTGACTGAATCAAGGTTACCAGTTGCACTTTCATTACCACCAAAGAATGCGTAGGATGCAACCACAGGCGAGATGGTAGTGCCAAGGCCGTTGAAAGCTTGCGAGATAGTGATACGGAGCGGTGCCCATCTTCGTGATCCGATGATGGTGATGTAGCTATTTGCACCTGTAGCGTAGTAATAAAGAAAATGAGCATCATCCACTCGTTATTGGCAAACATGCATACTTACAATTTTCGAGCATGGCAAGACCTGAAGCAATCGTAAAGAGTGATCCCACAAACCCACCATAAACACGGTTTGTGGCCGAGGGGTAGAAGCATAGCGCACCCAAAACATATAACAAGAGACCCAATATGATCGTTTTCTTATAACCGATTCGCCGTAAGATCAATCCAGCACTATGCATGAGACCCAAATCAATACAAAAGCTGAATGACGTACATATGGCAGCACATGCTTACATTGGGCTGATGACAAAATAGGCACCAAAATAGGCGACCTGCATGTACGTAGTTTGTGTGGTGCCTTTAATAAGAATAAAAGCGGGTCATCAGTCTCCTTAAAAACGGTGGGTTTCCATATAAGATGCCACTTACTGATACCAAGGACATTTTGAAAGTGCTTGTTAAGTGTATCGAGGAGACCGTAACTGAAACCCCATAGGAAGAAAAGTGTGGTAACCAACGCGCCAGGGATAAAGTAGCTTTCGGATGGGCCTTCATTATTATCGTCGGCAGTCTTTGGAGGTACGATACGTGCGAGCACCTTGTTCTCCCATATGTCTTTGATGCCCATTTTTGGAGTGAAAGAGAAAGAAAAGTGTGTGTGATGTCCTTGGCAGGAGGTCGTGGTAAAAGTAATTTATATTTGACGCACAACAAGCTCTGCATGTACGATCTGTCATCCTACAACAGTAAAGGCTTGAACACATGACATGAGTCGTCCGCTCGTTTCTTTCCCCACACTCACGCTTTCGTATCATTTCTTTTCCCATGGACATGTCACATACACATTTGACAGTTGCTGTTTGTTGCCTATATTCCCACCAAGGACATCTAAGTCGATCCTTTATTCGCACGTGCAAAAATGTCCCATATACACCTTTAGGATCAATAGATACAACCTGCTATTTGTGATGCATGTTTGTGGAGAGTACTGAAAGTGATCGTCGGGGAATTTCAAGCTTTTGCTCCGTCTTTTGTGTGCAATGTGAGTAAAAGAAAAGCAATGCAAGGAAAGAGCCTTACCGTTACTGGCTGAATGTGCTACACCATAATACAGATAAGGAGACATGTATTGTTTACCTAATGCAAGGACGATGTGTGTTGTTTGTACCGAAAACGATGCAGGAGAATGATATGAATGATGCGGCTGTTGTTTGTTGTTGATGATTGCTGCATAAGATCAATGTTGCGTTTACGTACTCCTCTACGTATCTCCACAAAGAAGCAATTTATAGCTGATGCTTGGTATCATAATGAGACTGCAACCTGTGTTCATTGTATTCATGGTTCCCATGCATGTCCCTTTATCAAGGATATCGCGGTATATGGCGGAAAGGAGGAATGAAGGATATCTTTTGGACTCTCACGCTTGTTCCCGGAGCTGAATTTACCAAAGGAATGGACGCATATGACCGACGTCGTATGTCTTGGATGATGGATGGTCGTTGTTGTACCCCTGAAGCGAATTATCCTTGCACGTGTACCACCGCCACCAGCATTACCATGCAAATCATCTCAGGGTCCATACACTTTGTCTCAGCAGATGCAACTCTCTTTATATGTAACATGTTGAATAGCATGCATTGGATCACCAGGTCGATCCACCCAGTAGCCGAGATAACTAATTTTGGGATCTTTGATTTTCTGGGTCATTGTCCTTCTTTACAAGCACACACACCCACACACACACCCCTCCTTCCCTTTGCTATACACAAACACACTCCCAATGTCAAGGCCTCTATCATTGTCCCAACAGAGTCCCGAATTCAAAGGCATTTCCGCTTTCAACATTATTTACGAGGCTGGTAAGATGTCTCTCCCATCTCTTGTTTTCCCATTGTCTTGGCATTGCACCCTTCTCATTTGTATTTCATATAAAGGCCTCGATAGCGATAGTCGTCCGATTCTTGTTTTGAACGCATGCAACTTACCTGATCCGAACTCAATCGACTATGACCTTATCCTAGCGTAAGTTCGCCGTGCACAGACAATATGCATAAAGCACTGTAGCACACACACATCTATATGTACACATGTGCTCACGCGCCTCCATCTCCTACTCTGTAGTTTCATTTTGACGCGCCTGTAAGTTTATTATATTATACCTCCGAATCGATGATGGAACTCACAATAGGTAACTAGGGATGAGTTTGTGGAAAACGACTATGTCTTGGTCTTCTTTTCTTCGCCTGCAAAGTATCGCCCTCCATGGATGTGGCTCTTGCGTGCATACCGAGCGCTGGATCGCAAGTACGTTGGATAAAAAAGAGGATGGATTGAAAAGTCACTGACATGGCATTATCATCATCAAGATACAAAAAGAACCTCAAGGCCTTATACGTCGTACATTTGACACGCACTTATCGTATCATTTTTGACCTCGCCAATCGCATCACTAGGTAAGAAGCAATGTGAAATGAAACATAGTAGAGAGAAACTAATGGTTGTTGTAGTCCGAAGTTTGCTCGCAAGCTGCATTACCTTTCATCCTTGCAGGAGCTATTTGGTGCAGTACGCTTGTCATCCAAGTTTATCCCAAGGCAGGTCATCGACTATGACACCAATCTACCACCTATTGCGCCTTCTGCTGGTTGGGGATCTTCGCAAAAATTAGGTGTGATCGATCCTGTGCATAGACCTTTACCCTCCAAGGCTTTTGGTTTGACGCCTGAACATCTTGCACAGCTGGATAACGCTGCTGATACCGAGAAAGATACCTATGTACCAAGTATTGTGCGCCAAATTGTGGATCATTTGGAGGCTCGAGGTAAGAAAACAGTGCGATCTCCTACTTCATTTCCAAGTATTGACATTCTTGATAGGAATGGATAAGGAAGGCTTGTTCCGAAAATCACCCGCCAGTGAAGAGTTGTCACGTGTCAAGAAGGCATTCAATCGAGGTACATTTACCATCATTGTTGTATAGTGGGTAGGGTGTGCTTATCGATTATCAATCTAGGTGAAAAGGTGGATCTTACACAACATGATATCAACGTGGCTGCTTCATTGCTCAAGGTGTTCCTCAAAGAGCTTCCCGACCCTCTTATTCCATCACAATTATGTACGGATCTTGGAAAGCTACCAGGTAACAACCCAACAAATGAGGTGAATCGGCGCATCTTAACCTATGTTTCATTACAGAGCCTGAGACGTGTCCCGATGATGTGCTTAAGCGGGTGAAAGAGAGTCTTCAACAAGAATACAACAACAGACCTTATCAACGCAACTTGCTGGTTTACCTTGTACGGTTCCTTGTTCGAGTAGTGCAGCATGCTGACAAGAACCGGATGACAGCACACAATATCGCCGTCGTATTTGCACCCAACCTTATTCATGATGGCAGTGATTCGAATGCGATGTCTGGGTCCCAACAAGAAGCCATTGCTAACGCAGCAATGTATATGAAACGCGTAAATGAGGGAATGGCATTGATCCAATTATTGATTGTTCACCACGAAAAGGTGCTGCCCGTATAGTAGTTATAGTATTTCTTCCCACCACCATCACCTTGCCTTGTTTATCTTTACATAGCATCATATGTATCTTTATTATCCTTTTCGTTTATATATCTTAGTAACTACCTGCCATTCAATGATGATTGAGGGTTCTATAGTAGTAGTTGGCCTGTCATAATAATGCAAAGTCAAACGAGCTTCACCAACATACATATCGTCGATACTACCAAGTGTTCTTGTTGCTATGGCAAACGAGGAGGAGGAGGGGTTAACACGTTGATCTTCATTGTATGATGAACTTACTCCTTGTTTGATGTAAACAATTCCATGGACCGATGTTGGCTTCATTTAAGACATCCCCCCTCCTTGCTGATGCTGGCGCAAATGATCTTCTGGAACAGGCAATTCCAAAAAGTGCATTGATCTGAGTTGGATAATGGTGTACTATTTTAGGCACTCGTTGCCGCACCGACCGTGTTTCCTTGTTGCTGCCACCGCTCCTTCATCATGGCATTGTCGTTCTTGCATCTTGTGGCATATGGCGCCGTCGTTTTGGGATTCTGCTTTGTTGTTCTTAGTTTAGGTAATACCAAGTCGCATTGGGAACACTGATCGAATGCTAACAGTGCGGGTTGTCTTGTAGCATGTGGTCTATACTACTTGGCTGAATTGGTACGATCGCCCTTCCCACTCGAAGCAAATCGATGAGCAACATCTCACAAAGCACACATGTATAGGTCGAGGAGTATACTGTATATACGCGTAAAGTGATCAAGACAATGACTGGAGTAAGTATGGCGTCGTGCCTGAGAGTGTGAGATGATCTCCTTCCAACACACAAGATACCTATCATCATCATAGACCGTCATTGCGATACATGTACTCTTATGGATCGTGGATCGATTACCATTCTTGCTTTTGGCTTTTTCAATCTTTTGTCACGGCGTCTATACCATGAACCTCAAGACATTTCCATTTATCAGCTTGACGAGTTTACCCTTCATTGCTAGCTGTGGTAAGTATGCGTGAGGAGGATGGATTACAAAGGGGGATGATGAGGATGATGGTGTTGGGAAGGTATTCATTGTTTCATCCATGATAGTGCTTGTATTTGTCGATCACTTTTTATGGTTCCAATACTTTACAACGCATTATCGACCCTTTATGGATATCGCTGCCTTCTTTGGTATCTGCGTTTGGCTTATCCCATTCACCTATTTCATCAGCCTCAGTGCCAATGACAATGCATTGCCAATGACAGGTAAAGGAACGGACAATGGATACGATGAAAGGATGGTGGGTTTAACGTGGTCTTTATTAGAAAACGTGGTGGATGACATTCCATCTCATCAAAAGAAAGGTCTTTTCCGGTCTGCAGTTGGTTTCTTTGAACGCAAAAGTGATACATTACCATCCGATGGTGTTGTTCCTCCGGTCGTCGATACGCCTGTCAACTCTACCCCCGTTCCTAATCCAGCCACCTGGTCGACCACAGCTTATACATCCTTATCATCATCATCTTCATCCTCAATTCAGCATCGAAAAGCCGCATAAATTTCCTCATGTTGTTGTGTATTTCGAATCAAATTACAAAGAAAAAAGTTTGAGCATGTGAGTGAGTGAGTGAATGTGTATATAGGATGAAGGGGTGGTGGTGGTTGCATGAACAATATGAAAGAGTGATGTCAATGTTTGCATGAATGGTGGTGGGATGATGGATGGCGTTGAGATACATGGATACATTTTGTTCCTACGATATTCATACAGCAGCTTCAAGCTTTATCTTTTTGAGTCGTTGGTTCTCAGCATCGCTTGGATCGGGTCGTTTTTGATGGGAAGATGCGGTCATCGGATGACTATTGGCTAGTGGAGAGGGTCGATAATCACCTGTAGTAGGCATTCGTGCTGATGACATGACTTGTTGACCACCTGATGAAGCTGATGATGCAGCAGGCCAATGAAAAGCACTGGATGTAGTGGGCGTTGCTGAAAAATTGAGTGGGCTGGGCAACTCGTTTTGCTGTAGGAATTCTGGATAGATGGAAAATGGTGATGGCAAGTTTTGGGCAAATTGAGATGGTAGTGCAGATGTTGGAGAAGATGCTCCTTTTCCTTGTCTCATATGCGGTGTTGCTGCTCGTGCTGCTGTCATACCATTACTCGTAGCTGCTGTGGTACTACCATGATTTGAAGCAGTCGATGATGTGGATGAATCCTCGTTTGGTATTTGAACACGCAAATTGTGTGGTTTCTTATCATTTACAAGAGGTGACGATCGTACTTGAGATGAAGGTGCAACAAATCCTGCAGTAGCCGGTGGTGCTGGTGGCGGTGGTGTTTGCTGTTGTTGTTGCTGTTGTTGTGATGGTGGTTGTATTGCTGCATGGTCTACTGATGTTGTTGTCCTCATTGCATTATTAAGCGGTGCTGGTTGTGGAGATAATGAAGGGCGAGGGTGATGATTTGTTGACGCTACAGTTGGCTGTTGTGGATGTGGTGGAGGCTGTTGTTGTGGTTGTTGCTGATGCATCATCATGGGTGAATGCTGTGGATGTTGAGGTTGTTGAGCATACAGAGATCCTGGTTGTGACCTTGAAGCGAGATACGTATTAACATGAGGCTGCGGCTGGTGATGTTGTGCCATAGATGTGGATTGAACAGCCTAAAGGAAGCATAAGGCCGCGTGAGGATCATCGCTGAAAATGAAATCCCGCTATAACAAACTTACAGAAGGCATCATGCCGTGGCTGGTGTATGGTGAACCATTGCTGGTTGGATACACAAATGGTGGTGATGCTGAGCTGTTCACATGGCCCATCGCGTATGCACCATAACTCTGGGCCTGAGGATGGTGTTGTTCCCTCGCTTGTTGTTGGTATGCATGTTGCTGTTGCTGTTGTTGAGGATGTGGTGGTGGCGGTGGTGCCATCATGGGTGGTTGCCGTTGCCCAACAGGAGGAGCATTTGACATGATCATTGGTGACATGGATTGCTGCTGTGGTGGTGGTTGCGACATGTATTCGGTATCATCGGCTTCGTCTTGATCAGAAGGATCCGCGTCTTTGGTATGATCATTGCTTGCATCCATAAACTATCAAAGTGGGGATGACAGGGGTAATAGGATTAAACCCGTACTAATGATGAGTTTTTTCTACCATCTTATATACACGTATCTTCAAACACTTACATCCGAATTGTTTTTACTTTCATGAGGCTCTTGATACTATTGGTTGCTCGGCTTAGTATTACCGTTGACGAGTCGCCATCTTGCATATCTCGTGCGTCTTACCTCCGTGTAGCGTAGCAACACCTTATCCATATCCTTACTCGCGTACTGCACGAGCTTGTTATTGGAGTTGTTGAATATGATCAAACCAATGTCGCAGTTGCATAACACGCTGAGCTCATATGCCTTCTTCATTAAACCATACTTGCGCTTCAAAAAAGTGACCTATGTTGCTTGTTAGCTTTATCTTGTTGCAAACTTGACCAGCGTGGGGGTTGTTGTTCCAAGTAAGAAAAACACAATATCCAGCACACACACAACACACACCTGTCGGTTTCGGTCGTCTTGGATGGGTTGGATTTTAATTTTTTTGCGACCCATTGATTATATAACAGAAGAAGAGGTCGATATGGTACTGATATACAAAAAAGAAAGCAACCAATGAGCTCGTGGTTGACAAACAAGAGAGGGAGAAAAGAAAGAAAGAGAGAGACAAATGCACGACGTGGGTGACTTTGTATATGTGTATTTCTATGCATCCATGTGTGTATATAATGCACAGCGTTTATGTGTGTCATGATGTTGTCCCTTCTTTTTTTCTCGCTTCCTTTACATTGTAATAAAGAAAACGATCATTTTACCTTTTTGTTCGAGTTTGCTTAAAGAAAGAATGAGCGAGAGATCAGAGTTGCTAAAATTATTGTCAACAGCGAGGATGGAGAGAGAGAGAAAAGGGTCGTTCTGAGCATAAGGCATATAAATAGCAAGTCAAGCCGCTCATGGTCTATTTTTAGCAGTAACCTTGACCCCTTTAATTCTTTCTTTTGACTGGCTCATTATGCACCACATACACATGCACTGTTTGCTGTTTCTGTCCCCTTCATCCTTTTCATAGTATACATCGTTTTATTGTTGCTCTAGTAGTAGTCTATTGTATTCTTGCATAATTAAGCTACCTGCAACAGACACGTTGAGAGATTCGACACCGGTTGCCATTGGAATGGATACCCGTAATTCATCATCCAAGCCCTGGACACCGTTGTGCTCCGAGCTCAAGATCAAAGCGGGTCTACGAGGTAGCTCTCTTGGTTTATCCTTGAAATTCCAAAACCAGAGACCTGATCCTAATGTTGGTTTGCCGGCGTGTGGATTCGGAGACCATAAATCGGATGCTGAAGATCGTAACATATCCGCTACCACAGGTACCATGTTATGAGCTTTGAGATAGTCGATAAGTTCAGGGATCGGTACAAGCTTGTGTGGCCATCGCATTGTCATTCCTCGGGATGCACGTACAGTCTTGTCATTATACATATCACATGTCCCTGTGGTGATTAATCCGGCATTCCATCCGAGAGCACAACCGGTACGCACAAGATTCCCAAGGTTGCCAGGATCGTTGACATGGTTGAATATAAGCATTCGATCGATGTCCTTTGGAATGGTATGATGCTTGAGTTCCACTTCACCAAAAATCTCATGTCGATTGGGTCGCGACGCCGTTCCCAGGATACGCCTTGTCAAGTCCACGTCGCACACATAGTATGATTTTGCAGGAAAAGCATCAGGGTTGCGTAGCACATCAATCGCTGGATGCTTGATATCACTCTCGCTATGAGGTTCCTTCTCGGCAGTGACAACAATAGAACGCATTTTGAACTGATCGTCTCGTAGCTCTCTTAGCATTTTGAGTCCTTGAATGATAACCGATCCACTTTCCAAGCGATGCGACTTTTTTTCACGTAGATCAATAAAATGCTTCGTGGCATGTTGCTTTTGATTCGTAAGACGACGAAAGAGCTTTGGGAACTGGTATAAGGCTGGTTTGGTGGCCATGTGTACAACTTTGGTAGTGGTGGTGTCAACAAGGAAAGTGCCGGAGTAACAACAAAGCCTTCAACAAAGAAATGAGTTGGCCAAATTCAGATAAGGATCTACCTATTTTTCATTGTCACTGCTGAAGATCAATGAATATCATCACATCATCCAATACAACTATAACAAGCAGTTTGTAATCAAACGTTGACTATGAAATTTGACAACCACAGCGTAATTACGCTGGGCAACGTGATGCTGATTGGTTGGAAACCAGCTTACTCCTGATTTCAACAGCGTATCCTTGAGATCGGCACTTGTCCATATTTGTCGAACAAAAGAGCTGCATAAACTTAAAAGCAAAGTGCATGTTGTACATTTCATTCTAGCTTTTGCTTCATTGTCATACTCCCGATCATGTTGGTGGCTGTTGCTCTTGGTGCCCTTGTCATCGTCATTGTTTGGAAATGCACATCAACAAATGAATCTTATCCACCTTATGCACCAGGACGGCTTCCAATCATTGGTCATTTGCATCATCTCGCAGGGAACATCACCGCCCAAGAATTGTTTCGACGTTGGAGCTTACAAAAAGGCCCCATATTCACTGTCCAATTGGGTGTCAAACGCTGGGTGATTTTGAACTCCATGGATGCAGTGAACAAGCTCATTGTTGAACGCAGCACTGTTTATTCTTCTCGCAATCTTCCAGATACACTGGTCAATGACTTGTTTTATGGAGGTATGCCATCATTTTTATTACGTATAACGTAAAGCTCATACGTGCTCATGTAGTGAGCCATGGCGGCGGCTTTGCTTTTTATCCATATGGCAAGGAATGGCGTTACCTAAGACGAATAGGTAATCATCAGCATCTTTCATTACTATTACATGCTCACAACATGGCGTAGCACATAATGTATTGGTGCTTCGCAAGATTGACCTCTATCAACCGATCATTGATGAGCGTCGCAATACTTTGATCAAAAACATTTGGGATGCATCCAGCAAGTACGATCATCAGAAGGCTTTCCAGCTGACTATGTTCATTGAACATTATACCATGACAACTATCCTTGCTATCGCTTTTGGCAAAATGTGTTCCTTTACACCGGGTGACCCCAAATTACATGAAGCATTTGCTCTTACTGAACGCAGTGCTGCCCTTCTTGGTCCATCCGAGCAAATACGCGAGTTCTTCCCTGTTCTCAACATGATCCTTCCAAGCGCTCGTGCCGAATTTATCGATGTGCGGAAAAAGATGTCAGCGTTTTATGGTGGTTTGTTGGAGGAATTCAAGGCACAACCCGATCGCGATGATTGTTTTGTAAAGGAGGTGTTAGCTAAAGGCGAGCTCACAGATCTACAAATTGCTACTTTTGTCACCTTATTTGTTGGTGCAGGTAACTGGAAAAGGATACAGCAAAGGGAATGGGGTTGTTAACTAGTAGTGGCATGGCATCTAGGATCGGAGACTACAGCTTCAACGCTTGAATGGATGATAGCCTTACTTGCAAACCACTCTGAGATCCAGGACAAGGCCTATAATGAAATCAAAGAAGCATGTGGGCTTGATCACCTACCAACCCATGAAGATGGTATGTGTATGATTATATGACGTGCAGTAATAATATCCAAGCACTCACAAAGTCATAGAATCATCGCTCCCTTATCTTCAATGTATCATACTTGAGACCCTAAGATTACGACCACCAGCACCATTATCGGTACCTCATGCAACCAGCGAGGATGATGTATATCAAAATTGGTTCATTCCAGCCAATACCACTGTGATTATGAATTTGCATGCTATCCATCAAGATCCTTCCCAATACCCTGAACCAGAAAGGTTTATTCCTGAAAGACACATGTCGTTTGTGGAAACGGGTACTAAAAAGTTCAGTCAAACAACCAAAGATCGACCACATCTTGCATTCTCCACAGGACGTCGTGTATGTGTTGGCATTCATCTCGCTGAACGAAGTTTATTCATGGCAGCATCAGCTCTTCTTAGCTGTTTCAAATTTGAGAGAGAGCGCGATGAGCCTATTAATGTTAGTGAACCAAGGGACATTCGATCACCCACTTTTGCACCTCCTGCATATAAGGTGCGCATTGTTCGTCGACATAACAATATATCTGTAATTTAGATGAGACAATTATAAAAGAGTAAAGAAGGTCGTTTTACTGGGGATCGATATCCATAGTATATGGGCATACTTATGTCACCTACAAAAATCATCATTTGAGCAGCGGGTGGGCTTATCAGCTGTTGATGTTCCATCACTTCGACTCAGCACTCCAAGGCTGGACCACTTTATCAATTCGATTAATCATGACAACAACTCCCACGCCCACTCACATATAAACAAGGTTGTTGTCGCCAACACTATCATACGCCCTTCCTTTTTACTTGTATCCATATCATCATCAATGGCCTTTGGTAAGTCTCAAGGATAGTCTTTATGAGGGTATTCATTATGTATTCATCATCTATATGTAGCTCACTTCATTGCTTTACCACCACTTGATGTGCCCATTGGTGCCTAATGGCATATGGCTGTGTTCCTTGATGGACCCTTTGGTAGGTAAAACTATCATTTACATGTTCTTCTTCGTCTTATGTATTGGTAAATGTTATTAAAAGGATGCCTTGTACCTTTGTAGGCAAAAAGCAACCCCAATCTGGTAGGAAAATTGGGACTCCCTTATAGGTGACATGAGTACATGCTTCCGAATCACAGCCGCCTATACTGGTGGAAGTACAAAACACAGTCGACCGTACATTCATGCATCGCATGCAACGATACTGCCTGAGATTTTTGCAGCGTACAATGGGGATCCAATGGCACTCACATTTTGCATTAGCACTATACGTGCCGAATACAACGCCGATCTGCAGAGCTTGGATCAATCCCTTTTTCTACAATACCTTCCCAGCAAGTACTATGAAAAGTGGCATTATTTGATGACTCCAAGAATGATCGATAAGATCATGAATCACGACACTTTGAAATCCTGGTACTTTTGTTGATGGATGTACGTACATCGTTTACTCTTGTCGAAGGCGGTGCGTACATTCTTTGCTTTTACATTCCTGTACAGCAACGCCAACAACTTTTGCAACGATCCTTCCCACCCATAAACACACACGCAACAGCTCCAACACGTCCATCACATCCAAGTTCACCTCCATAATCCACATCTCCATCCCCATCATCATCATCTCCCATACCACCATCAAGTCAGCAAGCATTCACTTCCATGTCCCAATTCCAGCGTCTTTTTCAAAGGAAGATTGCAATTGACAACATCAACCAGGAGCTTTATGACCGACTTCAAGAACGGATCGAATACTACAACAATAATTGATCTATCCCAGGCAATGCGCGACTTGGAAGGCTTTTCAGTGTGGAGGGCTGTCGGGATCCCAAAGGTTAATTCGGCATGACATGAGGAAATCCTTGGAGACCATCAGCAAGATGTTGCCGCCGTTCTTGACTTGCAGTACGTTGTTGGCACTGTCGCTGATGCCGTGGATGCTACCATTTGCGGCGCCATTCGGACAAACACAACTAAACTTACTCTCGTGCACGATCTTATACAATAAACGCCCTTTCCATTGTTTGTTTCATTATACTTGCCTTATCCATATTCTTAAAGCCCCTTTGTTGTTGGATGTTGGAAACCGGTAACCATGGTGTAGTGTAGCTGAGCCGAAACAAAACGCCAAACGAGCCCACGTTTTGAGACCAAGCTTGCCCTCTATACAAGCTAGCACGTCAATGGAACAGGTTCTGCTTCAACATTGGACTCTGAATGTACCTGTTGACACCAAGCGTGAAGCGGGAATAGCAACGAGCAAAAGGCAACGGTATCGCCATGGCAACCACCAACCACCAACCACGCTCATTCCTTAGCATTTGGACACACACTAACTCCCTGACAATGCATGTTCAGAACTACATTAACACCTCACAGCCAACAAGAGCACTCTTTGATAATACATTACCTTGATCGAGATGTCGTGAATGGAATAAAAGCAGAGGAGTGATAAAGAGAAGAGAAGCGTTGTCTCAAGTCGTGGAGCTACCGGCCCCCAAGTTTAAATCCCCTACTGCTATTACACTGAGCCCCCTCAATTATCCTATACACACCATCCACCCATCATCATCATCACCCTCACGATAGACAATAAGCACGCGTAAATAAAAGACGTGATCCTCACGTATAGCAAAAGGATGTGTGCCATTATACACTTTATATGATAATGATGATCCAACAACAGCCATTAACTTACTACCAGGTTAGCTCGAATCATGAAAGTTAAGAGATGGGCATGCTGGGCTGGTGCAAGACAATCGTTCGTATGCATTGGATTGAACAACAATGGAGAATGGGAGGACTAAGGTTATTAGCTGGCAGTTTACAAATAACTTTGCAAAATGATTTTTCTCATATTGGATGATGCTTCTGTGTTTGAGCGTTTTTCAGTCAAATCCCCTCGGATCAAGAAAGTTGAAGGATGGAGATGATGGGCTGGATCAGGACAATCGTGCGTATGCATTGGATTGGCCAACAATGGAGAATGGGAGGACTAAGGTTATTAGCTGGCATTTTGAACTATTCCTCAATAGTGTACAAGAATCATGCATCGCCTGTGCTGAATGACTCAAGTTACACAAACACGCCCTCTGCATCTTTTGCTCTATTATAGTCATACTACTTTACATTAAACAAAGACCACTCTTCATATAGCATCACGCTTACAAACATAAAGGTGCCTGTATCTCCGAACTTTACAATGAAACGTGGGGCTTTCATTAGAGCAATGTGCTCGGCTTGGTCAACAGCACCTTGTGTACAAGCTTCACGTTGATCGTGGCCGATCCCAGATTTCGCAATGTCGCCACCAGCCAAACTGGATCGGGGGGTCGACCTCTTGAATTTTTTTTCGACGACGACCAAAAAAATATTTTTTTGGCTGTTTGCGACAATGAACGTGAAGCTTTCACACAAGGTGCTGTTGGCCAAGCCGAGCACATTGCTCTATTCAAAACCCCACGTTTCATTGTGAAGTTTGGAGATACAGGCATCTTTATGTTTTACCTATGCTATAAGCGTGATGGAGTTGCTTTTTCCTAGTGGATGGTGTCGGCTGCATTAACGGAAAGATGAAGAGCTGAGTGAAACCGCACGTGGTGGTTACACAGACACGTCCTTGACAGGTTGCTACACAAATGGATGATGATGATGATGATTGCCTTTTGTGAAGGTACGTAAGCAAACAGCATCCAATAATGAAGGTTTGTCAAGGTATACATCACATTTGCATGTAGGAGAAGGTCGAGCTGCATAAACCAATTTGTATATGTAAAAGATACGTATACATTGAACGAGTCACTCATCCTGAAACTCAATGGTGGAATCTCTTTTTTCTCTTCTCAAGCTCATCCCACTTCCCACTCCTCCTTATTGTATCACAAAAGCCATGTACTTCTTGCATGACCGATAACCGGACCACCTTTATTATTCCATCTTCGAAGCAATAGTATGTAATCCACAAGCTAGCAACCTCCAACAAGCGTGTAATAAATAAACAATGCTTTATTTCATCTAGCTATCTTGCTACTGTACATTGCCACCACCATCGTCGTAGTCGTCCTCCGTCATCATTCCTACTCGTACTCGTCACCAGTCGTCAATCTCATCCGTCACACCAACATTCAAAAATACACAAGTTGAAAAGAATGGGATCTTGCAGGCTTCCTTTTGAATCTCGCTGTCGTCATCATTGTCATTGTTGTAGATGGGGTGATCATCGTAATCGTCATTGTTGTGAATGTGGTAATCATCGTAATCGTCGTCTCTACAAATAAGAAAGCAGGCAAGTTATACCATCTGGTACCGGAATGATGACGATTTGGTATACCGTTAGGCGATCCTCTCCAAGGAAGAAAGCAAATCAGAAGGAATTCACAAACCAAATCACCACCATACGAGCAACGTCGGGCGATCCCTTGTTCTTGAGAAAGCACTGCACGAATCACGCAAGACCAGTTCGATCCATGGCAAGGAATGGCATCACTTACGTAGAGTCCAGGCTCATAGTTGTTCTCATTCATCCTCTCCAAAGAAAGAATGATCCCCAATCCAATCCTTCCAGTTATTTCCCACCTCATGAAAAGAAATCGTCAGAGAAAGAACAAGCCTATCACGAGAAGAACGTGTTGGTTCAACACATTCACAAGCTGTTGCAAATCCCCTTTTACCTCAACACGGTGACCATGCTCTTCCAAAAACCCATCGTCATCGACCCATCAACTCAAACGCAGGCCTATAGAGCCCTGGACGCGTTACAAGAAGGTTTTCCAGCACACTTGGCTAGTGCAGAGCGACGCAGCAGCCACTTGATACAGGCTGGGACTTGACCCCAAAGAGATGATGATGATGCCCCAAGTTGCATTGCCTGACCAAAGAAATCTATTCAATTCATTATTAGCACACACACACAATAAACACCCTTTTCATTGTTTGTTTCATTGTACTTGCCTTTTCCATATACACAAAGACCCGTTGTTGTTGGTTACTGGAAACCGAAAACCATGGTGTAGCATAGTTGAGCCGAAACAAAGCGCCAAACGAGCCAACGTCTTGAAACCAACTTCGTCCTCTATAGAAGCTAACACGTCAATGGAACAAGTTCTGCTGCAACATTGGGCTCTGAATGGACCTGTTGACACCAAGCATAGAGCGGGAATAGCAACGAACAAGAGGAAGCAACGATATCGCCATGGCAACCAACAACCACCAACCACGCTCATTCCTCGGCACTTGGACACGCTCACTCCCTGACTACGCATGTTCAGAACTATATTAAGCCAACAAGAGCACCCTTTTATAATACATTTCCTTGAGGGGAATATCGTTAATGGGGGAATAAAAGCAGAGGGTGAAATGTAAGTTCAAGGGTAAGTGAAGGGTAAGAGTTTGTGACCGATTTAATGGGCCGCAACTTTTTGTGTTCCTTGACCCGCTATCCTATCCCTTGATCGATCCGACATGAAACGACTTGTCAATTTCCAAGAAAAGGACGAAGCAACAGCCGAGGATTGGAAGTTCAGTGACAGCATCGATCCTAGTACAACCATTCGATCCAACAAACGACAAAAGGGCAATGGCAATAAGGACAACAAGATCGATCGGGCTAGCATAAAAGCCAAACGAAGCGAGATGCTTAACTTTCGGAAACAACTGCCCATTTACTCTGGTACGATCAACACTATACCTCGCTCTCTCCCTATCAACAATTGTAGCTAACGATATGTGTTGCTTTAGGACGTGATGCCATTATTCAGACTATCCGTGATAACTCGACCGTTATTGTTATGGGTGAAACTGGCAGTGGCAAAACGACTCGTAAGTTTGATAGGGAGATACTGTCTTGGAATTGGTATGGATGGCTGATAATGCGATATGATAGAAATACCTCAATTCATCCGTGAAGCTGGTATGATCTCGACCAAAGCAGGCGGCATTGCCATTACACAACCAAGACGTGTTGCTGCTGTCAACTTGGCCAAACGTGTTGCAGAGGAAACAGTGACCCAATTAGGTGGGCAGGTAAGGAAAATGAAAAAGGGATTGAATCATCATAAGAGATCTAACGGGCGTTTAAAGGTTGGCTACACGGTTCGTTTTGATGACACATCGAGTCCTCAAACGATCATCAAGTATTTGACTGATGGTATGCTGCTACGTGAGATCCTTTCCGATGAACTCCTCTTCCGCTACAAGTTTATCGTCCTTGATGAAGCACACGAACGTACATTGCGTACGGATATGTTGTTCGGCATGATCAAAAAGATCCAGCGGATACGTCATGAAAAAGCACAGGCGGGTGAAGATGTCGAGGAACTCAAGATTGTTATCATGAGCGCTACATTGGATGCTGAAAAGTTTAGCGAATTCTTTAATGGGTGAGTGTATGATACTTGATAATGGAACATAGATCTCATGTTGTATTAGTGCCAAGATTCTCTATGTGTCAGGGCGCCTTCATCCTGTCGATACGCTTTTCACTCAAGAACCACAGGCAGATTATCTCGATGCTACGCTTGTCACCATTTTCCAAATACACACAAAAAGTCCTCCTGGTGATATCTTGGTCTTTTTACCAGGTATGTCAAAGCAATGGAAAAGGTATCCAGTATCTGACATGAGCATGAAATATAGGTCAAGATGCTATTGAATCATTATCCAGTCTTGTCAATGAATATTCATCACAACTGAGGCCACGGCAACAAAAGCTCATGTCATGTCCACTCTTTGCCGCACTACCACCATCCCAACAACAAAAAGTATTCGATCCTGCACCAGCCAACACTCGCAAAGTTATCCTTGCAACCAACATTGCTGAAACCAGTATTACTATACCCGGCATTAAATACGTGATCGATTGTGGATTGGCAAAGATGCGAGGATTCAACCCTAAAATTGGCGTCGAGTCACTATTACTTCATCCTATATCAAAGAGCTCAGCATGGCAACGTACTGGACGTGCTGGAAGAGAGGTATGTAGACTTGATTATCATGCCCGCTTACTTTAAGGTTATCTAATCATATCATATCATCATAGAGAGCTGGTATTTGTTACCGCTTATATACTGAAGATACTTTCCGAGAACTTGAGGATGATACTGTACCTGAAATTCGACGATGCAATCTTGCAGCTGCGGTGTTATCTTTGAAAGCATCGGGTATCGAGAATGTATTGGATTTTGATTACATGGATCGACCATCACGTGCTTCATGTGAGTATTTGGGAAAGGGGGATCTCCAACGCAATGTTAACAAGGGATGGTCATTTAGTGGTACGTGCACTGGAAGAGCTATATGCATTGGGTGCCATCTCGGATGCCGGCACGCTTTCCGATCTAGGCCGTAAGATGTCTGAATTCCCGTTGGATCCAACGTTTTCCAAAGTGATCATCAAATCAGCAGAATACAAGTGCTCCATGGAAGTTATTGCTATCATTTCGCTGTTGTCAGTCGATGCGATCTTTTTCACCCCGTCTGATAAGCGTGAACAAGCGACCGAGGCACGACGCAAGTTCTTACACATGGATGGTGATCACTTGACATTGTTGAATGTGTTGAAAGGTTATTGGGAAGTCAAGGGTGACCCTGAATGGTGCCGAGAGAATTTCATCAATATCCGCAATATGAAGATCGCACTTGATGTAAGGAATCAGCTTATCCAATTTTGCGAACGCCTTGGCATTTCACCAACTACTTCATGCGGCACGGATACGGACCAAGTATTGAAGTGCTTCCTTACCGGCTTTTTCCAAAATACGGCATTGCTTCAACCGGATGGATCCTATAAAAGTGTTGCTGGCAACCAACTCGTCAAAATTCATCCTGGGTCAGCCATGTTCACCAAGCGAGTGGAAGGCATTATGTATAACGAATTGGTAAGTACGAATGGCCATTTTTGAGTCAGCAAATGACACGTGAAACTAAATCTCGGTTGGTATGTATATAGGTCTTTACGACGAAGCATTACGTACGTGGTGTCTCTGCCATTCAATCCTCTTGGTTACCACAAGCAGCACCAAAGTATTTCAACAATGTCACCAACAAGTAAAAAAGTAGAGTAGTAATAGAACATAGAGGTCTCATATTGTTACAATACACTTTGAGTGTGCATTGGCGGAGCAGGCATTGAATCGTTTTGTCAGCTTGAATTATACCCCACATTTTGATACCACAATTGCCTCTTCTTCCCAACGAACGTTATGGCCGAGCAATCCACCGATGTTAAGGCCTTGGCAAAGACCTTGTCAGATAGCTACTCTGCTCTACTCCAATACAATGCACAGTCTACCGAATCGGTAAAGTGTCCTACTCCTCGACTCTTTTTATTATCCTCATGGGCTCATTTCGACGCATGTGTGTATAGATCAGTCATCACTTGGAGCAGCTTGCAAAGTACAGCGACCATCTCCCATTGTCATGGTTCACTCCAGCACTGTTGAATGTATTGAACACCTTGAACGATCGTGGTCCTCAACCAGCTATATACACACTATGGACAGTGTGGGTACGACGTCTTGCTGGTGCACCCGAAGCTGTCACTGCAGCCGATGCACAACTATCACAAGTTCTTACAAGGCTAGAGAACGCTCTCTTGGACGACAAGACATCTCTTCAAATACGCAAGGAGGCATGGATTGGATTGGTATCATTGGCAGGTCGTGCACCATCTCAATTTTCGGATTCTCGCATGATTCAAGGGATGGCACGGGTTCTCAAGCAGTATGCTCAACAAGAGGATTTGGTGGATACGATGGGAGAAACCTTGGATGCTGGTGTGGCTCATTGTATGGCACAAACTTCGGTGTTGAATGTCTTTGAAGCCGATCAATGTGAACATTTGCTCAACGATTATGCGCAATTGGTGGCAAAACGATCTGCAGGTCCACCTGCAGCCATGGCAGTGATGCAGCATGTTGTCGATGTACGATCTCAGCTTAAACCCCCAACACGTGCCGATGCCGATATGGAAGCACTCGTTGATGTTGTTACCAAGGATCGTCCAGAAAACGAGCCATTGGCTTCTTCTCTCGTATGGTTGGCTATTTTGGCAGGTGTAGTGTAAGTAAAAAGAGTGTTGTTCAAAGATGTATAGGTGCTAACTGAAATTGGAATTTGTAGACGTATGCTGCAATTCACCAAGGACAAGTCGAAAAAGATGCAGGATATGCAGCGAAAGACCGAGGAGATGTTATTGCACCGATTCAACGATTTGATCCCCATTGTGATGACAAAGGAGCACGCACATCAATTCGCTATGAACCAGAATAGCATCGCCTATATCGCCGGTCAATGCTTGCCCAATATGAAAACCTTGGATGGCATGGATTACAAGGTACGTTTAAGGATCAACAATGGGAAATGAACATCATGAATGCTGATAAGTCCATGCACTTAGGCTGTTTTGCGTATCCTTATCTCATGCTTGTTGACGAGCGAGCAAGTCTGGAAGAATGGCCAAATCATCGCGAAGTTATCCAACACACAATCTTGCATCGAGCAACTCAATCAGCTTTCCAATGGTATGGTGTACAAGGATATTGGCAGAATATCTCGAGCGATTGGAGCCGTTATTACTACTGGATTGGAAAAGGATTCGGATGGCAGTATGGCAACCATGGTTCAAGTCTCTTTGGATAGGTTAGTTGCTTTGAAGAAATAGGCGTGGTTCTTTGCCTAACCTTTACTTTTAGACTCGTTGGATTCTCATACAACGTATTCATTGATTGGGATCGCTTCTTACGTGTAAACCAAGAGTCACAAATGAATTCCAGTAAGTTGTTTTACGTTCATGTATAGCATACATGCTGATTCATCATCCTTAGGCCAAAAGAAGATATTCAGTGAACTAAGCAAGATCGTGTGGACGGTGTTTAAAACGATGCTGTTTGCATTTACTGCCATCCTTAAGGCTGTAGCTGTGGATATCCCAAATGGTGAGGGGCTGGTGAATGTCAAACATGCAGGTAGGTTTATTTTGAATGGGGATGAAGGATCTTGGACTCTAAACTTCATGCTCGTAGCTCAGGATATCCTTGCAGTATACGCCAACTTGCAATTCATCACCGATCATCTTGGCTCAGGATCCGGATTTAAAGCGTATCAAGACACATTGACAAACGCTGTGGCCTATTTGACACATGAAGACGGCGTATGCCAACTTAACATGTTACTATCCACGGCTTACAAGGAATATGGTAAGTTTGAGAGAGAGAATAGGAAAACCATGCTTACATTAGCATGTTTGTCTCCTTGTAGCTCCCAACCAATACACAGACGATCATCGACCATCCACATCCCTTCTTACACCGGTCCAATTGTCACGCCTTACATTCTTCACCAACCTTATTGAACAAGTCATGGCACACATTGATGACAAGGTGCTTGAAGCCGATATCCTTCCAGTCATTTATCCCGTACTCAAGTGGAAGAAGCCTGAAGAGAACAAGGACATGTATGAAAGTGCTCATGCAGCAGTGCTTGCCGTATTTTCAGCACAAAAGGGTGTGTCTCGAGAGCTTGCAGGAGTTTACGCGCAAATGCTTGTGGACGTAAGTCTTTTTTTGTGTGGGGTGAAGCGAAAAAATGAGGTGCCTTTATTTACTTTTTCAAATGTCAATAGAGCTTCCCCGAACCCATGTCATTACACCAGCTTCGGTTTGCCTATTCCACCATGATCCAATCACTATGCCAAATGGATGATGCATTGTCATGGCTTGCAACCCAGTATTTGTTGGACAAGATACATTCGCTTACTTCGGATGAAAAGGATTTGGTGCTTTTATCACAATACACAACTGCACTTATCGATCTCTTGAAGCCGCTTTCACTGGGTCCCTTCTTCGATCGCCTTCTCAAAGAAGTCCAAACTTTGGTCATGCAACCATCACTCACTAATGATATGCGGACGTCTATGCTCAAGATTTTGTTCGAGACTGTAAGCGGATCCGGTATTTCAGATATGCGACGCGTTGAGGCAGTAGGCTGGTTCCTGGATCTCAAGCGTAAAGTAGAAGCCAAATCCACCATTCGTACTACTACCACTACTATTACTTCCCCACCATCACCATCAACAGAGAAACGTGTATAATCTCTTGTACTTGAATTCCTTCATCTTACAGCTGGTGTCAATAAAAGATGGCTCATGTAACAAAAGGCTACGTAGGCTAACACGCATGCAATGGGAAATGCTTCCAAAAAAAGTTCCATTGGGGTTTGTACAAGGTGGTTTGTTTGAGGCACGAAAGCTTAGTAATTTGTTATGAGGGCGCAGTATAAACTCTATTGATGTTGGGGGAAAATAAAGCACTGCACCCTCCTTGTGTTATGTATTGGAAGGGATGAGCCGATCCATTAAGTGGCAACCTTTGTGATCAAGATCGTCAATACCACAGCTTTGGATATTTGCCAGGCAACGAAGAATATCCCATTCTGCCATTCAACTTTAAGAGAGCATGCCAACACGCAACCAATCATGGATACTTTTCTTCAATGCATCTTCAGCGACAAGAACGCGTCAACAAATTCCAATTCAAAGATGACAACTCTTTAGTGGCAGTACTGGCATATTTTACTAGTGGTTGCCAGTGGGAAAATCATCTCGGATCAATCATAATCGGGTAGTACAGCACCTGGTAGCTCATATAACGATGCGATGGACACTACCGAAATCCGAAGAAACATGTGCTCCCATTGAGGTGTCATTTTACGATCAAGAATCAATCGCTCCTGTTATCGTTGCTTGATGATCTTTGTTATGAGTGACTCCCGTTACATTATAAAAATTATCTACAATGAGCCGCTTAGCCAAGACTTGCAACTGCATGTAGCATATGCTCTTGTTTGCTGGTGTAACCATGCACAGTGTGTGGCTGCTGTAACACAAGGCGAACATCAACCTTCATCATCCTTGGCTGTCGTTCAATGCGTAACGATGTTTAGTGCGCACGTCTTTGTGATGGAGGCATACAATTGCAATTGTGGATTGATCGCATGCACTAGGATGCAGGGATATCAATAGAGTCACCATCGTTTGAGAGAAGAAAAGTTGATGTTGAGGATCATTGTTGTCAAAGTTGAAACAAGGCACCATCTTTCTACGTGCACAAAACCATTGGCCATCCATTGCGGTACATAGCAGCAGTTTTATCCATGGAGGATGGTTACAGCATGGCTACCGATAATGCCCATCATAATAGCTAGAGTAATTTGTGTTGACAATATGACACCTTATACAGCAAAGATCCATCTAAGTACGCATCCACATGTTTCTATTGCTTTCTTCGATTACACAGTGATCATTGTGCTGGTTTACCTACTTGCATACGTGGTCGCCCCATTAATGGTTCTCTTTTTACCGCTGACAATGACCCCAAATCATCCCTGTATGTCCCCTTGTTGGCAATTGATACGAGCATCATTGGTGAATATTTATGCACCCCAATAGGACGGGGCATGGGAGATTACTAACCAATTGTAGAATACATGTATACAACAACGCACCGGGTGACATTAATTGGCCCCATAGGTGGGCTGATTAACAACATCTGGTTGATGATGACAAGTATTAATTGGCAGCAATTGGACACAATGAATGCATGTTAACATGGGCTATTGATGTACAGCAATTTCCATGACCATCATTCACAATGTTGAATGGGCTCAATCGCTTGGCAACGATCCATTTTGCAATTTGCATGACGAAAGAACGAACACTGCCACACCAAATCTTGGCAATAACAACCCGCGGGGTTATGTCAAATGCCAAATGGCAGATGTATGTATTGCAAAGCGTTTGTTTGTGACACGAGGTGAACGCGTGCGAATTGGGAGCGATCTTATAGGATCGTAGGCGGATCGACAAGCTTGCAACAATAACCTTGAATTTCAAGAAAACGATCGTTTCATGGCAACGGTTCAGCATTTGCGAAGCAAGTCGTCATAGCAACAACCGGACAAATTGTCGGACCCACATGCAAAAGTTGTTGCACAACACCACCTGCGTGACATACATATCACTTATCCCGGGTTCCATTCCCATTGATCGTTTCCACCTCATGTGGTCTCATGCGAGCTCACCATATATCTTGCCACCCCGACCCCTTTTCATTCATGTTTCCTGATGTTCTAATCGCCACATGCTTAATTCAAATTGATCATAAACAGATATCTGGGAACCGTTAAACAAGAGTTGATGCTGTGGGGGCCAAAAGGGAATGATTCATGTCGCGCGTGTGTGTGTAATGGTCATTTTTTCTTTGCATGTATCGGTTGAACGCGCGTCAACTGTTCTTCCACTTCGGTGTTGTCGGCCACAAAATAGCGGATAAGGTATAAAAAAAGGTTCATCTCCCAATTAACACTCAACAGCATCACATCTTCCAACATTTTTCTTCTCTTCTTTTCTGTACACTTCATCAACATTTAGTAATGTTGCTCCGCTTCCTTTGTACAGCCATGGCTACAGCAGCCGTGGTATCGGCAGCCGATGTCAAATACTCGGTTGTCGCATTCCCTGGAGATGGTCAGAGCGTTGCTGTTTCGGTGGATGGTCAAGCTCATGCATTAGCTGCGACACAATACCCTAACCTATACTCTGGATCAGCACCAGCGCCATCTGATCATTACCAATATGTTTTACAATCATCGTCAGGGTCCTCCCAACAAGTTGCCGAATCCACAACACGCAAATTAGCCCAAGGCGTCTCTCAAACAGGCAACGAATTCTTCAATCGCTCACGTACCATATACGATGTCCCTGCTCTCCCTCAAGCATTCAATCCTGTTTATCCACGTGAGTGCTGTTTGACACATTTCTGGTTATTTGTGTGTCTGAGCATATGCAATGCAGGTTGTTGTGGTATACAACAACCCATTGGATGATGCCAAGAAACATTTGGGGCACATGTCACTTACTCATTTCTCTCTATGCACATACACAGCCCTATTTACCGGCATGAACATGTCCAATGAGGTTGCCACGGTAATCCTCAATGCGAATGATACCGGCATCAAGGCGTACCTTGAAAATCCCAAGGGCGATTTTGGCAAGATCCAAGTCTACAATATGACATACATCACCAGCAACCAAGTCTATACATTCCAAAATGCAGGCATCAAGACGAGTGGTCAATCCACCAAAGAGTTTGCCAAGCAATCCTGGAAGATCGATCTCAACGTTAAAAAGTTTGGAAGCGGCGTTGATAACAAACAATTACTCTTTGGCCGAACGACCCTTAAATTCCGCGCTCATGAAACAGATCCTACCTTTGCGTAAGTATCCCGCTTGTGATTCCATTTTTTTACCCATTTTTGGATGCTGTACTACAATGTAGCCATGATCAGCTGCATGTGTATATTGCTCAGAATACAAGTGGGAAAGGAAAAAGAAAATAGCCATTCGAGGCTAATTTTTTTCTTTTGGTAGGCGGGAGAAGCTATTATTGGATTGTCTTGCCGCATCTGGTGCTGCCACTTTGTCCGGCAGTTGGGCACGATTGTTCGTTAACAATGAAGCATTCGGCCTTTATCTCATGATCGATGATGCCTCTACCCACTTTATTGATGATGTGCTCCATGCTGGCAATTACTCGTACCCATACACTGGTAAGCCCCCCCCCAAAAAAGCTCACGCAATGAACGCTTCATATAACTAACATACTCGAGGTAGGCCCTGTATACAAAGGAAACTCTCTCAGTGATACAGAAGAGGCTGATTTGGTGTACAAGGGTGATGATCCATCGTTGTACTCGAAGGATGTGTATGACCCCAAGGATGATGGCAAGGCTGACCTTAACAAAACCAATGAAATGGAACCCTTGATCGGCTTAATGAAGCGCATTCAGCAAAATGAGACTGTTGTGGATACCAAGCATACATTGATCCATATGGCATTCAACTTTTTGTCAGCATCATGGGATGGTTTTTGGTACCAAGCTAGCAATTACTACATTACCCAGGACCTCCAAAGCAACCAATGGACGCTGATCACGTATGATTTCGATGAGACATTCGGTAATGGCATTGAGGATGATTCTCTTATCACTGTGCCATACCAGCAATTTGGTCCCTCAGGTGGCAATGTGTCTCGTCCCTTGCAGGATCAAGTGTTACACGGCAACGAAGCAACCATGAATGAAATTCTCACCACTGTGGTCAAGCGCTTTTTCAAGCCCAGCATTATTGAACCCCGATTGAATGCATGGATCGAAATGTTACGCGAAGACATTGCTTGGGATAGAGCCATTCCTGCTAAATCACCGGGTGATGCCCGACAATGGACGCTTGAAGACTTTGAAACAAACATGAAGAATACCACCAAAGACATTGTTGGCTTGCTTGAATTCATCACGAAGCGTTCGGCAGCTGTTACTCAACAGCTCAATATCACTGATGCTGACGAAGGCCTTCCTGCACTTGAACCTTACACCCAAGGTAAGATGGGTGATGGTGCCGCAGGCTCATCATCATCGAACCCTGGCGTTGATGCTGGCAACAATGGCAATGTCACCCCTGGTGGTGGTGGTGCAGATTCGTCAGCTTCATCCATCCATCCATTCTCAGCAACAACTATGGCTTTGTTGTTCTCGTTTGGTGCATACATCCTTTTGTGATTATAGTAGTAGTTTTTCTTTGTTTCGATAGAGCATTTTATTGTAATTATATCATGTATCATGAAATTATGGAAAGGGGGCTGCTAGTGTTCTTGAGTCAATATCCAATGTACTTTGAGGGATGGCAACATAGAGTTAGCAGCTATCTCTACGTATACAAAATAATCGAATGACGCAGGCAAAGTGCGTGGTAATGTTGCATTCCTTAATCCAACGTGTCTATTCTCGTGACGATGATGACTCAATGCGTGATGTCGGCTATACAGCTACCACAATACTCTATTGGATCACCTTTGGGCAGAGCTGTCAAAGTAGCAAGATTCGGCAACATACAGCCTTAGCCGTACAGCCGTCGGGGTGTTAATTTTGTGGTTTGAAACACACGCACAACCCCTCGACTCGTTTCCAGAGTTTCTCATTTTCATTTTCATTGTTGGATTGCATTTGATTGTCAGGCGGGAATGAGAGGCCAGCATCATGTCAAAATTCTACCACCTCAATTTGACACCTTCGTCGTTCTGTCATAGGTCATTATAATAAGCACAAATGGTAAGATCAATGCCTATTGGTAAGTCCTAGTGACATAAACAATTTTCTAGTAGGTAAAGAGCTGTCGAGAACCGACTGATTCGGAGCGATTATATCGGGGAATAATAATATGCAAGTTGTGGGTATACACGGTACCTTGGCAAGCTATGATAGATGTTTCAGCGTAGACATGGCAATATCAGTGGCAAATGACGTATACATGGCTTACTATCTCATATCGGAAATGGGATCGTCGATTCGAACGTGGTGATGGTACGTAATTGCATCGATAATAGGATGGCACTTTTTGGTATATGCACGTGGTAAATATAGTTTTTAGTGGATAAGGGGTAGATCTCGCTTTGAGAGCACTGGATACTCATGTACCTTCGCATTACAGAAGATCACTATGATGATTCACGCACGTCTCTTAGCAATTACAAGTGCAAGCATCATATGGATATTTATTAATTGATCACGATGGATCCTTAATGAACTATGAGCAGAGATCATTGTGTAATTGAAAGAAGGGAAAAAGGCAATGTCTGATCCAGGAAAATAGCGTGACCTTCAGGGATCTCTTTTGGGAAACCTCTTTTATCTCTTGTATTCCGACCTCCCTTTGCATACTTCTTGTTCACCCGTCTTTTATCACCGTTCAATTGATGCATGCCAACGACTCAGCCTACATTAAAGAAGTTTGGTCTGAAAACCTTGAAGAGGAGATGGCACACCTACGCGATTTGGTGGAAGAGTATCCCTATCTAGCCATGGTAGGCTGCTTGTCAATCTTTTGTCCTTTGCTCATTGTCACTATGCATACCCCCACCACCCCTTCTCTCATACACTTTCAGCTTCCCTACCGATCAACACTTTTGTCCTTTTTCTATCTTGTAGGATACTGAATTCCCAGGTGTCGTCGCTCGGCCTATTGGCACTTTTCGAACTTCCTCCGATTACCACTACCAGACCTTACGCTGCAATGTCGACGTGCTAAAGATCATTCAACTTGGTATCACCTTTGCGGATGAACACGGCAATCTTCCACGCAACATTTGTACTTGGCAATTCAACTTCAAGTTTAGCTTGTCGTAAGTGGGATGGATCTATATGCAAATAGCAGGCGCGTATACGCAAGATGATCTCTCTCTTCTCACACACAGGATACTATAGTGAAGACATGTACGCCCAAGATTCAATCGAGCTGTTGACCAAATCAGGAATCGATTTCAAGAAGCATGAGGAGCATGGTATTGATGTAGAGCACTTTGGTGAGCTGTTGATCAGTTCAGGCTTTGTGCTTTTGGAGGATGTCAAGTGGATCTCTTTTCACAGGTACATTGGTTTTTTGGGATTGTGGGTATCAGGACTAACAGTCTCTATGATAGTGGATACGATTTTGGATATCTTCTCAAGTTGTTGACGTGTTCCCCAATGCCAGCGGATGAGACCGAGTTCTTTGAAATTCTACGACTTTATTTTCCCTGTATATATGATATCAAATATTTAATGAGGAGCTGCAAGAATCTCAAGGGTGGATTGCAAGATATTGCTGATGATTTACAGGTATGTGAGAAGAACATGGAAAGGGGTTGGTGGGCCCTTAGCAATGAATGGGGATGGTCTATCGGAAATATTCATCAGTGGTTGAGTTGTAGGTGGCCAGAGTGGGTCCTCAGCATCAAGCGGGAAGCGACAGTCTTTTGACATGCACAACCTTCTTCAAGATGCGACAAATGTTCTTTGACGATCGAATCGATGATCAGAAATATCTGTGAGTGCCCATTTATCATCATGAATTTGCTGTATACTCATCATCCATTACAGAGGATACCTATATGGCTTACGCAGTAGTCCAAGCGCCGTACAATCACTCACACAAGCAACAAGCAACATGTCGTTGAATAGCAACAACAATAGCCCGACAATTACAGATGGTGGGGATATAAATGGAAAGATGAATGGAACAATCAGGCAATAAAAAAAAGTAAAAAAGAAAGCAAGCTTTGTTTAAATGATAAGGGAAAGGGAAATCTACAACTTGGAATCGGCAACGAAGTTAGTGCCCTTGGCAATGTTGCCCTTGAGCTCGGAAGCAGCCTTGGTGAACAATTGCTTTTCGTAGGGGGAGATGGAACCAATAGGCAAAACACGTTCAACACCATTCTTGCCGAGCTTGACAGGGACGGAAAAGTATGGCACATCACCAACCAAATCCTTGACAGCCTTAGCACCGTTTTGATCGGCTTCCAAGTTAATGTATGTGCATTCAACAATATCCTTGCCAGCAAAAGCAGCGTCAATCACGGCAAGAGCGAAGCGAGCACCAGCAAAAGCCATGGAAAGAGTAGCACTGCCAGCACCATTCTTAGCCTTGACAACTTCATCACCACCAAATTGGATACGATGGGTGACCTTTTCAATTTGATCTTGAGACAACTTGTTGGTGACTTGAGAGAGCAAAGGCAAAATGGTAACACCGCTATGACCACCAACAACAGGCACCTGCAACTTGCTAGGTTCATCACCAATGAGCTCAGAGACAAATGTCGAGGCACGGACAATATCAAGAGTTGTGACACCAAAGATTCTTTTTTGGGCATTTGCATTAGTCAAAAGCTTCTTGCACAGCAGCTATCTACCCCACCTTTCCCCCATTCTTTACCTGCGAGGATCATAGACATTGTGCTTTTTGAAGACTTCGGCAACAATAGGAACAGTGGAATTGACAGGGTTGGAAATGATACACATGAAAGCCTTGGGTGCGTACTTGGCAGCAGCAGTAGCAAGGTCACGCACAATACCAGCGTTGATCTTGAACAAATCGTCACGAGTCATACCAGGCTTGCGAGGTACACCAGCAGGAATCACAACTGCAACAAACATGGCAATGAGCAATCTCTCTTGACGATGCGCTACAACCCCATGAGTCACTCCTCTTCTCACTTACCAACTGCAGCATCCTGAATAGCATCCTTGAGTTGCTCAGGACCAACATGGCCGGTAACTGTGGACTTGGTGTTGATATGGCTATAGAGAGAATACGCGATATGATCAATGTGCTATCCTACATACACACTAATAAAGTGTTTGTTATATATACCTAAGGTCAGCAGCAACACCGGGAGTGTTGACGATATCGTAGAGGGAGAGATGAGTGATTCTCTCGGATTGCTTCAACAGCAACGAGAGAGGTTGACCAATACCGCCAGCGGCACCACATACACAGACTTTAACCATGATGACAAAGAAGAAACAGAAGATGTGATTTTCATGTGTCCCCCGCATTTGATCGCTTTAAAACCATCCCCCTCGGTCAAAACTCAGCATCCAACCACACGTGAAGTTGACCTCTTTGTCATTTGACAACCCACCTGCGCACTTGCATATGATATCTCCTGCCTTATGAACTATCTTACAAAATCTAAATCATAAAATGAAGAACGCGTCTTACTATCTTATTGACAACATCCTTTATCACAGCGTTTTACACATGGATGTACTCTTCCAATCCGCCATGAATCTTTCTATAATACAATGCATCAAACACCCACAGATGATGGGGCCAACTCATGAATATGGAAGGTCTCTTCTCTTATCAGTGATTGGGTCAACACAATCCCGTACTCGCTTAAAGTAATCCTTCAATTCAACATCATTCATCAAGGATAGATCGAGAGGTACAACAAATTGCTTCAATGGGAAATACACAATCCGAGAAGTTGCATCCTTTTTGTATTCATTGTGTAAAACTGAATGGATAAACGTAAGATGGCTCTTGGCGTGTGTCAGGGAATTGTTTGCAAGGCGTGTTAAATCATCGAGATGGATGATGCTGATTGTGCATGGTTGACAGGTTGCACAAAGGATGATGATAGTGGTTGCCATGAGATAGTGTGCAAAGTATGTACGATGATTGGATGCATCAATCGTTCAGGGTGATCGCATCAAGCAAATGGTCAAGGTGACAATGGAGACGTAAGAACAAAGGTTCCTTTTCCACGCGTCGAATAGATCCCAATTCCCCCATCTCTTGTACCAAGCCAATACCCAAACATATCCATATCCATATCCATAAGAAGTTGTATGTATTGAAGCAAGTTGCTACACGTAAATAAAGCTGCCTCTATACAATGGCTATTTGCTGTCACGTGAACAAGGCTGTAAGGCAAGCTGCTGCAAGGGAAGAACGCTTTTTGAGAGGATAGAGTAGAGACTTCGCTAATAGCAGCTGCTGGAATGAATGCTGTTACGCTTGATCGTGGAAGAGAGATGTGCAAGAGCGTTTGTTGTGTCAAGAGATTCGTGTGTTGTAGAAGAGTGACAGGAAGGCTGTGTACACGCCATGAACTTGTCATTCAGTCAAAGACAATCGGATCAAGCGAGTTGTAGGATTGACATGATGGGTTGAAGCAGGACGATCGTTCGCCGGTAGTTGTATACTTGAATGGAGCAACAGTTGAGAATGGGAAGAAGAAGAGGAGAGAAGCTGGGAGTGGAAGAAGTGGAAATTAACTTGATGCTTCTGTTGTTGGATGAGCTTTCTTTGTTTGAGCGTTGTTCAGTCAAACTCTCTCGGATCAAGAAAGTTGAATGATGGCCATGCTGAGCTGGAGCAGGACAATCGTTCGTGTGCATTGAATTGGACAACAAAGGTGAATGGAAGGAATGGGCTATCAAGTGGCAGTTTACATTAACTTACCAATTTGATTCTTCTGATATTGGATGATGTTTCTGTGTTTGAGCGTTTTTCAGTCAAATACCCTCGGATCAAGAAAGTTCAATGATGGGCATGCTGGGCTGGAGCAGGAGAAGCGTTCACATGCATTGGGTTGGGCAACAATGGAGAATGGGAGGAAGTGGCTGCTAGCTGGCAGTTTATAAGTAACCATGGCATTAATTTTTCTAAAATTGGATGATGTTTCTTTGTTTGACCGCAGCTCAGTCAAATCCCCTTGGATCAAGAAAGTTGAATGATGGAAGTGTAGGTCTGGAGCAGGACAATCGTTCACATGCATTGGATTGGGTAACAATAGAGAATGGGAGGAAGTGGCAATACATGAACTGGAAATTACGTCTGTGTATCTATCATGCATTGATCCTTCCTGGTTTCTCAGCTCCGTTACACAAACACGACCCTCTGCATCTTTTGCTCTGCCAGGATCAAGCTACTTCACAATGAACAAAGACCACCCTTCATATAGCATCATGCACACAACATAAAGGTCCCTGTAACTCTAAACTTTACAATCAGACGTGGGGTCTTTAATCGAACAATCTTGCTCGGCGGGGTGAAAACGATCTTGTGTCAAACTATGAAGTCCATCATGGGCAACCCCAGATTTCGCCATGTCGCCATGAGCCAAAGTGGATCGACCTCTTGAATTTTTTTTTGACGACGACGAAAAATTTTTTTGGCTGGTGGCGACATCGCGAAATCTGGGATTGCCCACGATGAACATGAAACTTGCACACAAGGTACGCTTCACCCCGCCGAGCATGTTGCTCTATTAAAGATCCCCACGTTTGATTGTAAATTCTTGAGATATGACTGTCTTGATGTTTTTGCTAGGCTGTAAGCGTGACGTGATGCTATATGAAGGGTGGCCTCTGCTCGTTGTCAATCGCCTCACTCATATTAGAGCCGTGCAGAAGGACTCGTTTGCGTAACAAAGCTGAGAAAGCAGGACGCTGTAAGGGTCAATCTTATTGGTAGAGATGTGCATGATGTACGTAGTAGCTCCATCACCAACATTAAGGGCCACCTACAACAATTAGGTGTATGGAATGGTTTCTTAAGTAAGTACCTTAGAAAATACAGTCATCTTTACAGTGGGTCACCTTGATTACATACTAGGCTCAACGTTCATTCATATCTTTTGATAGGTGTGTATGACGTATATTCGAAGCTGTTCTTTCAAACTATATGCAGAAAACAACAAATGTATTCACTTTCTTCGATAATGACAAAGATGAAGAAGAGAAGATGGGGGAGGAAAGTATATGATTTAAAACGTACAAAGAACAAAATGAGAGATACGTAGTAATGGGAATACAAGATGCAATAAAGATGGAGATTAATCCAGCAAATCAACAATGGCTATAGAGTGAAATATACAAGTTAATACAAGGCTCTCGTCGTATGTATGTTTGAAAGGCTTACCTTGCAGGATCAAAGATCCCATCATGACTGCCAAAAGAACAATAGCATGTAGCTGAGAAAAGGGAAGTGCACACATGCTCCACAGGACGATTGCGTTAAGAATCCGTGATCCAATGATGACGATGCCGTAAATGTCTTTAAGCTTGGTATTGATGAATTTGATGAGCGAGTTCAGAATAAGGATCAACCCTCCCATGATCAGGAATGTTTTGTAAATGAAGTTCTTCTCATCGTCTGAAAAGTCCACCTTGAGCTCTTCAGCCCCAGCTCTCCGCACAAGATGATGTGTGCTGTTTGCATGTGCATCCATCATATCGTTGCTATCACCAGATGTTGACGAAGTCATTTCAATAGCTTGTAGTGCTGTGAACGCTGCTGTGCTCAATGCATACTTGAACATGGTGACATAACCGGTTTCATGCAATGCACCTAATGATCCAGCAGGCTTCACCGAAACAGTTGTATGCACGGATGGTGTTGAGAAATGGGTATCATCAATTGCGTCGGGATAAACAGAATCCAATGCACGCTTTGCCAGCTTGTGAGCACTCTCTGTACTTGATCCACTACTGCTACTCTCATTGGGTTGTGCCTCGCCACTCGAAGATTCCGATGCAGCTGCTGGCTCTGCTCCATGTTCACTGCTGGATCCTGATGCTGCAGGTTCAGCTCCATGTTCACCGCTTGCAGCTGGCTCAGCTCCATGTTCACCACTTGCTGCTCCTTCAGCTGCAGGTTCTTCTTCATGTAGAACACCATCTTCTATAAGCTGTGAACGGTATACCTTGAGACTAAAAGTTGGATTAGTGTAAGCTAAATCAAAATAAACGATCCATTCATTACTTACGTGTTGATCAATGCAATACCAAAAGCAACCTGGCAAAGATGCAGGGGGAAATGAAGATAAACCCAAATCTGGTGGTGTTTGCTTTGCAAGAAAACCTAAACATTCACGCAACAAAAAAAGTGAATACCTTTGCTCCTTTGGTTTTACGTGACAACAAAGGGCTACTCACCTCTTTGGTGAAATCCTCAAAGTACATAAAAAAGAATCCAAAGATGATGACTACCGCCATCCAGTTGGGTGCCCTGCATGACCATTATGAATAACATAGCACCTCTTGGCAGTTTCCATATACTTACATGATCATAATGTCCAGGCCCGATGCGGCGACCAATCCAACTAACCCCATCAGGTTTTCGCCTATGAATAATACTCCGATGAGGATCTTCATCATTCCAAGCGCATCTAGCCCATCATACACAAGGGGGTGCCATCGTCATATAACTTACCCAGAACAATCAGTGTGAGCAAACCCAAACGTTCGGCAAGATTGCTAGCAGCCCATGAAAGTGTCTTATCACCACGGCTAATAACGTTCACCAAGACCTCTGTCAGGATACCCAAATACCATAGTACACGATGGATGCCTTGGTCGAGGATGGCTAGGGAAGAAGCCCACAGCGTGATCGAGATGAGGTTGGCACCAACATAAAAGGACAATGCAATGCGTGATTTTGATCTTGCAAGAAGAGCAACCACCAGCACTTGTGACAAGTTGCCAAATTAGGTTTGGAATCAAGCTATTCTTCCGTTTTCAAAGAACTTACCGATTGAATATTCAAACACCAATACAGCCTTGAGTGCTAATAAAAGATCATCCATCCATCAATAATAGCGTCCCATGCATGCATATAGTATCAAGTTATCTCACCGATATAGCCATAAACATAAGCTGCGGATGTCAAAAAGTGTTGAGCAGTACCTGCCATGGAGACTTGAAGACAAAAATGTAAGACCGCTGTCGATGGATGGGAGCTATGTTACACACTTACTGACAGCACACATTTCAATTAATTTCCAAATGTGGTGTACGACATCATCCCTATCATCATCATTTAATGACTTGTGTCTCATGGATTTTCGTGTTGTGATTGTCAGCTTACGTGTCAAATCGAGCGGTGTATCTATATACGATTAATGCGTATGACGTGAGATTTAGGTATCCTTCACACAATAAAGTAGCTTCTTACTTACAATGAACTTGCTGTCCATGCCCACCAGGTGATAACGAACCATTGTGCATATGTTCCCAGTGATGTCCAATCTTTGATAACATGGCTGTGGGTGAATTCAGTCAAGGTAGCGACGTAAAACAAGTCATAAAAGAGCTCCAACCAAGATGCTGCCTTTTCTTGACCGATATCAGCACTGAGATCAGGCTCTGGATGTCTGAAAAGAACAATAATAAGATCGAGTTACTATATAGCATGATCCATCGATGCTTACTGAAAGAAGGGTCTACGTGTAGCTTCGACTGGAAGGTGCTCATTATGGTGTATACGAGGCTTAAACTCCACATAAACGTTTTCATTGAATTCGATGGTGCGGTTGTTGGGATTGTGTTCAAGTTGAGATAAATCGTGATGTGTGGGTTCAAAATGATCCGATTTGTGGTGATGGATCTTGATTGAAAAGTCGCGTTTGCACTTGTATAGGAAAGCGGTTAGGCCGTCAGTGTCATGCACACCATTAAACTTGATTCGTTCTTGTGGAGTCAACCGCAGCTAAATTATTATATTGCATTAGGTTCTATGATGTGCTAGGGGGGAAGTGTAATATAGACATCAATGATAGCTTACCAAACTAGCAAATTCATCCGCCTTATCATGGGCCAGTGCAAAACTCTGGTTGCCTCGCAACTGCCGAAAATGGACAACTACCATATTGAAACATCAACATTTGCCTTCAAGCTCCTTATTCCCCATCATCACATACCAATCACATATTCGGTGTCAGGTTCAGGCATTGGTGGTGGTGGCCTAATCGAAGAAGGATCACACCTATTAGGGAAATGCCGGCCATATGACTATTACTACTTACATTTCCTTTGCATGTTCTTCAGGAGATGATGATTTCCATGCTTCCAACTCTTTCAAGTATGTCTTTCGCCTTTCACGATGTGCCTGAAATTGTTCGACTGGATGCGATATCACGTCGCCAAAAGTCTCTTCTCCGTGTTGATACGTGGGACGATCACCAAGGCTTTTACGATTGTCGCTGAATTCAATCTGTTCCATCTCGACATCGTCATCGGGGCCATTGAGAGCCATGAATTCCTCTTCGTCTTCTTGACGTGTGCGACCAATGGGAGGGCGGTAACCACCTCGTCCACGCATAGTGGGACCTCGTCTTACAGTACCTCGACGCATTCTTGATATACAAAATGAGTGTGAAGGGAGAAAAAGGGTATTGTTGTGGAAGAAAGAAAGAAGAAGAAAAAAGGGGGGTGGATGGGCCAAGCCCAAGATTTGATTTAATTGAGAGCGCAGTAAAGTGAGAAGGTGTTCGTCGATCAGCCCAATGCTCCGATAATGACAAGCGCTTATCCAAATAAGGCATGTGGATCCCATTATCCACTGTGGTCCCGACCCACACCAACCACCACAACAAAAATAAAAATGACGGGGGTGTTGCATTGATTGTATCATTTACATCTCTTTCTCATTTCATTCCAACACATAATGGATCCAGCTCACGATAAAAACAAAGACGAACAATCCACAACAGAAGTTAAAATCCATGACTTGTATCATCTCATCCATAGCCAACGCTGTTGCATGATGACCACTCGATGTGCTGACTCAGGTCGTCTTGTCAGTCGAGCGATGGCACCGTGCCCGGTAAATCACTATTTTTGTGTGACCCTCTATCCATTTCTTGGACTGATTCTTTCCCCCCATTATCGATGGCTTTAGCCTGATCCAGAAACACCAGCCGATCTCTGGTTCTTTGCTAATAATCAAACTCAAAAGTTCAAAGAACTAGATCATGACCCCAATGTAAATCTAGCCTTCAACAATCCTGCCACAGCAGAATGGGCAAGTATTTCGGGTAAAGCAAAAGTCATCAATGACCGAAACAAAATCAAGCAGCTGTACACCCCAGACCTTAAGGTATGTCTGAAACTTTTCTCACCCCACCCCGCGTGGTAACGTTTTCATCATCATCATTCATATTCAACGTTGCTCATAGGCTTGGTTTGGCGATTTGCATGATGGTGTTCATGATGGCAGTGCTGATGATCCACGCATTTCCCTCATCTATGTTGAAGGTGAGACTGTACATCAAACCCTGAAAGGCGCTTCAGTGCCTGTTCAAATATGGCGTATCACCAAGGCGATGTGGTCGGGTGAACCTCCCAAGATTGCTGTTAGTCAAGAACTCGATAATGAAGAACTGCAGCATGCTCGTAATGTTCATAACCTCGATAATGCCATAGTTGATTAGGAACCCAAGAAAAAATCACTTTCCCCAAACCCTTGTACATAAAAACAACGCTTTGATGCATGAACGATCTGACGTTGCACATACAAGTTACACGTAGCTTGGCATTAACATTGAGAGTGACTATGGACTTTGTGTCACATGGGCGCAGCATGTATTTGTGTATGTGTGATCCTTGTGAGAACTCAAACTTTCCATGTTGTAGGAAAACCCAATACCCATAATAATATATGTATGTCTCATAATGGAACTCTGCAAACAAAGGTGACAAGTCATGTGATCTTGTTGCCAAAGTAAAACTACCACAAAGCTTATCAATCACGTGGAAATGGTATTGCATGTGCGTCATTCAACATGGTTTTTATATCCAAACAAGGTTACAAGGTAATACGCTGATAATTGACGGTAGCTAAGCCCTGTCCTCGGATCAAAACGGTGGTATCCTTGCTCAAATGATCGAGTAAGTATTTGAATGCTGGTATCTCCCCCTTGGTCCATTCATCGTAGTAGCAGCCAATGGTCGCGCTCATTGTTGCATTGCCGGTCTTTTTGTATTCCACACCCATATGGAAAGGCTGCCCATACTCTAGGTTGTAGGCGACTAAAGCTCCAAGTGTCTTGTCATGTGGCGTCTCCACGCCATGTGCAAATCCTTTGATAAATTTGCCATCCTTCTCATCATCCGTATCCAAGCGTAAGCGACACAAGATGCTGTTTTTGGCTGTAAACACCGTATCAAGGCGACACACATTATCATCGTCGCATGAAGTCTCGATCTTTGATACTTGGATCTCGTCTTGGTTGTCGGCATAAATAGGCACAAGGCTGGTTTGGTACTTGCATTGCGTTTGATATGTATTGAACACGTTGCAGGAGAGTGATTGAGATTCATTGGCAGGAAGCGTTTTCTTCAAGGCTTGTGCAACGCCCCAAGCTGCTGTCATGCTCACAGTTGACAATCCTGAAGTTGCATTGTATTCTTCCCTGTACAACATCTTGTTTGGTGACCAGCCATCATTGAAAGGCTTGAGGACACAGCAAACAGCAAACACCAGGACAAAGATAGTAGTCATGCTGATGGCTGCAGATCGCTTACGACCAGCGATATGGATCCAAGGCTGAAGGTGAATCACCATGAGGACGATTGGCAAGGACATCAATCCATATACTATAATAATAGACCACGTTTAATAAAGGAGACGTGTTCCTACATCTATCCCACTTACCTGCAGCTTCTGGGGTTCCATCCACCGTCGCATGACGCATGGTATCCATCAACAAGTAGTTTTGATCAATAAGGATCACAAAAGGCACCAAGATTTGAGTCAGGAACACAAGAGGCATTCTTAAAAGGCTCTGGACCGGCATGGCATTGTAAAGGGCCACAGCAACGACATTGCTTGCCAAGATAAAGATGGAAAAGTACATGACGGCCACTTGATTAGAGGATGCGTATACGCTCAATATCACCATGATCCACCAAAACGCAATAACACCATAAAAGCTTGATTCTGGTGATGACAAGGTCTTTCGCATAAATTCAGGTTTGGTGCAAAGAATTTGGGATGTGATCAAACCAAGAACAGCAGCGAGGAAGAGGTACATGGACACTGAGATGGCATTTCCATACGTGACCTATCATCGTTATTGTTAGTATTTTCGAGAAAGATGATCCATCGCCTACATACCATAGTATTGATATTGAATAATGCCGTTGCTGCAATACCCACAAAGATCACCGTGAATAGAAAACCAATGATAGTAGCAAAGAATCCTTGTGCCACAATCGCCATTCGTTGACCGAGTATGCGGCCTTTGGAGGGACCAGCGATAATCCATGTCCATACGAGAGCGATCAATGGAGCAACAACCAAGATAAGGATGTTGATATTGCGTTGGGTGGCAAATCCATATGCAAGCATAAAGCGGCCTACGACGTCATAGTACACCATCTTTGATTCATGCTGTTCAGTGAAAATGGAATCATCTTTGTCGATTGCCTTGAGAGCTTCCAAAGTGACATCACCCATGTGTTGGACTGACTTTGGTGATGTGTTGTCGAGGTTGTCACGTGGCGTATGGTAATGAGAACGAGGTGCATAGAATGCAATGTCAACACCAGGGACACCTTGTTGTGTGAAGATTGTATAATCGGTATCACTATGATATTGGGAGCACATTAGCTACCATCCACACGAATGACAAATGTACACCCTTATTACCTTTTGATTAACCCAAGTTTGAACATATCATTGCCAAGGGGTGTTGCATGCGCTAATGGAGCATGTGCTGCTACATGCTTTATTGCTTGCATACTGCTACAACGGAAAATCATTGCACGTCCTCCAGCTCCAGCTCCCTCTATTACTCTTGTATCAGTCACTTTCCTTTGTCATTCACATGATCACAAAAGCCATACCAAGATTAATAAACATCTTCACTGTGGGAAACCAAGGATGCTTCGTGAACTGCTTGGCACCAACTAGATAATGAAGATAATGCTGTTAGTACATGTCAACTTTAGTACCAAGGCATGATGACTTACCCAATCCTCCTTCTTCGGCATTGTTGATAAGGAAAATGATTGAATGACGAGGAGGATGCTGAATGAAGTATCTCAAGAGTTCCAAGGCCACTGATACACCCATACCATTATCGGTTACTCCAGGAGCTGTAGGGACGCTGTCATAGTGCGCATTGATCAATACTGCTTCATCCGTATCAAGTTGACCACGTAGGCGTACAATCAGGTTTCTTGATTCCATAATCCATTGTTCACCTTTAAACACGATATTAGTTAGAGTCATATCCAATTGTCCTCGTCCTATTTTCAACTTACTCTTGGCGAACCATACATTCTCGTTTGCCACCACAATGCCATCCTTGGTTACCACATCCACCTGGACGCCTGTTTTTTGGCCTTCCTTTTGGAAATCGAATGCGAGAGAGTCGAGCCATGCCTTCATAGCAATGTTTTCTCGAGAGTTCACAGGGTGTGGTTCAGTAAAGCGACTCAAGTAGGTTTCAAACGCGTGCATGCCGGCAAAGCCATCCTTTGCTTGAGCTGACCGGTCTGATAATGCTTCAGGAAGTGCCACTCGAACGCCATGAACGGCCAATGCAAGGAGAGCAATGAAGCCAAAGGTGAAAAGGTAGACGAATGCTGCACGCTTTCTCTGATTGGGCAATAAATGGAGTCGTGAACGCGAGCGTGTTGCAGGTTCATGGTGGGATAAAAGAGGTGTCTGCTCGGACGCATTACCACGCCGTTGGTCGTCGTCTTCCATCGCCATTGGAAATGAAGCAAGGGAAAAGAAGCCTGAGTCGTTGTTGCACTGTGCACACACACACGATATTGAAAACAGAATCAAATTAGGTAATCAAATTTGAAGCCGAGTAAACGGATATCGTGTCACCAACCAACCATCCACACGCATGTATTCGGGGCGTCTTGGTTACCATGTGCAAGGAGATACCACCCAACACGCAATCTTTTTGGACGTTATGCATCTATTGAATGAGCACACAATGCTTTCGTTTCATTAAGAAAAGCACACGCCTCAAGTATACGTACATAGTCCGTAATTGAGTTTGCGTTATAATGAAAGCAGTAATGCACAAACCATGTATCACATTCATTGTCATAGCATTACATGTTACACAAGCCTCTTCCCACGCTTCCTTTTCTTTCTTTGTATGCATGAAATGACTGTATGCTACTATCAGAATGCTTTTGGATCACAAAGAAGCCACCACAAAAAATTACAGGGATAACAAACACACAACATTTATAATATCATTGAGTCTGCTATGTATTCTTCTAACTAAGTACATGTCTATTTATGATTTCTCTACTGGTAACTTGGATGGCAACGGTTGGAGATCAGGTGGAAGAAATTGTGAACGAGCATCTTGAGACTTTAGCATCTTGGGCGAGTAATACTTGTATATGGCATTCTGATCTGTTAATATGGGATACCGTTCCATGAACTCGAAAAAGTCATCCTGATCCTGCAACTTGTTGTCTGGCGATTCGATTGCAAGGTTGACAAGATGGATGTAGAAGGAGGTGATTGTTTCGTGATAGCTTTGACGTTTGGATGGGTTCATTTCAAAGTGGCGACGAATGGTTTCCTTGATGACGGGTGTAGCGGTATCCTTGCCAAGCTCCTTTAAATAATTCCAAGCCATACGAACATGAGCACGATGTGTCCATAAGCGAGGATCCATAGAGTCTTCAAATTCCTTCATGAATACTTGCTCACCCACGCTTCGATACATGCGATCATAATACAAAAGGGGTTGAGCTTCCTCTCGTCGACCGAGTTTGCTACCGACACCATGATCCACCTTGGTAACACGCGTAATCCATAATTCATGATCTCCAAGCTCCAATACTTTGAGAAGTTTGCATTGCATTGAACCAAGCGTTCCCATGAGAACGGGTAATCCTGTGGATGGATCGTCATAGAAAGGGATATCCTTGAATTGGTCGGCTTTGTTGGGCGACGAGAATGCTACTGACTGCTGCATTTGTTCGTGGGACAAGATATTGACAACCATACCACCAGAGGCATGCAATAGATCAGACGCTCGTGAGGGGATGCGTACACAGAATGAAACAAGTGGTTCCGGATGTAGACATATGGGTGTGAATGAAGATACAGTGACACCTCGACGTTGAATTGATTCAGTGGCTCCTCCTCCTCCACCATTCGAGGTTGTAACGACGACAACCGGTTGAGGAACTCGTCTCATTACTTTGCGTACTTCATCAGCAACGACATTACTGGGCGGGGCCGTGGTATAGCTGCGTAAAAAGGTGCGTTGGCAGGTGGAACGGGCTATGCAGCGCGTGAAAAACAACATTGATAAAGAGGCACGACAGCCCTGGCTGGGTTTTGGAGCGGGCTAATCTCATTCCACAAAAGCACATGGTGATCAATCAGTAAGCATGATGTTTGGTACATGGCATATATAAGACATACATTGATATCAGATTATAGGAAAGAAGGATACAAGGGATGATAAGACGGGACCATTTTGAAGAAGAAAACATCCGAAATGCATAGGCATCGGTAACTCAATGCTGCTCTTTTTCATAATGTTGGCTCGAGAAGAAGGTTTCTTTGGTAGATGTTGTAATTCTACAAGTCGCTTGGGTAATGGTAGTACCATGTATAGCATGGCCTAGTACACCATCATCAGCATGAGCAGCAATGCAAGGCAAATTAGTAGATATCGCCATAGATGCTTTCATAACATAGCTCTAATAAAAGGTGCACCTATCTACTATCATTTGTAGTTACTAGGATTGGATTATATAATAAAGGACATCGATTACATGTATGCGATGAATGGCTATTGACCTGTGTATATGATCTTTTGTGAGCATCCGTGACTCTCCACCCTGAAGCTTCGTTTCGTTGGCCCCGCTTAAAACGCGTGCTACGCGCCCTATTTCTTTACTTTTCTCCACCCGAAACGACACGACCCACCACCACCTCCACAACCTACAATGAATAACTTTTTCCAAGCACGATCAACCACCAATCGCAGTGCCAAAGACCAAGTCTTGGAAGAATCCAAACCATGGGTCGAGAAATAGTAAGCTTTTATTTTCAGATCTGCCATGAAGGGTTATCTCATGCTTTAGAAACAGTCGACCAAAGTCAATGAACGACATTTCTTCGCAGGAACAAGTGGTGCGCGTGTTGCAAAAGGCATTGACTTCAGAGAACGTATGTGGATTTGGGCTTGGACACATACATATCGACATACCACTGACAAGTGCTATCATATCATCCACACAATAGCTTCCTCATTTGCTCTTTTATGGACCTCCCGGCACTGGTAAAACATCCACTGTTTTGGCACTTGCACGTGAACTCTTTGGGTAAGTGACGAGGGATACCTATGCAAAGCTCTCTTTAACCAATGTTGTATCTCTTCAAAGTCCATCTCTATTCGCTTCACGTGTATTGGAATTAAATGCATCAGATGAACGTGGTATTCAAGTTATCCGAGAAAAGGTCAAGACATTTTCACGTATCACTGTTACCAAGACCGTTGCTGGTTATCCTTGCCCTCCCTATAAGCTCGTTATCTTGGATGAAGCCGATTCAATGACCAAGGATGCTCAATCAGCCCTGAGACGTACTATGGAAACCTACTCAAAAACCACCCGCTTCTGTATCATTTGCAACTATGTTAGCAGGTAAGAGCAATGATGAAAGTACAAGGTGGTCTGTTGGGTCACTTACAAGGAGGGTCCTTTTTCATCAGAATCATTGAACCCATCACATCTCGTTGCGCAAAGTTCCGATTCAAATCATTACCCGTGGACGACGTGAATAAGCGCTTGACAGAAATCTGCACAAAGGAAGGCGTTGATTTGGCTCGGGGTGTAAGTTTATCTATTTGTGATGTCCATAAAGGAGGTGTACTAATATGTCTGGATATTATACATAGACTATGGATGTGTTGATCAAGGTCTCCAATGGCGATTTACGTAGAGCAATCACTTATTTGCAATCAGCATCTTCCTTGCATCAAGGGGAAACCATCAAACCAAATACCATGAGCGAGTTGGCAGGAGTAAGTAGTACATTGCATTGTTGAAGCGTACGGTGGACTCATTGTTGGGATATAGATTGTACCGGATGACGATCTTGCCAAATTATTGCAATCTTGTGAAACGAATAACGACAATGAAATCCAGGATGCGGCATTAAATGTCATCAACCAAGGCTATGCAGCAGATATTGTGGTTTATCAGGTATGGAAATGGTGGTCAATATCATGAGAACAATGAAGCCCTCAACGTTTTTTCCTTTTCTTTGTAGTTGCACGAGGAGATTATGAAGTCTGAAACGATCAACACTGCCCAAAAAACCGAGATCTCAGATTTACTGGGAACTGCTGATATCCGCCTTGTCCAAGGAGCCGATGAACATCTTCAATTATTGCGTCTTATGACTGGCATAGCTTCTATCTTGGCCAAATAAAGCACCCTTGTATTCAACAACAACGACATTCTGTAAATGTATTTCACGTATGTAGCTATGAACCAGCATTAAAATACCAATCAATCATTTTCAAGGTGCCATAAAAAAGTTTAATACTAGTTATTCTATGAAGGAGGGGGGATCTATGTTTACAGCTCTATTGTTGTCACTCGATTCATTTATAGTTGGCATTCAAAAGGAACATCCTGCTAAAGATCAAAAGTCCAGGGGCAATAGGTGGCTCATTCAAGTGCATCTTGATCCAATATTCAAGTCGTCGTTGAAGTTGTTCTTCATCTGTATCAATGGATCTCCTAAAGGCCGACGCATTAGAGATGCCATACCTTTTGTAACGCTATCAACACACTTACATTCCACGCTCCTCCACGGCTTGTTGTAAATCTGACAACGAAAGCGATTCGATACCTTCTTGTGCGATCAACTGTGTGTAGGGTTGTATTTTAGCCTTCTGGTGTCTCTATTCGACCTTTTATGCTTACCTTGTCATCCTTCAAGAGGTAGTCCATATGAGTAGTCAAACGCTGCTCAAGCATTGACTTGGTACCCCATCCACGAAGACCCATAAATCTATACACTATGTTAAAATCCACTAGGATCATTCAACTGCATCGTTCGTTCCTTACCTGCAGTAAGCCGAAAGGTTCTTTTTATGGATTTGGGCGAGCTCGAAATCATAATTGTAGTGCTTGGCAAACTTTTCAAAACTTCGTGGCTTCAAGAAATCTTGCACTGAAAGCTATCATTGTCATCATCAATAACAAGTTGTCAGATACAGCAGCCATGACAATGACTTACTCCAGGGATCCTTTCGGAAGCAGCAAGGACATTCTTGGACATGATTTGACGTGCATCATCCAGCTTTTTACGTTGCTTGGACTATTATTAAAAGTAGTGAGATCATGTCCTCTTCATCAATAACAAAGCAAGCAACTTACGATTTGAACTTCTTGTAAGCATGTACTAGGTATAATGCTAGGAACAAAGATGACCCAAAGGGGAATCTACCAACACCAACAGATGAATAAAGAGCTTATCACATGTCATAAAGTATATACTCACAGATTCAGGCAAGATAAGGAAAATCAATCCAAATGGGATAAGCTTGAGCATGTCCTTTTGAGATCTATGGATCTATTCACCTCATCCATCAGCCCATTACTGCACAAGCACAGGTCTCATCATCAATGTATAACCTACCAACTGAAATTCGGCACGATTCAATACATATCCTTGTTCCTCTACTTTTTGCTTGAGTGCCTTGGCTTCCTTTTGATTCGCCCACAAAAGCTTAAGACCGTCCTTGTAGAATCCAATCAGCGCCTTCGATTTCTCATAAAGCTGTGCTATGCGGCCTTTGGGTTTCTCTTGAATTTGCTCCGTGGTTGAAGGTGAAGAGGATCCATTGGATAAGCGATAAGAGCTGACAGTGAAGGATCTACAATATAGCATACGTTTACAAACTGCTCCTTTTTAACCACTAAACTCTGTATGCCACACGTACCTTTGCAATAAAAGTGGAGAGTATGGCTGAACGAAAGCTCGAGATCGCAAGGGAAAGGCGATCGCACTGGTACCTGCTGCGCGAGAGTTGGCGGTTTGCAAAGGGCTCACCCTGTACGATAATAGCGAAATCAGTATACGATGACTAAGAGCGGATCCCATCTAGTCAGGTTTCCATACCTAGCGCAAGCGCGAATGAGTTGACGACGAGCGATTGGTGCCGACATGAAAAAGAGAGAGTGAAATATCAGGGCAAGTCAAACCTGATTACTTTATAGGGACGTAATCGGAAAAGAACAACCGATGAGCAGCATCACATAGCTGGATTAGAATGATCATTTGCCAATAAACAATGAATACAAAAAAAAGTCCCCCATTTGCCATGGATGAGGATAATGAGCCAGCTGTTTTGATTACTAGTAATGCTGTTGTATCGGATAAACATGCTGCTTCTTTAATGATCCAAAGTTGCCATGACAACAATCTCCATGACCACATTAGGTATCCATGATCACACTTTTTCATCTCTTGAAATAAATACACTGTTTATGATGGCCATCAACTACACTAGGTTTTCATGTTCGTCAATGTAAAAGGGTGTGCGTGTGTGTGAAAGAATAAAGCTGCTTAAATGCAAATCTCATCCAATAGTGGATTGTTCCAACAAGGCTGTGTACAACAACGAATCGGACTTGATCTTTCAGCCTGGTCGGTTGTCTATCACTGCCAATCCCTTACCTCTGGCGCTTAAAGTTGTCTCTTTGTTCCAGTCAAGTCCACTTTCGGCGAATTGTCAAAGTAGCAGGTTGCAAGATAACATCATCTACCCGTCTCATTGTCCTTGAGCATTCAGCCTTTGCTTTGCAACACTATAAGCCATCTGTTCCCCCTGCTTGAGTCCAATAGCAGCAGCTAATCTTTTGGCAAGCAACCTCATCCATCCTGCAATGTCTTCGCCCAACAGCACCAGCAAGTCCACCTCGAGTTTACACAGATCCCTTTCCGGTCATCTGCAGCGACTCCATATTCGTAATCAGGACACAAACACACCGACAAGTTCACAAGAATTCACCGAGAAACGTTCAGGTGTTTATTCGATAACTTGGTTGATGGGACATGTCTCTCTAAATGATATTATTATCTCTTGGATATAGCAGCTCCGCGCAAGTTTTCCTTGCAATCAAGATCTCCTCCCTCGCAACAACTACTAAGTCGATCTCAAGAAAATACGGGCATTGATGCGATTCAACCTATCAAAAGATCAAAGTCTCAAATGACTTCTTCATCTTCAACAAAGCTATCATCATCATCTGTCAGTAGACGACATCGTTCTCCACCACCTCCTGCTTCTTCGAGTTCCCCGATCATGAACAAATCAGCTCTTGAACAACAACAACAACAACAACAAAACATCATGTCAAGTAGTCAGATCAGCGAGACAACAGATGATTCTGGAGATGATGCAAAGGATTTATCCAACGGCATGTTTGGTAAAGCGCGTGATCGCACGACATTCAAGGGCGTGTTTGGGAAGATGGTTGGCAGTTTCAGTAAGTGGGGTATTTCATGCATGCTATTGGTTGGCTGGATATTAAGTGTATTGCTTGCCGCGTTTTATAGATCTCCTCAACAAGGATAATGCTGCGAGTAAACAGGAGAAGGAAATGGAGATTTCTGGTCCATACAACGCTAAGCACGTCACTCATGTTGGCTTTGATCCTACTACGGGTGAATTCACTGGGCTACCATACGAATGGCAAGTGCTACTAAAGCAAAGTGGCATTTCCAAAAAGGAACAATACCAAAATCCTCAGGTATATTGAAAATAAGCTTTTATAGCACGTGTATCTCATCGTCACTATTCTTAGGCTGTATTGGATGCTATTGGATTCTACCAAGAAACAAGAAACCATGATGATTCAGTGTATCACAAGATGGAAAGGGCACATACGGCAAGCCATTTACATACCGTTTCCTCATCGGCTGCTCCTCTTCCCAATTACACCACTCCAAATGAACGTGTATCGCCTCCTTCATCGCCTGTTGCTTCTTATCAACAACCATCATCACCTACGTTTACTGATCAACCACCACGATCACCACCTCCTCCGCCACAACAATTGCAACAACAACTCACCAAGTCTACCGAACAATCAGGCTCCAGCTCACTTGATCGCTATTTAGCTGAAGGTCGATCTCAACATCCATCATCACCCTCACCACCACCCGCTAACAAATCTCCTCATCCTGCACGTGACTATGATATCAAACACAAGTTGAGTACAAAGCATCGACGACATGAAAATGAACCACAGCATCAACAACATGGTCCATTGGCTGGATCACCAGGCACTGTACGACAACGACCCAAAGAACGAAAGAGCGCTGGTATGAAAGATGCTGAAGTGATCGCCAAGCTTCGTACGATTTGTATTGAGGATAACCCAAGCAAGATCTATCGCAATATGACCAAGATTGGACAAGGGTAAATGCAACCCATTTTGTGATACGTAACCTAATTGGACTTACACGACGCTTTTTTTGTATAGTGCTTCAGGTGGTGTTTACACTGCTTATTCGGAAGGACGTGATTTGCCGGTTGCTATTAAGCAAATGAATCTTGAACAACAACCCAAGAAGGAACTTATCATCAATGAAATCCTGGTCATGAAAGAATCCCGACACAAGAATATTGTCAACTTTATCGACTCGTATCTTTGGCGTGGCGATTTGTGGGTTATTATGGAATACATGGAAGGTGGTAGTTTGACGGATGTGGTGACACACAACATGATGATTGAAGGCCAAATCGCTGCGGTGTGCAAAGAAGTCTTGGCGGGTCTCTGTCATTTACATGCAAATGGTGTCATCCATCGTGATATCAAGAGTGACAATGTGCTTTTAAGTTTGAACGGCGACATCAAGTTGAGTAAGTACTATATTGCTGCTATTGCCCTGTGCATGAAATAACAGCGCTGACATCAATTTTTTTATATAGCCGACTTTGGTTTTTGCGCACAGCTGAATGATATGCAATCCAAACGGACGACCATGGTTGGTACACCGTATTGGGTAAGTTTAGTAGCAAAAAAGTGTATACGTTGGGTGACTGATTGTGTTCTCTTCTATAGATGGCACCTGAAGTTGTAACACGCAAAGAGTATGGCCCCAAGGTGGATGTTTGGAGTTTGGGCATTATGACGATTGAAATGATTGAAGGAGAACCACCGTATCTGAACGAGAATCCATTACGTGCATTGTATCTCATTGCAAACAATGGCACACCCCAATTACAAGAACCCGAATTCATTCAACCTGTTTTCCGTGACTTTTTGGACAAGTGTCTTGCCGTTGATGTTGATACCCGGCCTTCCGCAGCCGAGATGGCCCGTCACCGTTTCCTAGAACTCGCAGATCCCCTTCCCTCTTTAGCTCCACTCATTCGTGCTGCACGTCGAGCAGCAGCCATGCAACGGATGTAATCAATCACGCTTTCCTATTTCATCTTTTTACCTCCTCTCATCCCCCATCCTTCCCATCTTCCCTTTCCTCGTTATTGGATGTAGTAGGTACATTATAAAAAAATCCTAGTATCTTTATTTCATCTTCACCCCCAAAAAAAAGTAATGGGATATTATCAATTGCTTCTTTACAAACAGATGCCACGTTGTGCCACAACAAAAGTGGGGCGGATATCAGTGATAAGGGGACTATGAGGAATCATTGGACGCGTTCAACAAAGGAGCATAAATTTGAAATAGATGCAAAAGCCCAACCCCACTTTATTGCCCTCTTGAACTGCTTCATGCCTAAAGTTGTAATATTTGAAAGCACCGAGAGTCTACCAAAGTTTTATCACGCGGCCTCAAGAAAGAGTATCAACGACTTCAAGGACGACGATTCCCGTATCGATCACAAGCAGCTTGCAGACTACATCCATGAGCAAGTAGAAGTGAACGGCAACCCACTGGTTATTGGCGATTTCAATACGCTTCCTTCATGGGATCGCGAGTTGTTCCATTTGAACCGATTTCTCGAGTTGTATGAAGATAGTGAGTATGAGTGAATGGGCCTTGTAAGCAATAGCTAATCGGCATCGATCAATAGAGGTCCAAGTGTTCCATATGGTACTGAGGTACACCGTGTCAATGTCAACCGACGAGTTTCTCAAACGCCTTCAACAACGCGATGCAAACGACTTGCAAGACAACAATGACGATCAGCAGGAAGACACTGACGACACCAAGAAACGTTTTGATCGATATGGAAAGGACCTCAGCTGCCCAACCGTTATTCAAGAGAAGCTTCGATCCATGTTGCCGAACGACCTTTTGCCACTTGATACAACAGATCTCTTTGTTCATATGCCCAAGCACTTGCGAGCTGAGAATCTAATGTGCTATGTCGGCAGTGATGGCACAGGCACAGCAGTACATCGTGACATTTGCGCTACATTGGGCCACAACTTGATGATTTACGGTGATGAAAACGCCTACTCAGAGTGGATAATGATCACCAACGATGAACGTCCAAAGCTTCTCCAAGCCATCCATCAGACCAAGTCAAAATACAACGTTGATTCCACCACGCCCATCAAATCAAGCACCTTTGTGGAAACGGATCGAGGATGGGTTTCTCGTAAGCACGTTCATCAACAGCGTATCAAGACACACGTGATCTTACAACGCCCTGGAGATTTGGTTCTTGTACCAAGCATGTGCTATCATCAAGTACGCAATGTCAATACGTCTATCAAGGTTGCTTGGAATCGTGCCACGCCAAGATCGTTACAGATGGCTGTTCAGAAACAACTTCCCATATACCAGCGCCTCATCAGACCCGAAGTTTATCGTTGTAAAGCAATGGTGTATCGTACTATCCTCTCATTGACAAATGGTAATATCACCCCCTTTCAATTACGTGTAAAACGACGCTCATCTTACACCTTTATAGCCAATGACAATAGCCGTGAAGTACCTTCCATGGATGGATGCGATGATGATGATGATCATAGCGCAACAGTGCCAGGAACACCCTTGATGAATGATACTTCAGATACCAACATGTCGTACAGCAAAGGACGACCTCCTCTTCTTACGCATGCAAAGAGCAACACGCACGCTGAATACGAAGAATGCTCTATTCTTGCTGATCTCTTTTATTACGACATCCTTTTACCCGAAGCCATCGAGCCAATCCGATCCGAAGGTGTGGATGACAAGAATATCTATTGCGATATGAAGATACGGGATGACATGTTTGAAGGAATCTGCGACTTTTGCCATGCTGATATCTTTTATCGCTACTATCACTGTTCCTCGTGCAACTACGACATTTGCATGGCATGCTATAGTCAAGGAAGGAGCTGCAATCATATGGATCAACTTGTCATGGCCCAAGGCATTATTCCCTTTGATCAACTTGTCAAGGTTTACACTGATTTCATTGACGCCATCAACGCCACATTCGAGGATTTCAAAGCTATACCAAATAGGCTGACAAAAGCTGGAAGGTATGTTTCTCGGCTTTACGATCACTGGAATGGGGCCATTGTTGACATGTTATTGCATAGATTCCGTTTTGATGGTCAGCGATACAATCTCGCCACATTATGCCGACGCCTCGAAAAATATCGTCAAAGAAACAAGGTAAGCTTATCTCAAATGCGTATAAAGCAAAGATGATTGACTTAGATCTTGCATAGATGTTTTCCAATTACTTTTCTTGTGGGCACTGTCACAAGCTAGCGACACTTGAGGAATTGTACAACGAAGAGGGATTGGACCTTCCGGATATCTTTGGACAAAAGCGATGCCAGCAATTACGATCGAATCAAAAACTTAATATGGCTTGGGTATGCACCAAGTGCGCAAGGCAATGTGGCGATGGATGTGAAGTTCCAGAAAAGAAAAGTGGGCCAAAGGTGGATGAGCTCGTGTACTACCTGCCACCTGAGAATGATGCTCGAAATATGGGTGGTCCATCTGATAAATGTTTCAACAAGGTAATTGAATTATGAGCACAATGAAGATTGCTTTTATTCATGCGCTATATACATAGACTCTCTATTGGCCAAGGAAGAACGTTGAACAGGAGGGTGTATCGACCAAGTGGACAAAGGATGATCTTCGTGGACAAATACTGGGAAGCCTTATGGACAAGCTGCATCCACGTACTCTCAAGTCTGATCTTCCTTATCGCCACACGATGCAGAAGTTGGTGGAGGGATTAACAATCAATGCCGATCATTGGTTCTCTTTGGTTGTTGAGAAATTGAAAAAGGTTAACCTTCGTCGGCTCACGTTATCGCCTCCCAAAGACATGCCAGGCTTCAGCAATCATCGCAGAATGATCATTGATCTTGATAATGTGATTCTCAAGATACCCAAAGGCACAAAGCTAGTGGAAGGAAGGAAGAAACGCCATGAAAACAATGACAACAGCACTCCAGACAATGAACAAAACAATGACAACATATCCATGGAGGAGGAGGATGAGGATTTGCCCAGTGCTGAAAGGGATGATGCTCTGCCAAACGTATCCATGATGGAGGAGAGTGAGGAGTTACCCAGTGCTGAAAGGAATGATACTCGGCCAAACAAGAGAAGACCGTTTCAAGCCAATGGTGTTGAACGTGCCAAGCGATCCAAGAGAAGAAATCCCCCCATGGAAGAAGAAGATCCAACCATACAAATCAATTATAATATGTAAATAGATGTCGAAAATGTACATACTATTCATAAAACAATGTACAAAAGCTAATCGAAAAAGACAATGGCAATAAAAAAAGGAGGGATAAAAACAACATGTTGAGGAGAGGGAATCGTCTATATCATTGTTCCGCGCAATAAGCCTTGCCTACTTGTCACCACGATCTCATCATTGCCTACTACATTGACATCGATGCCACGTATCTGCCTTGTATGGCCGATCATGCCTGGTGTTGCTGCGACATTTTCCACAGTGCCAATCAAGTCGCCCGTTTCAATATCCACAACCGTAATCTTGCCTTCTTCAGTCAACAGGAATAATGAAGTGCGTAGGACGTTGTATGCAGTGTAGCGTACTGGCATATCAATGGTATCCTCCTTGTCAAATACATGGGCAATAATCATGGGATCGGTATCCTTGGGAGGCATATAGGGAAGTTGGATTTGAGTATGCTGTGCGTCATCATTTTGCTCTGCCAATCTTTGGACACCCGTACGACCCATCAGTAATAAAGGTTCTGGTTCTTGTGTCATACGAAATGCAAGTCGCTTTAATCGTGGTGTCCCCTGCTTCCACCAAAAAAAGTCTCGCGTATGATCCTTTCCAGATAAATTGATGTCACTGTTGACCTCTTCCATATCCAAAGGACGCCAATCGACTCGTAATAGATAAGAAATGTCCCACACCTTGATCTCCAATTTGTCGTTTCGGTTGTCGCCTACCGCAATAAGCCGTAACCCACGCTTTGCAAAATCCTCATGTCCTATTGGGAATTCCTCATGTGACCAGTGTGATGGTAAGACCATAGTAGCTGATAATCCCCAAGGCTGTACGACTGATTGATCCTCATCTTCCATATCCTCGATATCATCGTCCTCTCCATTCAGCATCATCATGTGCTGCTGCATCACCATATCTCTAAAAGCGAAGTCTTGAGGATCATCTGGTGGTTGTGGATTATTGATAGGCTGATGTTGTTGTTGTTGTTGTTGTTGTTGTTGTGGCGGTGCTGGTTGCTGATGTAATTGTGCTAGCTGTTGTTGTTGTGCTAGCTGTTGTGGTGGTGGTGGCGGAGGTGCAGTTTCCTGTTGTTGTGCTTCATGTCGTTGCCTTGCTTCTTGATCATCCAAAGGAGCATTGTCATCCTGTTGTTGCTGTGAAGGAGCCTTCCATGGTAAAACACCGACTTTGATACCAAATCTCCAATCGAAAAGAGTGAGCTGATCGCTGACATAACTTCCCGTACAAATGAGATGATTGAGTTGTGGAGGATGGCGAAAATGGATCATGCAACTGATTTTTCTACCCATGGTGATACGTGCAATGACCGCTGCAGGTGGAATATCGGGTTGTTGTGGTATCGATTCTGAAGATGAAGTGTAGTTGAAAGCACCAGCGCTGCTTTTAACATGGCCAAAACGATGATTGATACTTCCAGCAACATGGTTACGATTGGGTGCAAACAAAGGCCGAAAACGTCGTTCGTGCGTGTCCCATATGACGGGTTCAGTTGCAGGATCCAAAATGTCACGCTCACCACGAATATCAAACTTGACTAGACGACCACAACCGGAGACTCGTGGAAAATCAGGACCAGTGGCAAGCATAAATACGGTATGTAATGGGTCGAAATCGCTGTGTTCAGGTGCCACAATCTTCATCCACTCGCTCACATTCTCTTGAGGAGGTGCTTGTCGAGCATAATCCTCGTCACTTCCATCACTCGATCTTCCCCACGATGCCTCCGAAAAGAAAAAGACATCACGTCCAAGCAATTGACCATTCATATGTACATGCGCCACGCACTGCGTTGCACCATTATCAAATAATCGATAGATCAATACGGTCTGCCATAAGTCCACTCGATCGTCGTTATCCATATCATCTTGGTTGTTGTTCAAAAAGAGTTGTTGCCCAACAGCTAATGAGAATAGACGCACTTTGCCATTGGGGGATGACGAAGATGGATTCATGCGAATGGTTTGGATACCAGTGATTTGGCAAGATGTCTCTGCTGGTGCAAAGCTGAGGTCGAATTCTCGAATGAGTCTCCAAGAAGGGTATTCCCAGAAAAGGATCTTGTGTTCAGAGCGTTGTCCTTGGTAACCATGGATGATTCGTTCTCTTCGGTGTTTACCCGTTGCCACAATACCCGTCTTTGTCACACGATCAATATCCACAACGAGTGGGTCCTGTATCCGAAATGGTGGTGGATAATGTTGTGCTGCATCTTGAAACATCTGCATTGTTGGATTGGATGATTCCAACCAAGGTCGAAGTGGTGGGTCCAATCCTTCCACAGGGATATGAATGGATGGTATACTTGTTGATGGTGATGCTGAGGATGATGCTGAGGATGATGATGGTGATGATGAAAAAGAAGAAGAGGAGTTGGCGATAGTTGGTGAAGATGGGATAGTGATAGCATTATTGGTGGTGATGGCAGATGAGGAAGAAGAGGAAGAAGAGGACGAAGATGGCAATATGGATCGTTTTCGATTGTCCTGATGCTGTTCTTGAGAGCTTTGAGCTGCAAGTTTGCGTTTCTGCGGAACTTTATGCTGTCGTGCGGCTGCCCTGGTATGCTCCACGCTAGTTTCATCGGGCACAAACTCGAGTGAAAAAGACTTGGCTCGTCTGTTCTGCTGGGTGATATGCTTGACAAAGTCTCTCCAATCAATCAACGGATGCGAGCGTACACTGAATGCAATGCTGCGTCCCCATGAAGGGTATTTACGTAGAAATAAGGTGTACCAAAGAGAAGGGTCATGACCGATTCTATAAAGGCCATTAGTGTGTCGTCGTCCATTTCCCTCCAATGCTCAGAACGAAAACGCACCTATGGAATCGTCGGCAGACAATTTCTAGTTGTCTCAATTCCCATGTCTCGTCTGCAAGTAAAGAGAATACACGTAATAGTAGCTCGTCTGGTAATCGGTCCATGAACTGGAGGAGAGTGATAGTGAACAAGAGTCGGTGAAAGAACCTCGGGCTAAGGTGACTCGTCTACAAAGTACGCTTATAATGCCTGCGTGCCACCAAACCATATTGGTTCAAGAACATTGATACAAACGTCATCTACATAGCTCTTGTTGAATAAGTCTCTTTTCTTGCATACTATGCAGCAAATAAAAGAATACTATACTGAATATACAAAAGATGATATATACATGAGATCCCATAGTAGCAGTGCCATCACCAATATGATCATAGGTAGATGAATGAGTCATAGTTATGGCTTTTATTCATCATTACTTTGAAGGATGCTCTCACGCTTTTCTTGTATCTCGTGTCTACAACGATATCTATCGTTTTGGCATTAGTTCCATTCATGGCGACCAGCATTAACCAATCCCCAGTTTCGGAGTCCTGCTAAGCAAGATTGAACATGCCATACTTGGTGATCCCTGCCCGATTCGGTCACACAAGGGGGGCCACACCATGCGATAATATCCAACAATGTATTATCAGGAGGCTGGTTCGTATGCTATCAAAGCAAGTTCATTGTTTCCATGGGGATGACCGATCGATGAACGCCAACAAAGCTTTTTGGGTGAAAGCAACCTGGGTTTTATAGAAATTTGAATGATCAACCTTGTTCATGCACAATAGCCTTGGATTCGTTTGTTTTCAAGGAAGCCACACTAAAGTTACTCTATAGCAGCCGTAGAGTGTAGATTATAGTGTTGCGAAATGGTTTCTGTCAGCGGGTAAATATCTCGAACATGCCCATCAAAACAACCAAGAGATGTTTTGATTTACAAAAGTGGAAGCTTGGGATAGACAATGAATGCAGTAGAAAGATAACTTATACCAAGAATGTTGAGAATAAACATGTGTTGCTAAATACAGATTACCAAAATGTCATTGTTACAGCAAAGCGAACATTGATGATCCTATGAATGTAAAAGTGGATCCTGACGAAGAATGAAGTCTGAACGCTCATGGGCCATAGCAAGCTTCACTTCATGTATCATTGTTGCATTAGCCTCTATCACAATCCTACATAGATGACATAATGGTGATGAGATCATGTGATCTTTGCGTGCATGATATTACTAGGTGTAGTGCGGTGTATCCTTTCCTCACGATGGCCTTCATTTTGTTTTTGATGAAGTAACGGACAATGCAATACCATTGACGGCTGCGTTGATAGGTTGAAGAGTTTGATGCTTAATGATGAATGATGCTATTATCAAATAGGATGTATTGGACATCATTATCTCCTTCGGTTGGGCTCTCTCGCCTGTACCTTTTGGTCATTTGACACTTTCTTCGTGATACATACATTACATTTTGGTTCATACATAGACTGCCAGCTAACAGCCACTTCCTCCCATTTGCAACCTTGTCCACACCACTGCATGTGGAATGGCTTCCCCTGCTACTTCCCAACACTCCCACCCATCAACTTTCTTGATCCGAGCTTGTCTGGCTGAGCTACATAACGCTCAACCAAAGCGCACATCAATTCGTAAACAGCAGCATGCACTACCTATGTGCTAATCTGTTACAACACACCCTCCCTTATATGTGCACCCCTTCACTCAAATTTTTTATCATGAGCATGGGGTTTTTATTTGAATGAGGTCGATCAGCATGTCCCAGCGAACCTTGTGACGACGTTTCAAGTTCGAGAAGGGGGATCCCAAGATAACGCATATCATTTCTATAAATCATGAATCTGGGGCTGACCTGCATTTCCGACTTACATAGTAAACCCACATTGCACCCTCCCATTCAATATTTTCTAATGAACATGAGGTCTTTTTTAATACAACATTGATCAGCATGTCCAAGAGTACCCTTGTGTGAAAGTCTCAGGTTCGAGAGGGGCAATCTCATAATCAAGAATTGATGTACAATGTTCATGCATTTATACAAGAGGTGTCCGCCCTATTCAATTTCCACTTCTTCCACTCTCAGCTTCTTCCCTTTACCTCCCATTCTCAACTATTGCCGATTCAAGTATACAACTACCACCTGCGAACGATTGTCCTGCTTCAACCCATCATGTCAATCCTACAACTTCCTTGATCCGATTGTCTTTGACTGAATGACAAGTCCATGGCATGTACACACCACTACGACACACGCCTTCCTTGATACTACACTCTGTCTTGCACGTTCCTCTGCCACAACCAATCGTAACAACACCTGCCATTAGCAAGGCCTTCACTCCATTATCTCAAACAGCATTTGCAACCTTGTCATTCTACTACAACACACACACTCCTCTGTCACAACCAAACGTTACAGAAGCAGCTACTATCGTGAAGGTCTTTATGTCATTGTCTCATCCACTTGCAACAACATGTCTCGCAACCTTTTTTTTTACATGAACAGCGGATAGCCATTGTATAGAAGCAGCGTCATTTACGTGCAGCAACTTGCCTTGATACATGCGGATACCAATGGATGATGCTATATCAGTAATCAAGTACACCCAATTCGAGCAATCTTCATCTGGTTGAGCAGCAATGGGAAATGACCAAGAAAGCGATGGATCAACAGCCGGATGGAAAAGGAAGCGACCACAATGACTCTTTTCAACCAACCTATTGGTGTTGCAATGGCTATGATGGATGGATACATTCAAGTGCGGTGATGAGAAAGAAATCTTAGAATGTTGCTTTGGTTACTTGTCGTGTCGTCAGCAGGAACGATGGATCATATCACGTGGATACGGTCAAGCATGATGATGGATTGGATGGAGTTGACAAAAGGGCTTGTATCTTTGACGAGGGATGTTTTACAGCCATGGACGATATTGATGTACTCGATCCAATGGAAGCAGCAGCTATTTCGCTATCATGAATGAAGGATGATTATGATGGCAGCAACCAAGAATACAATGACACAAACATTCCTGTTGCCTCTTTGTGATTCACCCGTTTCTTACTCGATTTTCAAGGCTGTTCCTTTATCAGATTTACTTGATAGACATACTACACACTGCTATATGCTATTCTTCGACCTTTTTATCAAATGAAAATTGGATTCAACGTAAAATTTGGGTATCATACTATCATCTCTAATGGACGAGATGTGGATCACATGGTTGCTTTCTGGATTGAAAGGGAGGAATAGAAGTCGAAGGTTGGAAAGAGAGGTTGGATCTTGGGTCGTTTACATCGCCGAAACGAAATGTCTGTGTTCTTTTGCCACAACATTTTATGACTTCACTAAAGCTTTCTAGTTCACATGCTGATAGTAGAGAAAATGCAGTGGGGATTCTCTAACACTTGTATTACAAAGGTGGATTTGAGAGTGATGATGTCCAACATGTGCTTGATTGTTCCAGAAGCACGGTTCACTGTACGTAAGTTTAATGCATGGTATTCAAGAAGGAATGAGAAGTTGCACAATATTTCACGAGCACATGAACAGGCCATGCTTAGCTAACGCTATCTTATGCAGCCTTATATAAGAACATACGGGCTATCATAGGCGGTCCTTACTATAGGAAGGTAGGGGAAGGATCAATCATGCATTTCTCCACCAATAGGATTGGCTCTTCAAGTCTGGCTCAGTTACACAAACACGTCCCTGTACATCTTTAGCTCTATTCGCGTCTAGCTACCTGACAATGAACAAAGACCACTCTTCATATAGCATCACGCTTACAAACATAAAGGTGCCTGTATCTCCAAACTTTACAATGAAACGTGGGGTTTTGAATAGAGTAATGTGCTCGGCTTGGCCAACAGCACCTTGTGTGAAAGTTTCACGTTCAATGTCGCAAACAGCCCAAAAATATTTTTTTGGTCGTCGTCGAAAAAAATTCAAGAGGTCGACCCTCAGATCCAGTTTGGCTGGTAGCGACATTGCGAAGTCTGGGATTGGCAAGCTTGATCGTGAAACTTGCACCCATGGTGCAGTTGGCCAAGCCGAGCCCATTGCTCTATTAAAACCCCCACGTTTCATTGTAAAGTTTGGAGATACAGGCACCTTTATGTTTGTAAGCGTGATGCTATATGAAGAGTGGTCTTTGTTCATTGTCAAGTCGCTGGACCCTGGCAGAGCAAAAGATGCAGAGGGACCTCTTTGTGTAACTCAGCTACTTTGCATGACTGGAAGGATGGAAGGATGATACTGTATACTGTTGACAAAAGCCCGTACATTGCGAGCTAAGAGCCATTTCTTCACAATAGCCACTGTTGTCCGCTCTATGACATGTGAGCGATTCTCCTGCTTCAGACATTCATTTCCATGATTGGATTATGTTGAACCGAGTTGATTTGACCGAGATACAGCCAAAGAGGGATTACATCAATCCACACATCTAACCATGCTCTATGTTGCTCAACTGAAGTAACCTTGTATGAGCGTAGCTCAGCCAGATCAACTCGGATCAACATGATCCAATCATGGAAATGAATGTCTGAAGCAGGAGCATCGTTCCACTGTCATAGAATGGGCAACATTGCCGATTGTGAGGAAATGGCTGTTAGCTCGCAATGTATGGGATATTGACAATAGTATACAGTATCATCCTTCCATCCTTCTAGTCATGCAAAGTAGCTGAGTTACCCAAAGAGGTCCCTCTGCATCTTTTGCTCTGCCAGGGTCCAGCCACTTGACAATGAACAAAGACCACTCTTCATATAGCATCACGCTTACAAACATAAAGGTGCCTGTATCTCCAAACTTTACAATGAAACGTGGGGTTTTTATTAGAGCAATGAGCTCGGCTTGGCCAACAGCACCTTGTGTGAAAGTTTCGCGTTCAATGTCGCAAACAGCCCAAAAAATAAGTTTTTTTGGTCGTCGTCGTCGAAGAGGTCGACCCCTGGATCCAGTTTGGCTGGTGGCGACATTGCGAAATCTGGGATTGGCCACGATGAACTTGAAACTTGCACACAAGATTCCTTTGACCTCGCCGAGCAGTTTTTTCTATTAGAGGCCCCACGTTTGATTGTAAAGTTTAGAGATACAGGTACCTTTATGTTTGTAAGCGTGATGCTATATGAAGAGTGATCGTTGTTCATTGTCATGTAGGTAGACCCTAGAGAGCCAAAGATGCAGCAGGACCTCTTTGTGTAACACAGCTGTTTTGCAGGATTGGAAGGGTCGATGTATGATACTTTATGCATTGTTGAGGAACAACCATGTATTGCCAGCTAACAGCCACTTTCTCCCATTTCCAACCTTTTTCCATTCAATCATACTGAAACGATACGTCTGCTCCAGACATTTATTTCCATGATTTAATTGCGTTGATCCGAGCTGATTTGGTTGAGTTACGGTCAACGAGAGAATTCATCAGTCCACACATACAGCACGATCGATATAGCTCAACCGATGTACCTTTGTTTGAGCGTATCTCAGTCAAATTGGCTCGGATCAAGGCAATTGAATCATGGAAATGAATCACTGGAGCAGGTGCATCGTTCACATGTCTTAGAATGGACAACATCGACGATCATGAGGAAATGGCTGTTGACTTGCAGTTTGTGAGGTGTAACTGATAGTCCATAAGTATCATCATTGACCTTTCCAATCATGCAAAATCGGTTGTTTTACATAAACATGCCCCTCTGCATCTTTGGCTCTATCAGGGTCTAGCTGCTTGGCAAGGACCATCTTCTATATAGCATCAAGCTTATTAAAGCAGAGTAAAATAGAGAGACCATAGCACAAAAATTTACAATCAATTGTGTGGGTCTCTAGTAAAACAAAGTTGCTCAATGTGGTCAACAGGATCTTGTGTGTAAGTTTCATGATGGAGGAATTAGATGCTGGAGTATTTTGGTATACTAAAGGAATCCAAACACTATTACGCATGGCGATAGGATGCTTCTTCTTTGGTTCAAAATGATGAAAATGATTTGGACAAGCTTTATTGAATCATTCATGATTTGTATAGCTATACAAGATAAGAAATCGTTTTACATAAAGGCATGGGTATAGTTGGGTTGTGGTGAATGACCATATTCATGGACAAGCGGGATTTAGGAACTACTTGGAGGAGATCTTGCAGGAGTTGTTTCTCTTTCTCACACGCATGTCAGACAACGACAACTTTGCTGTTCCTGCTCCAAGGAAACCTGCTCGCCGGCCAGCTAGTACGGCTGAAGAACATACCTCGGATACGATTGTGCCTACACACGATTCGAATGTTGCTACGACGACCACGACTACCACCACCACAAGTGCTGAACCACCTCAGGCTCCACCTCTTGCATATGAGAAACCACAGTGGGGTGCCGTCGCTTCACACGATTACGGCTTTGAAATACTCAAAGGAGGCATCAGCATTGAAAAGATCCAAGGTCCCAAGAAAGACGTGATCACGATCGGTAAAAGTGGACGTGTGGGCATGGGTAGCCATGCGACAAGTTTATTCAACGTTTTCAATAGGACGATTGCCTCTATGTGACATTCAAATGGAGCACCCTGTAAGTGTTGATCGTATCAGCTATGTGTTTGCAGTAGGATTCTCTTGCTTACACCATGATGGATTAGAGCATATCACGTTATCATGCAGTGTTACAGTTCAATCATGACGGCAATGCCTTTATCTATGACATGGACAGCGCCCATGGGACGCGTCTCAACAAGCAACGTGTTCCTCCACGTATCCATTTACCATTACGTCCTGGTGACCAGCTTCGATTTGGTGAAAGCACACGCATCTGCATCTTTGAAACGGACAAGGAGTTGGATGAGGATTTGGAACAAGAGCACGTAAGAAAAGAGGCAAAGCGCGCTATTAGTGTGCAATCCATAGCGCCTCGGGATCAAGAAGAGGATGAAGGCGCTACTTGGTAAGTAATGACACATCACCACAGTATCAACAAGTTGTTAAATGATGATGGATGTAGGGGTTTTGCTGAAGATGCTGTTGAGGAACCCGATGAAGACGATGAGGAGGAGAGTGGTGGAAAAGGAAAGAAGTCTGCTGATGCTGATTTGATCAACATTGCACAAGAAAAAATGATGGCTGAGGAAGCAAGTAAGTACAACATTGGTTATCCCATGCATGGTGATTCATTGGTATTGTTTAGAGAGAAGACGAGAAGAACTAGAAATCATGTTTGGCGATGATAGCGATGAAGAAGCATTTTATGATCGTACAGGTAATAGGCTGAGGAATGGACATGGCATGGATCGGTCATTAACATGCTACACTTTATAGCACGCAAGAAGAAGAAAGTGAAAAAGGAGGAAAAGGCAGAGACCCATGATGAGCTTGTGGAGCGTGCAAGGCAATCTCAAAAGCAGATCGATGCGTTGGAAAAAGAGATCGAGCAAAGGAAACAAGAAGGTAAATAGTGGATGAAGGATTGAGTTTATTATCATTCCTGACAAAGGAGCCTATGATGAACAGATGCTGCTAAGAAGGAACAAGAGAAGACTACCGAGGAAGAAGAACAAGATTTGGATGCGTACATGAAGAGCTTAAACAAGAAACCTGAGAACAAGCCATCCGTGTTGAAGATGCAGAGTGATCTCAATAAGCTGAAAAAGGTAACAATTGTAACCACGATTGTGTATTTGTAAAAGCAGGCATTAATTTAAGCATGATACGTCTACAATAGGAGCATGAGCGTCTAGAGAAGCTAGTGAAGTTGACCAAGCCATCCGATATCTTTAGTTGAGCATACGATGAGTAGCCAAATATTCGAGAGCCATCCATGCGGTTTGAACAGTGGGAAGCATGGCTTGACCGAGTGTAATAAACTTTTTCAAGTCGGCAATGGGAACATCCTTGATGACCTGCATGCACTCTTCATTATCACGAGCACGAGGTTCGGGATCATCTTCGGGATCAAGGCAAAGGTAGGGTACGAAGCGGTTGACACCCCATTTGAGCTCACTGATACCATCAGGTTGGTCCTCTGGTAGTAAGCAAATCCAACGACCACCTTTTAGTCGTGCTTCTTCCGAGAGCTCATGTTCAGCTGATTCCAAAGGACTAGAGACACACGAATCAATGCATGCTTATTGATGTAATCCACCTTTATGTTACCTGCTATGCTTTCTTCGGTCGTACGAACCAGCGACACATGTATATTTCTGGACAAGGAGGCGTGAAGGAATTGATCAGCATATGGTGTCACGCTAGTAGATAATGTCGTACCACTTCGTTTGTGCCTTGTGCATATTCCTTAAGGATACATGTTGTTTTCTAATAATGAAATTGATAAGCATCGTTATGCTATGATTGGATCGGCTTATTACCTTGATGGAATCAAATGTGAATACAGTGACAAAGGTTGGATAGGGTGTGTCATGACCCACGACGTCCCAGTCTATTTCTCTACCATCGGCAAAGCGTGTTGTCCGGTTCCACACTGAGATATAGCTAATGACACGAGATGAATAAAAAGGTCATTGGGATAGAGAGATTGGAAAAGCACACCGTTTATGAAGCTTTGACTCTGAGACGATGGTGGCAGCAGTGCCGGTTGTGTTGATGTCGAGTGGGCTATCTGACATTGTATAATATGAAACCTGAGCAAGCGTCAAGAAGGAGTTGTGTAGCGCGTGACATGCTTGTTAAGCAGGCGATTCATGCTCACCTCACATTGATTGCGCCCACACCTTTTCTTTCTTCTCACCCCACTTTACTACTACTTTCTTTATACTTGAAAAGACGACTTCATTTATTTGACAAAGACAATCCCCATTTATCTATCATTTTCTTGCTCTTTCTCTCACACAGACACATACACACGCTTTCTCTCTTTTTCTTTCTTTCTTTCTTTTTTCTCTCCTTGACTCTCTATTTGGGGAAAAGCTATAGAACAACCTCCTTTGACCACTCGATCAGATAATGATCACGCAAAAGACCCATTCTATTCATCCAGGCAATGTAAGTGAGAGATGGGGGGTATGAAGGGTCTCTTCATTGGGGCTCAATGACGTTATGTATAGACAATACCGACGACAAGAGAGAATGTGCAGTCGTCGTCATCTGGTTCATCGACGCACTCGGACTGGAAAGCAGTAGGTAGTCCACCAAGACAAGGCGCAAGTGGAGTTCAAGGTGGGATGCTTCAACAGCAACAACCAAACAATATTGGTCTTTCATCCAACAATACAACTGCGGCAACAGCAACACCGGATCACCACCACACATCGATGAGCTGGCTGCAACAGGATTATGCTTTCCCACCCGTAAGACGAAACTCAGCAGTAAGCTCCTCCGCATCTACTGCTGCTGCACCACCATGGGCCAATGCAATGACACTACCGACCCCTTCTTCCTCCATCTCTACTTCATCGGGTGCCGCCGCTCTATTCGATCATCATCATCATCATCATCATCGACGAAGGTCTTCCATTGCCACTCCCAATGATTATCCTGATATCGCATCCGTTCCCATGTTACCTGAAGTATCCACCGAACCTTATTTTCGAGAGTACAGAAGCATGTCTTTCTCAATTGATGCATCCAATGATCGAGATGAGATCCCACCACCACATCATCAACATCATCCAAGATTCCCTTCCCATCAGCAACTAGGAACCATGCATGAAGAAGAGGATGATATCGAGGATGAGGAATTATTGATGAGTGCTGCAATGGATGATGAAATGCTAGCACAAGCACAATTACGAGCAAGATCCAAATCATCAGCTGCTGCTTTCAACATTTGGCATCCTTCCCATGCTACAGAAGATACTCGTTCATGGATGAGATTCACTCAAAGACGTTCCTCAGTCGCTCATGCCGCTCCCACTCCTTCTTATCATCCTTCCATCTACTCTCCTTTGCCTGCTCCCTCCTCTTCCCTCTTATCAAATGGTGATCGAGAACGTCTTGCTGGTTTACGTCGCTTTTCTTTGTCACCTATGCCTGAAGGCCGCTTACAACAATCTCCTATCATACCCACCACAGATCCAAGGTATACATATACACGCATACATACACCACGTGAGACTCATCATCATCATCCTTTTAGTGCACTTGCATATCTTGGTCAACGCCGTCATTCACTCGCCACTCCCTTACCACAAAGCCATACCAACTCCTCAGCAACAACACCCAACATTGATAGCCTATTGGAAGGCATGCAAGCACTACGAACACATGACAACAACCCTGCTACGTCTTTGCCAATCCCAACACCAGATGATCTTTCAACTCAATTTCCACCAGAAAACATGGGTAAAGGTTCACTTTTATCGGACATTGGCGAGGATGCACTATTTTGCGTGGTCGAATTCAAGCGGGGTCGATCCGATATGTACTTTACGACAATGACGGGTGATGCTGCTCCTGCAAGGAATGATTTTGTGATTGTGGAAGCGGATCGTGGTCATGACCTCGGCAAGGTGACATTGGATCGTATCAGTCGTTCACAACTGAGTGCTATGATTAAGCAACAACAAGAGAATAGCGATGATGGCAACAACACCACAAGCGGCAGCAGCAGTAACAACAACAAAAAGAATGATGTTCATGTCAAACGAATATTACGTCGTGCAACATCAGCCGAGATTGCAGTCTTGATGAGCAAGAGCCAAGATGAAGCTAAAGCCCTCCTTGTCTGCCAAAGCAAAATCAAACAAAAGCAAATGCCCATGCAAGTGGTGGATGCTGAATATCAATGGTAAAAAGCGGATCCTTTTGAGGGTGAAATGGGAAAGCCTTGTTCACACACACAATGCTTTTAATAGGGACAAACGCAAGTTGACCTTTTACTTTGTGGCGGAACGACGTGTCGATTTCCGAGAACTCGTTAGAGATTTGTTCAAGTTATACAAGACGCGCATTTGGATGTAAGTAGAGGGATCAAAGGTAGCCAACAGAACTAGGGCTGATAGTTGAGGATCATTTTAGGTGTGCTGTGAGTACCAATTCATAAAGAAGACAACAATCCATGCATCATACATATCAAGCATAGAAATGAATTTTACTTTATCTTCCTCCTCTTTTTCTTTTTGTCCCCCACCCCTTCCCGTTTTATATATACTCATTCTATCCAGTGCCGTGCACTTTTATCATCGTGCAAAAAGGATGCTATCGCCCACTCTCACTCTCTCATTTCACTCTTTGTTCATATCCTTTTTGCATCTTGCATCCGTGCCCAGCTATAGAAGTCAAATAAAGTTTCCTCAGTCATGCATATGATTTCCTCGGACATTTCCACTTGCGGTAATCCGCAGTTGACAACGCCACGGCTTGACCACTCATATTAACCCAGCAAGAAAACGACCTTGACCCTTTTGAACCAGTAAATTGGAAGAGCATCACATGCCAATGAAAAACATGATGGGGAGGGTAGTCACACACTATAGGTGGTTGGTTTCGTTGTATAGCAAGGGTTTAGTCATATCAGGCGTTGGGGAATGACATGTGACCTTTAAGGGAAATCACACGACAATGCATCTCCTTGGACCATTGTCCATCCATGTCTTTGTTGATGCTGTAATATGATCAAAACATTGGGGAGCAGAATACATAAAAGCTTCATAATGACCACCACCACCACCACATTTACAGTGATTAGGGATAATGAGACGCATACGTGTAAACGTTTACATGCAAACAATTGCTATATATGGATGAATTAACTAACGAGGTTACTTCATTTCATTGCTCCTTGTGGTCATTGTAATGCCAAGTATGAAGCGTCTTCCTTAATGAAAACCCCTTTTGCAATTGTCATTGTTCCTTTGTGTTGCGCTAAACCTTAATGCAAGCGGAATGGGTGGTTGGTAACACAAGCATAGCGCAGGTGCCACAGTCGCCAAGTGCTCCGTGCATTCATTCTCTCTCCGTTTGTAGGCTTACATCCTTTGGTACTATAGACGCAGTGCTTTATATTATGTCATCAGGTACCAATACATGGTTGTGGATTGCCATTGCTTCAACTTTCAGGATCACCCTCTGTGTTTTTGTTGCAGCCTGTATCTCCTGGTGGTAGCATGATTTCATTATCCAAGAAGGTTACAAGGCCTATCGACACATCCCTACATGTATTGTTTGCTTCATTGTATACGCGAGAAGTGTATTCTATTTTTTCCCTTAAGCTCCCCTTTTTTTCGCCATAGCAACAAAGAATTATTTAAGAAAGCAAACAATACCCCTCGTCGTCGTTAACACTTTTCATCAGAGCCTGTACACTCGTTTACTGCTTTCTTTGTCTTTCCCTCATTATGCGCTGTTCACTCTCCACCATCGCATTGGCGACACTGGCCATATTATCATCACCTATCAATGCAGCACCTCATGCTGTAGATGAATTATCATGGGATAAAGCATATACCAAAGCACGAGCTTTAGTGGATCAAATGACGCTGGATCAAAAGGTTTCCATGGCAACGGGAATGGGATGGTCAAAATCGAACTGTGTAGGCAATACCTACCCCATCCATGATCCATATTTTCCATCGCTTTGCCTACAAGATGGTCCCTTGGGTATTCGCTTTTCAGACAACACGACTGCTGGCGTTGCAGGCATTACGGCTGCTGCATCCTTTGACAAAGATCTCATTTATAAACGTGGCAAATACATGGGAGAAGAATCCTATGGGAAAGGCGTCAATTTTCAACTTGGGTAGGTTGTCATATACATGTTGCCATGGTAATATTATCATATTGCTAAATCAGGCATTCTTCTACATAGACCCTCTGTCGACATTTATCGCTCACCTTACGCTGGCCGGTAAGTAAATTTATGCGTATTACTGCAACGCCATGCATGTTAATTCATTGTTGTATTAGTGGTTGGGAGGGATTCGGCGAAGATCCATATTTGCAAGGTGTAGCTGGATCACTTACTGTCAAAGGAATCCAAAGTCAGGGTGTGGTATGTAGTAAATGTCATTTATGGATTGTCTATAGCTTTATGCTGATGAATCATTTGACGTTTAGATTGCCACAGGAAAACATTACATCCTTAATAATCAGGAGTTGAATCGGACCAGCGTAAGTCATTTGTCCTTATTGAGCTTTACACAGCAGTAGAAGTAGTAGTAGCTCAGCTAACCCCTTATCATCCTTAGGCAAGCTCTCATGCTGATGAACGAGCTTTGCACGAGATCTACGTTTGGCCATATGCACGCATGGTGGAAGCCGGCATTGGAAGCATGATGTGCAGCTATAACCGGGTGGATGGTGACTACGCTTGTGAAAACGACCATACTATCAACCAAATTCTCAAGGGCGAATTGGGTTTCAAAGGATTGATAATGACAGATTGGAGTGCTCATCATTCGACTGTCAAATCAGCATTGGCTGGGCTCGATATGTCCATGCCAGGGGATATCACGTTTGAATCAGGGACTTCTTGGTGGGGTAGTAATTTGACGCAGGCCGTCAAGGATGGTCAAGTCCCTGAAGATAGAGTCACCGACATGTCTGTGCGCATTGCAGCTGCATGGTACAAGGTATAAAAATCATGTGCATCTTTTATTTTTTTGTCATACGCAAGATACTAATACAAGGAGACTTTGTGTAGATACGACAAGATGAAGGTTTCCCTAAGGCGACACTTGAAAGTTTCCATCGCAACGAGGCTCCTGAGGTGGTTGTGTCGGATGATCATGCAAAGATTGTACGTGAGATTGGTGCCGCATCGGTGGTGCTATTAAAGAATGAAGACAACATCTTGCCCCTAAATCAAGACATCTCTCATTTGGCAATCATTGGTAGCGATGCTGGACCTAATTTGGAGTAAGTGCACTACCTTATCAATCTGCTCACATGATGGTAATTCATTTACTTTGGGCTTGTAGTGGGATGAATTCGTGCCCAGATAGGGGATGCGACAAGGGAACATTGGCTGTAGGATGGGGCTCTGGAAGTGTTGATTTCCCATATCTTGTGACGGTACGTAGATCATTTAGCCCCACCTTGATTTTCAAAGTACTCATTAGCATTGCTTTTGGTGTATAGCCCAAAGAAGGCATTGAAGCTCGTGTTGACGATAATGTGGAAGTTTCATATACAGGCGATGATTATGATATAGATGCTGTTAGCGAGCTTGCAAAAGATGCCGATGTTGCTATTGTCTTTTCCAATTCTGATTCGGGAGAACAGTATATCACAGTTGACGGTAACGAAGGTGATCGCCGAAACTTGACACTGTGGGGCAATGGCGATAATTTGGTAATAAGCCTTTCTTCACACAAGTGTATGCTGCTTATAGCTGACATGCATTGTATGGTAGATCCAAGCTGTTGCTGATGCCAACGAGAACACGGTGGTTGTCATTCATGCTGTTGGACCTGTACTTATGCCATGGATCGATCATCCCAATATCAAGGCTGTCGTCTGGCCTGGTCTTCCTGGTCAAGAAAGTGGCAACTCCCTTGCTGATGTGTTATTTGGTGATGTGAATCCCAGTGGAAGGCTTCCATACAGCATTGCGAAGAAGGAAGAAGATTACAACGTGAAAATCTCACCCGATGATGAGGTAAATGCCGCATAGTAATTTAAAAAACGTATCTTTTAATGTGTTGTGCTATTATGTATAGATCAACTATGTTGAGGAATTGCATGTTGGATACAAGCATTTTGATGCCCAGGGTATTGAACCTCTATTTGAATTCGGATTTGGTTTGTCGTATACTACATTTGAATACAGCAACTTGAAGGTCGATGGTGACAAGGATCGAGTGACTGCAACCATCTCCATTCGCAACACAGGAGAAGTTGATGGTGCTGAAGTAGCCCAACTCTATCTTGGTTTCCCTGAATCGGCCAACGAGCCACCTAAACTGCTACGTGGATTCGAAAAGGTCTTCCTCAAGGCTGGCAAACAAGAAAAAGTGCAATTCGAATTATCCAAAACCGATTTGAGTATATGGCAAGAAGGCGAATGGATGGTGCCTCAAGGAGAATACAAGATTTATGTGGGTGCAAGCAGCCGTGATATTCGTCAATCCGCTACCTTATCCTTATAACAATGTACACAAACAAAACAAAACGACTATGATAGAAAAAGTGTCAGCTTTCATTAAATAAGATCAAGATGTGCGTGCAGAATAGGAAATAGAGAGGAGAACAGGGGCGATATCAGGTCAATTTTTTGTTTTTTGTTAACTGTGGGGTATATAAATACGTTGAATCTCTGCACATGCAAGAAAAGATAGAAAGGAAAAAGAAAAAGAAAAAGACAATGTGTTGACGTGTGTGGTGTGTGCTGTTGTGGATGAGCTGTTTCAATCGTGATATAAGTGTGTGCTTGTGTGTGTGTGTGCGTGTGTGCTTGATTGAGCGAATAAGGCACTTGGATCTCATGGTTGCTGTTTACACTGTCTTCAGAATTGTGGACCATAATTGGAGCTGCTTCTATATAGATCAACACCATTAGTGTCTCTTATCGTCATATGTAAAGAGATGATTACTTACGCTCCTCGATCACGTTTGAGCATGGAGACTTCTCGTCGAAGGAGAGCAACTTCATTTTCCATTTCGAAATCACGGCGTTTAAGCAAAGTGATGTACTCGATGGCTAATCAGAAAAGATATCGATCCATTAGCCCCCCCATTACTTTACCATCCATCACTACCCCTTTCCTCATCCTCGTGTCTCTTTACCTTTGCTGAGAATTTCCCATTTGCTTGTCTTTAGGTTCTTTTCCACTGGCAACGAATCACGTAATTCATCAAACAATTCCTTCATTTCCTTGCGTCGTTTGCGTTCAGCCAATTTGTGGCTCACACGTAATTCTGGGCTGCGTGAATAAGGTGTTTCGGATCGACGCTGCTGTGATCTTTCATCCTCAGCTGCGGATGAATTGGATGCTGATGCATAATAATCTTGTTCATGGGGTGATCGATGCTGATGGCTGCTGCTACTACCAACACCAGTGCTCACTACAGGCATGGAAGCACGTCTTGCCAATATGGGACCACTGCTACTAGCACCAAGCTCATCCATCATAATGGAACGACGACGATGATGCAAAACAGGACCACTTGGGCTATAAGGATGATGCCGTTGTTGTTGTTGCATGAAATGGGGATGAACATCAGAGGATGGGTGATGATACTGCTGTGCTGCGGGACGTGCATATCGTGCAACATGAGCATTCGTTGCTGCTGCTGCTGAAGATTCTGCTGTTGGTTGTGTGGATGAATCAGGTGGACTAGATGGTGCAGAATAAGGACCATGCTGACTAGGTGACTCGGGGATTGTTGCCGGGAAACGGAATGCTGTAAAAAACCATACAACATGAGATCCAATGCCATGTATCCCTCTCTTGTCCTTTTTTCCTTTTAATCTTACCTCTGTATTTGGATGTAGGTGCACGATTACTATTGGGTACTTCAGCGGTAGCAATCGAATGACGACGTTGAAATGGATCATACGATGAAGATGGAGTAGAGTGATTGTTTGCTGGTGTCGTAGCAGTAGGATGAAATGGTAAAGAATCACGACGACCATAATCCATCATGGGAGATGCAGCAGCAGCAGCAGCAGCAGCTGTTGTAGTTGTGGACGTATTGGATGGTTTGTTGTAAGGAGCTGGTGAAGGAGATCGTGAAGGATAATCATAATCAGTGATGACGGTAGCAAGAGAACCACGACGACTAGCATTGGCTGAAGAAGTAGGCAATGGTAAATTGTTCAAGTCGGGGATGGTGGGTCTACGGAATTCCAAAGGTGATGCACCACTGTTATTGCTGTTGTGGAACATAAAGTCTGTCATGGATCCACGTCGAGAATAGGACTCATAATGAGAAGGTGTTGTTTGTGAACTAGGCTCCAATGGCGACAAGGGTCGGCTTGCAGCACTATTGCTATTCGGCTCATACGCCGGCGACATGGCTCTTGGAGTAGCTCCACCACCAGTAGGATGAATTGATGATGACGATACACTCATATCAGACATACGGTGTCGAAGATATTCATCTGAAGCATAGGAAGGTGAGCCAGTGGCGTTGGCTGGGTGCGGTATTGGCGAACAAGGCTGTGCATTGGTGATCGAAGGCAAATGCGGTTTGGTCACTGAATCCGATGCAAAAGCAACTGGTAGAGTTGTTGAGACAAGGGCTCTTTGTGTGTATACTCCCATTCAAAACCTTTATTCTTACCGGGGCCATTAGTGTGTTCGGTTGTTTCGGGTGGGTGGAATGAAGGCTCGTCAATTTGCATCTTGTCTGCATTGGGGTCTTGTTGTTGACCATTGTAGTTGTTTGCAAGAGGATCTCGACCATGCATCAGAAGCTCTCGAGCTGAGGGCAGCACACGATTGGAATCGTCCGGATGTACAGTGTCCATGAGATGGAGTGCAAGTGGAAAAAAGAGATAGTAGTAATAGCAGCAGCAGCTGAGAAAGAAGAAGTGTTGTGCCTGTTGTGAATGTCCGTTGGGTCACGCCTGCGTTGACCGAGTTTTCCGAAAATACAAGCAATCAAGGGGAAGTCTTCATTTACACGGCCGTTTGTGGGGTAGTCGTCGTCTTATGATATTGCTCAATGATGAATTTACCATCCCTTTTCCAACCCATCTACAATATCATCAGTCTCCTTGGTTCTCTAACAATAAACTCCTAATGTGTTAGTCCTGTTGTTACGAGTGACATGCACGAGGCATCATCTATGTATTCATGCATCAACCATCATCTTTATTCAAATAGGGCAGTATCATGCATACACACATAACATTGTCTTTTTCTCTAACTCGTTTCCTCCCCCTCCTGTGGTGTTACCAACATCATCCCCTACTACCACTAAACGATCATACACACAAACCTCAACTCCTTGTCCGACATTGTACATTGCCAAATGATGTCGTTTCGTTCTGATCCAACAATTGTTGCTAAAAGGATGAATGTATATGATTCGATCTTGTTTTATATTACGTACAGAGCTTAATAGGGATGTGGCATCATGTTGTGTAGCCACGTTGAATAACTGCTGTATGATAATGTTATTGTCTTCATTCTACTTCTTCATAATCCTCACCACGCGAGGATCCACAGGATGTAATACAAATGTGTGTGTGAGAGAGAGGATTGTCAATAACATTCGATGCAGACAAAAAGAAAGATCCGAACATACGTATGTAGCAGGAGATTTAGGGGAGAGGAAAAAGGAAAAAGGAGAAGAGTAGAATTAGTGGAGTGATCGAGTAGATCCTTTTCAAATATCTTCGTCGTCATTTGCTATTTTACATCATACGGCTTCGTGTTTCCATATCCCTTTTTACACCTTCCCGCTCTATCGGATGTTATGCATACATAAACAAAAAGATGAAACCTTGACATCCTGTTTCAAGTAATGACGCTTCGGGAGGTGGCCCGAGCTTTTCGAGTTACAATAATGCATAACACTTCTCTTGCAACATGGCTGTGCATCACCAGCATATAACAAAATCTCATTGTTTTTATGTTTAGGTGCATCCGCAGTTGCAGCTACTTGCATGGTTGTGATGAATCAGATGATGGTGTATAATCACCTCGTTTTTTGATGCCTATTTAGCTGCCGTCGTGTACCAGCAATGGCAACGACACAGATGCTGTCAAGCACGGTGGCGGGTTACCATGTCAGGCAAATTTCACAACACTTGGTGCAACCATCTCCACTAGCTCTTTTCACACAACAATCAGCCAAAGATGTCATACAATGTGTACTAATAATGATACGTATGTCATTGTGTATGTGTGTATGTGTTCCCTTAACAAGCCCCCTGCTTCCCCAACAGCGTGTTTGATAAACCAACTGTTTCGTCACAATCCGAAAAGCACCATGTGGATGTGTTGTGTTGTTATGCATAATGATGATGATGATGATAATCAAAGATGTGTTCGATAATAGATGAGAGGTTGTTACTGGTGGTGGTGATACGGATAAAGAGACGTGTCATGTGTTGAATATGTGTGCTTATCCAAAGAAAGCACACCAGGAGCATCGAATGACTTGAACAATGATAAGGTTTGTGTATAAGCACATTGTGTATGCGGGTGTGTGTGATGTGCAGTAGTAGGATCCATTTTGGGGAACAAGGGGGTGTGGTGGTGTGGTACACTCTCTTTTTGCATGCATGTACAAAGAACCACTCATTCACTCACTCTTTTAAACCCTGTTCATTCTTATCTCTTTCCTCTATTCCCTTTTCCCTCATTGCGTTCATTTCTGACAATTGACATTCTACAACATGCCTGAAGCTACCAAGGTTCGAAGAGCGTCTTCTTTGGCTGCTGCAGGTGTCACTGTCAAACCAAAGGCAACCAAACCCGCCACTGGCACCACTGCTACAACCACTGTCAAAAAGGCATCTACCAGAGCATCCACTACTACGACGCCTCGTTCTACCACTGCAACTTCTACAAGACCTGCTACCACTGTGAAAAGTAGTAGAACAGCAACATCTACTACTAAACCGCCTGTCACTGCAACAAGAAGAAAATCCATGGCTACGGCATCATCCCTTCATAACAACAACACCACCACCACAGCTACCACAGCTACCACTGCTAGTCGAGGTGCCAGGATCAGTCCTACATCTACCACTGACAAGGTTGCTACGACTACCACTTTGGGTACTCGACGATCATCTGCCACGGTTACGTCGGGTCGACGACTTTCGGTGGCACCACCTTCACCACCCAACTCGGAGCCGTTACCCAAAATGAGTGATCTCAAGGCTGAAATCAAGACTTTGACTGACAAGGTATGTATTTTTTTACTTGATCAAAGGAGAGAGGATACATGTACACGCATAAGCCTGTTTACACATGCATGCATGCATTGCCCTTGGAGAAGGCGGGCAAGCAAGTTAATTGCTCCTCCCTAATTTATCATTTCCCTCTCTCACCCCCACCCACACCCAATCCACTACACTCTCTCCCATCCACGTTGTGGTTCTTTTTATTCATCATCTTGCATAACATTATAGCAACAAGAAATCTCCAAGCAACTTGAAGAAAAGCAAACTCTGCTCAAGAACAAGGAGGATGAGTTGAATGAGATTCGTCAGCAACTTGAACACGTGCAACAACAACTCAATGAGACAACAACATCCGCAACCAACGACAAACAAGTCCTTGAAGCCAAGGTCTCCGAGATTGAAAAGGCATTGGATCAGACGCGTACACATGCGGAGCAACTCGTGAACCAATACGAAGAGGAGAAATCCAACTTGGTGCGTGAGCATGAAGGTACCATGGAGCACATGCGAGATGCCATGGAGAATTTGCGTGAACGACTTGAGGATGAAAAGCAAGCCCTTGAAAATCAATTGCTTATCAAAAAGGGCGAGATTGGAAGAGTCAACAAGGACATGGATGAGCTACGTGAAAGCATCCAGGTATGTGTACATGCAATACAACAAGTGGGATGAATCATTGACAAGAGGCTATTTAGGACATGCACCAGCTACACCAAAAGCGCATGACGACCCTTAGCAATCAGCTAAACCAGCAACATGCCGAGCAGATGGAGAAATTGAGAGATGAATACGAATATCAGCTGGCCTCGCTGCGTGATCAATTACCAGACAAGGCACAAAGTGTGCTTCAAGAACAAAATGCCGAGCTGGAAAAGAAACTGCAGGTAGATACGGACTTGTTGTGGCATATGACCACGCCTACTTTTCTCCTTTCTTAACAATCTAACCACATGTACATTTATAGCATGTCCGAGAAGAGTCGACTCGTCTCAAGGAGGAATATGAACACCAAATCAAGGAATTACGTGAGGCATCTGATAAGCAATTGGAAGCGCTTAAGAAGGATCACGCTCAAAAGTTGGAATCCATCATAGCCAATCATCAGGTAAGTAAAGCTTGGATCACACGAGTCCCCTGATCCACCACCAGCTAACCATCACCATCATCACTCATTTTGCTATTAGACTGAGTTGGCTACTTTGCGTAAGGAACATGATAATGCCATCAAATTGGCTGAGAAACGTCACCAAGAGGCTTTGGATGCATTACACAAAAATGCCAAAGATGTGGAAAAGGCTAGATCTGAAGCAGAGGTAAGAAAAAAAGTGGAGATGTCACTTGTGCTTCAACAAGGCACGAGATCGGTGACACAAGCTTACCTTTTATGTCATAGACTCAATACCGCCAAAAGTATGACCAGCAACTCGCTAAGGAGAAGCAACATTTTGATGGTGAAATCAAGAATCTTCAAGAAGTCAATCGACGTGTCATGGTTAAGGTTGCTAGCTTGAGAACACAAATCGGTGATTCCAAGATTGGATTGGAACAAGAATATCAGCGTCAGCTAAATGAGGAGCGTCAAAAGACAAAGGTATTTATTTTATTATACATCCAACCACGATGATGAAAGAGGTGGGAAGCTAACAACTTGCCTCCGATAGAAACTTCTCCAAGACGAGTATTGGCAAAAGCTTGAGGACCTTGAAAAGAAGCATGCACACGCTATGGAGGAACACACAAGCCAATCGCAGCGTCAACTTTCGGATTTGGAGCGCACATTGAGTGAGCAACATGAAGCCAAGTTGGCGTCATTACGCAAGTTGCATGAAGAGGGTCTTTCAAGTGCGAGAACTGCAGCAGCTGCTTCAGCACGTATGGAAACAGAGATGAATCTCAAAGCCCAACATGAAAAGCATATTCAGCAATTGACTGCCAGCCATCGACAAGCTGAACAGCAAATCCAGGAGCATCACGCTCGTAGCATGGCTCATATGGAGGATCAGATCCAAAAGTACCAGCAAGAAAAAAGTGAATGGTCGTCCAAATTGCAGCAAAAATTGGATCAAATGGCATCGGATCGTCAAGGCGATGTTGGTGTTATCAAAGAGCAAGTAGAGGCAAGTCATTCAATTGTCGTATACATATATATGGGTATCTTACCTAAGCCTTTACATATATAGGAGGTGCTTCAAAAGCTGCATGAACAAGAAGTCGAACGCATTGTTAGTAAACACAAATCCGAGATGGAAGAAATGAAGCGGCAATATACCTTGCAGCGGGATCGTGAGAATGCTGCACATGAACAAGAGCTTGAGAGGATACGTGAACAGGTAGGAGATCGATCGAACGATAAACCAGGCTGTGTGAATCAAGGTTTAAGATCGCTGACGCGTTATGTTTTGTATGTGTAACAGAATTCTGGCGGCGTCGGATCACATCAGGTAAGAGAAAAAGCCTTTACAGCCTCCTTGTCATGCATCAAGGATATGAGTATCGCATTGAGAATGTGGCTAATGTCAAAGTTGTGTCAATAGATAAGCAAAAAAGAGCATGAGGCTATCATCCAGGAAATGCGTGCCAAGCATGCATCCGAGCTTGCCAAGCTGCAACAACAAGATGGTGAGTGTGTGTGTGGGTGGGTGTCTGTGCAACAAAGCCAAGCGTTGGGGGGATGATGATGATGATGATGATGGTGCGTGTGTATCACGAGAACAATATTAACCAATGTGGTAATGTCACAACGATAGCCACAATAGCAACGTGCCAAGACAAACATAGCAAGCAAGTCGAGGCGTTACAGGCTGATTTGATGGCAACTCAAGAAAAGGCACGCCGCTACGAGAATGAAATTAAGGTTTGTTGGCAATGTGCGTGTGACGTTAAAAAGTTCATATGGCCCTAATATAGTTTCCTTGTATTTTTCGGTAACCAACAGGAATTACAGGAGCAGCACAAACAGCGCATTACCGGCTTCGTGGATAGCCAGGCTTCCGTTTTGGCTGGTATTCAAGAACGTGTCGATGGCAATGGCAAAACAAATGTTGATATCAACAAGATCGCTGCACAAATTTCACATTTACAAGCCATCCTGCGTGAACAACTTGAATCCACAACGAAGGTTGTTGCTACAGAGGAGGAGGTAGGTTCATCATCATTGAGCATCATCACATGGCTCCTCTCCTGCCATCCAATTCCGATGACATTAATTTTATCTTCTCCCCTACAATTTAGACCAACCACAACAAGATGATGCAAATGGCACAAAAGCAGCTCGGCGATGTGGAGACCCTGCTCGTACAAATGAACAACAACGATCAAGAAAAAACAGGGTTCTCTGAGCACCGACCCCAACCCAGCACCAACAAGGTCCAATGAACAACCCTTAGCATCCCCCTCCTCAACCACATACGCGTTTCCTCTTTCCCTCTCTTTCTTTGGCGTCACATCTTACAACAATCCAATCAACCGAAACCATCTCAATAGCTTGTCAAAATGTACACAACACCCACCACTCTATATATATACATAGCCTATCCAATTTGTTGAAATATACATCATCAGCTGAGAATAGCGATAACATCAGCGATTTGAATGATGCAAAAAGTCTAGAACTGGAAATTGACGTGGTAAATGAGTTGATCATTGACGCAAAAGGATCATGTGAAAGTGATTCAGTGCGATTGTTGTTATGCTATTTTAGTTTGCAGGTTGCTGCAAAAAAAAAGCATCCCATTCCGACCGAAAAATGATTCATCATCATCCCGACATCCAATTTCCCCTTAGGCGGGAGTATTATTTATCAAAGACTTATATGAATGAATCTCTGCATTGAGATTATCCATGTATATCTTTACAGCCATATATGTCTTGGATTGGTTGAAGAGGAAGGTTCGAGAATCTGGCAATGATGACGCCTTTTCGGCACCTTGTGCCAAGTGTTTTTGTGTGTGCGTCGCGTGACACAGCATGGTAGCACATATGGCAAGTGGCGCGCCACCATGTTTGACAGAAACACAGTTTCGGATTACTCACAAGAAGCTATGTCAGACAAAAACATACACCATACACAACAACTTTTCCCAATGCCAAGATCTATGCACGCCTTTACAATACACACATTGATAGGCTCATTATCACGCCATCGTCCCACGCAATATACCTATATGCAATTGGACGAGGTATGACAATCGGCAATAGTACTGCCGGTGATTTGATAGGTGTATGTAAGCGATCAATGGATGTGTGCTTCATTTTGGCTCTTACAAGGGTGGCAATGATGAGCAGGCTTATGCGCCACAATGGATGCGGCAACATGTTAATACACACAAGCCCGCAATGCCGCGCACATGAATGTTGCTTATTTTACATAGGCAAGAGGCTCAGCAGCAGCCATATCAAAGACATATGAATGTAAGCTGTATCGGTTCATGACCAAATGAGGATGATGGCATTATATGTGGGGGAGCAGAAAATAGATTTTTATTTTTGCCAAGAGCAGCTGCAGCAGCGAGGCCATGTTCGTAGTATAGTAAATGATCGTGGTGAACGAGTCGCAAAAACGGATCAAGGATACCTTGACTTATTCATTGCTTGTGTTACATGACGTCGAGGGCAAATTTCGACCCTCTTTGTGTCTTCATCCAAAAGCAGTGTGGTCGCCGAAGCGGAGCATGATGATGATGGGGGAAAAGAGAGACAACACACGCTTGCAACGCAATAAGCTAGTGGGATGATGATGATGCCAGAGATAAAGAGATGGTTTGTAAGCTGTCATACCCATCAGCCAGTCGAATGGCATAAATTTTTATCGGAAATGCTTTTCCGCCAATTGCGAATTAATCAATGTCAATCGTTTGTTTGCCAAGGATACCCATTTATCTCATTGTGGCGCAACTATAAAGCATAATGAAACCGCCAAGCGACACAGCAAACACAAGACACGCGGCTCTGGTGGCGACATGAATAACAAAGAAAAAAGGTTTGTGGGTCGTGGGGGTGGGAAGGGGTCTCGTGTGCGGGATGCACAGAAAAAAGGGAACAGCGCCCAAAATCTGGAGAGGATAATCTGGGGGAGTGATATGCATATCCATTTCACACATCATCTACTTTTTCCTTTCCAACAATGCCTTCATTCATCATTACCCCCAAGTTCCACAGATGATAACAGACGTGGTTACACTGGAAAAGGGTCATGTTGTGACAATAGAAAGCTATAGCTGCAGGCTCAAAAGACTTGCATTGCCGCATCCAATTGCTGAGCAATGATGAATAGGAGAAGCAATCTGAGCGAGGTGGGTGATAGAGCAAATGGCAGGGTATTCATTAACCACCACGTGCTGACAATTGAAGAAAGAAAGAGACAATAACCACAAGAATGGGTGATTACAAGCCATAATGGGGGAGAGCCACACCCGCAGATTGAGAGAGAGAAAGAAATCATCAGTGCACTCTCGACATGACCCACCAAAAAACACATCCATAACCTTAACTTGGACACACGTAACCAATGAGAAGCATTTGCGTGATTTAATGAGAGAGAAGCACACTGCGGATCACTATTTTTAGCTAGTATTACCGGCAACAACATACACACACACAGCAGCCAGGGCTTTCTTGTACCTTGTATATAAATATCCGACATCCGCAAGACCATGTTACTTTTCGTGGTATAACTTTCACTCTATACAAACAACTGGTTCCTTTCACTTTTTTACCTTTTTACCCCTTGCCTCTTTTTGTGTTCTTTGCAGAACCTTTGATCTATGGTAGATGAAAGCACAACATCCACATTCATCAGCGAACAGCAACGATAAAAGAACGCAATCACAAGAACAACCACGACTAAAACGCACACGGGCTAAACGGAGCTGTGATTTCTGTCGAAAGAGGAAATCACGCTGTGATGCAGACACATCAACTCCATGTTCCAATTGCAGAGCTGTATGTGCACCTATCCATCCCATGTTTATGCAACAACAACATAAGCAGTTATTCTTGTATCCCATCCATGTAACTGACATTTTTGTAATAATACATAGTGGGGCTATACCTGTGAATTCCAAACAGTGCGCAAAAAGCGGGGTCCACCCAGCGTGTAAGCTCTCATTCCTTTTTCTTTTTTTCTTTTTTGTTTGATTCCCTACTCACACGCACCCCATTACCAGCTATGTGGACAATCTCGAAAAGCGATGCAAAAAGATGGAACAATTGTTGACATCATTGACAAAGACATCCATCAAAGAACTTGAACGCAACAATTTTCGATATCCACTTACCGGAGGGGTCGCCGACCCTACTAGTGACGATGATAACGCATCCATTATTGGAGATGATGCACGCAGTACCAGTGCCAGTATTAGTAGCGATGATAATGAAGCAGCACTTGAAGAGCAATTAACACGGCTTGGTATCAAAGACAATGATGGTATCACCTATGTTGGCCACTCGGCAAGTATTGAATTGCTCAACAGCGATCTTTTTCGCCTGAGACCTTACATTACATGGCCTGGTCATGATCATATTGGATTACAACTCACATCCCAAGGCGAGCTGATGGTTGTGCGAAAGACACGAGTTGATATTGGTGTATCGATGCGTATTGATTTGGACGATGAATCAGCCACGCCTGCAAAGTCCACAAGTCTATTACCATCCACAACATTGGATCAGCTACCCCAAGAACAAATCGACTCCTTGATTGCCACGTAAGTAATAGCATTGTGCAAAGAAATCATATCACTGATGCATGAACAACATGTGTATTGTATTGTATTGTATACTTCAATAGCTATTTTACCCATCTACATCCATCTTTCCCTATCATCAACAAGAATCGTTTCCTGGAAACCAAACAACCACCAACGTTGCTAGTACATGCCATTCTTGCATTGACGCTTCGTTTCATATCACAACAATTCGTACGAGACAATGCCGAACTTGATCAACAATATGCTGCATTCTACTTCGCCAAAGTAATGAAACGCTTACGAGAAGCTTCACGATCCAAAATGTCCCTTGTGCAGGCTGCAGTATTGATGACATTATACCTTGACGACGATGGTGGCGACGACGCAACGCAGTGGTTTACTCTTGGCACGGCGATTCGTATGGCACAAGATTTGGGCCTGCATCGATCTTGTTCTCATTGGAAGATGCTTCCTCCTTGCGAAATCGAGACACGCCATCGAGTGTTTTATGCTTGTTACATCCTTGATCGGTGGCTAAGTGCACGAGGAGGACGACCATTGACGATCCTTGACCGCGATTTTGACACCTCATTGCCATCTGTATACGAAGAGGGGGAGCCTGTCTACCGTGGCTTTGTTGTCATGGCACGATTATCTGAAATTCTGGGGCGGCTGCTCAAGGCGTTGTATGCACCCAAAGCCAAGCATGCCAACAACAATGCCAGCTTGGATGATCCCACACTGCTTGAAGCGTTTGATCGCCGTTTAAAAGCTTGTAAGATGGGTATTATGGAAGAGGATATGCCACTAGCCCAAAAAGGTAATGTTAGGTCATATGGTGGTAGTGCACCTTTTTTAATTAAGACGTTTTTCTTGATGTTCGCTATAGTTTATCTCGAGATCTATTACAACACAGTCGTCTTATTACTTCATCGTCCATTCCTCAATCAAAATGCAATGTCACACCATGCTTGTACAGCAGCTGCATCCAATATCGGCAACCTCGTTCGTCAACAATTGCCACATCCACAAGAAGCGGATCCATCCACATGCTTCTCATTGACATTGCCGACATGTTTGATCTATTCGCTTTATCAATGTACTTTGGTTCATCTTGCAAATGCTGTACGTGATCCCAACACCACTGAAGCACTCGATCGATCCATGGCTCTTGTTCAACAATTCCAGCATATGGCTACGGCTCGTCGTGCACATGAAGTGCTTTCCATGTTCCGTACCATTCAACTCTCCTCGTTACTCACTCCTGCAATGCCCCCACCACCACCATCACAAACAACGCTTGGTCATCCGTTTCCACAGCAACCACAGCAACAACCTGTTGTCTATTCCAATGACTTGTATGCTCATACTAGCACAGCACCACCACCAACAGCACAACATTCACACATGTTTGATTGGCCTAGTGCAGCTGCGGCTGCTGCTGCTGCAGTAGCAGGGGCTCCATTAATGACATCAGGACAACCACCACCACCACCGCCGCCTGGTGCCACTTTCTTTAATCCACAACAAGAATTCTTCAATACCATCACAGCATCTCCTAGCTCAATGCACTCGTCTTTAGCATCATCCAATACACCCGCACCATCAGCTACCAATAGCTCCACCGCTTTATCCCATCAACACGCCAACTCACTCTCTTCAACTTCCTCATCATCATCATACGTTTCAACCCCACACCCAAACTCCATCCTATGGACTGATTGGGATGTTTATGCCACCACTTGTCATCCATCCTCATCCAACAACAACGCTGCTGCTGCTTCTTCTACACCTAATGCAACACCATCCACGCATCATCATCATCCTCATCATCCATCACCATTTGATTTTCATATTCCACCTTCGCAGTAAATATGCTTCTTCGTTTCTTTTCGTATTCCCGCACCATTGTAGTACATATGCCCTATTCCCTCTCTTCCTTTATACATATACATATATATGCCCCGTCCCCCCCTTTCCATTGCTTGTACCATACATTTCCCAACTCTTGTGGAGAGAGAAGATATTCATTCTTGTATAGAACCAGATTAAAATTCATTTCTTTTGTGTCCAAACCCTACGCCCGTCTTCTTTGTTCTTTTGAATGCCAGGCTTTTCACGCCACAATGACTTTGCTTTCTCATCCACTTTGATAAACGCATTCGACCCTTGTTCAACTGTAACTCGTAAACGACAATGGCATCTCAACACCGATGGTCCTGAATTTGTCCCTGTGAAAAGAAAACGAAGGCACCAGCAACAGCAACAGCAGCAGCTCGCCTCTACAACTACTACTACTTCAAGTCAAGAACAAGAGAATCTCAATGCACAAGGTGATCCAACAACCGTTGCAGTGGAAAAAGTCGTCGACTATTCGGCATTGTTGAGGGAGCTTGAACCTCTTTCTGGTGAAGCCTTGTTTGAACGACTTGTTACTTTGCCGCTACCACAGGTATGGGATGATGACCCTATGGAGTGTTCCATTGTATTCATTTGTGGTGTGTTAGGTGGATTATGTATGTCAACAAAGAAAGGATACCTGGTCTCAGGAGGATATCATGGATCTTTGTCATGCGATTAGCAACAACACCTCTTCGTTATCATCAATGACATGCATCAGTGCACTTGTTCGACACGTGGTCATTCCCAATGTATGTATCGATACGCTTTTGAATGTGACCCCCACTTTTGGCTGATGGTATGGCTCTCATTTTCACACTAGGTCGATAGTCTACAAAAGCGTGTATTCTTGACAAGCGTTACCGAGCATATCCCTGAGCGGTCGTTGTTGGATGGCTTGGTGATCCCAATGTTACCAGAGTTGACTCGTCCACGTGTCCAAATTCTTCTCAAGCTGCCATTGACACCCACATCACGCACAAGTCTATTACGTGCCGTATGTACCAACGCATCTCTCAAGCCTTGGAGTGACGCATTACAACAATTCGTCGAACGCACCTTGAGTCAACAACCCCTCTTGACAACGGGTATCACGTCCGATGTGGCAACGACTTTGGTGAACGAAGCCAATCTTCAGATACTGTTGGTGTTGACAAGCAAATATGGGCAACTTCTTGTGAATCAGCAATTGCTCAATGTCGTGGAAGCTAAGGCACAAGCTAGCCAACAAGTGCTTAAGCGGGCAGTGCTTGGTCAAGTGACATCCATCCGCAAGCGATTAGGGATCTAACATGGCGTGGCGGTTATGTATACTGGAAACGAAGGATCATGATAACGAAGCAGGGACGGCTTCTTGGATCGACAAGGAGGAGGAGGAGGATTAGTGGGTTTTGGATATCAAGGTTGAGTCATCAACAAAGGGAATAAAGGAGCATGTCATGGAATTTGTACTCAGTACATTGCAGAATTTATTCTTGGTATTATATTATTTTGTGTGCGTGTGCGTGTGTTGATTAAGATCTGCTCGCAATGGGGGCGCCATACTATTAGTGATAGGGGGAATACTGTAATTTGTAGAGGTGGGGTATATAGTAGGTCTCATATAGGCAGTAACATATAAAAGACGTGCTCGTGAGCTTCCCAAATGACAAAAAAAGAAAGGCATAAAAAAAGAAACAAAGAATATACAAAGAAGAAAAAGGGGGGCAGTGATTAGATGGAGAAGCAAAAAAGGGGTAGAAGAAATGAAAAAAGAATCAAGATTGGGAAGTCAACACGGCGACGTGGTGTGCGTTGTGTATATATGTGCTTGATGCGTGTGTGTGTGTGTGTGCAATGGAGGAGCTGATAATAAAAAAGAGAAATAGTAACCAGAAATGGGGAACTGGAGTTGCGTATGTAAAAAAAGAAAAGATGCTGGAGAGTATGTAAGTGTGTGTGTGTGCGTGTGCGTGTATATGTGTAGTAGAAGAAAGTAGAGAGATTGAATAAGAGAGATCGCTTTGTAGGGTATGTTGAGCATAAATGAAATCAACATCCAACGCTTGTGGGTGTGTTGTTGACTGAGTTTGTAGTAGAAAGAGTGCTCCAGCCATGCATTTCAGGTGTTGCTGTAAGAGCCGAAAGTGAAGTTGTTGCTGGAGAGGTTGTGGAGGAGCATGTCATGTTGGCTTCTTCTTGTTGTTGTTGCTGTTGACGTCTACGACGATCCTCGTGACGCTGATGAGTCTTCATATGCTGAGACAAGTTGTCAGAACGCGAAAAGGTCTTGTGGCAATTGGGGAAGGTGCATGAAAAAGGTCGTTCAAGCGTATGAATACGCATATGGCGCTTGAGATGTTCGAGACGCTTGAAACGTCGTTGGCACTGAGGAATAGGACACACGTGCGACTTGAGCTGAACAACGTTAGATCCTGCGGTGGAACCAGTGGTAACACCATTATGACGTGTGCCATATGGCATGCTAGCTGCCAAACTGCCCCACGGGTCAAGCATCATATTGTTATCCAAAACACGTGCATATTCGGAGGTGCCATAAAATCCTTGTTCTTGCATCGATGGCATGTATTGAAAACTCTCGTTCATCTATAAAGTGCATTGTTGAATGTTAGCATTATTATCGATGGTGTTTTTTTCATCATCTTACCTGGTAGGTGGGCGATCGATGATCGTAAAGAACATTTGCGTAATCTCCAGCAGCGGAATCAAAGCTCAGGGGCTGATGCTGAGCTCCAGCATGATCAGCTTGTGGCACCAACGCGACATTACCAGTTACATCCGCTGTGGATAAAGAAGGCGATGACGATACAGCAACAGCTGCAGCAGCTGCAGCAGCGAGAGATGAAGCAGAAGTGGTAGTAGTGGTCGACGTTGCTTTGGAAACACGTGATTGACGACGACCTTGAGTACCTTGAAGACCATTCTTTTTGTTGTGGGTACGGCAATGTGCATGAAAGTTGTCAGAGCGGCTAAAACTCTTTCCACATCCAGGATAATGGCACACGTGGGGTCGTTCACCAGTATGCACCAACATGTGCCGTTTGAGATGTTCATAACGCTTGAAACTCCATCCACAAAAAGCATACTTGCACACGTGCTTATGCTGTACAGCAGGAGCATCACCAGAAGAGCGAATGCGTGGTTGTGATGCAGGTGCAGGTTGTTGCTGATGCTGTTGTTGAACTTGATCCATTGATTCAAGCTTGACATTGTCGATCACAGGTGCTTCAGGTGATGCCAAAAATTGTGTGTAACTATCAACATAGTAATTTTCATGGCCTGTAGCAGGTGGTGGCATACACTCGTTGTATGACATATCAGTGCAAGTTGAGCTACGGCGAAAGAGCTCATCATCTTGCTGTTGCAAGTACTCTTGAGTTGCAAAACCAAATGGGCCAACATCAACCGAAAACTTGCGAGGAGTAAATTGAGCAACGTCGAACATGGAGGGCGAAACAGCTGGTGTCAAAGGTGTCGTGTTGCTGCTAACAGTGGCCGTTTCGGGATACATTTGTAATGGTGGTGCTGCTGTACCACAGCTTGATGGTGACGAGTAATCAAGTGGTTGTTGCGAATACAAAAGGTTGGGTGATCCGCTTGAAAGAGGCGAGGCATGACCATTAATGAATGCAGCAGTGTGCGTTTGGTGATGTTGTTGCTCTGTGTAATCGAGTTGGGAATTCATTGTTTGGTATAATATTGGTCTACTGATCCTAAAAAGATGAAAGCGTTAGCAAACAAAGACACAATGGTTATATCTTTTACATACCTGTAAGTGATAAAGAGCTGTAAATTTTCTTAAAGAAGAGGGTTCGATATGCAAAAGAACAAAGAAATAGGAAGAAGAGCGTGGATGAGGAGCGGATGTGCAAAGAGAACAAGATTATTTTATATGCATAACGCATGATGTGCTACTCCCACCCCAACTTATTACCCCGCTTATCTTTCTCCCCCAGTGAAAGGAATAGGGAACAAAGTACGAAGGACCGATTGACAAAAAAAGAATGTGCACGATGATACTTGGCAGCAGTAAAAGCTGAATCAGGGATGCACGGGCACAAGTGATGATGATGAACATGTTCCACGACAGCCTCGTATTCGTATGGGGACGCGCGTAAATTTTCTTTCAGCAACACTTGAGCTCACCCCTGCTGGAATAGAAAGTATCATTGGAGAACAAGGGAGTACATCAAGAAAGCGTGCGTGCGTGTGCTAGGATGGGAAGAGATTGGTCGATCTGTATTGGTGCAGGAGACAATTGTCCAAAAGAAACCCCGGTGCCTCTCCTTGTAACACAATTATCCTTTACCGCATAAACATGACATGAGAGCATGCCTTTTCCCGTCCGATGATAATATCATCGCATCCGTGATGGAATAGACCTCCCTATTTTAACTTTGCATTTGGCTTGGTTGTCAACAAGATGCCATCTTACTTGCTCACATTCATATTCGTAGTCTCCCTTACCAGCATCAACACAAGAAGCCGTATACATACCTTCTCCTTTTTATGATGGATGCTTTTGACTATCCTTTTTCCTCCCATTTGGCTCTCCCATGCACATCCATTGACTGATTCGGATCCGAGTGCCTGAAAAGATTGCTGACCCGACTAGGACGTTCCACACATGTGTTCCTTGCGGTTCTGTTGCTTCCCCCTATTTGGATGTGTAACAGCAAAAGCACACTTTTCATATAAAGGAGACAATAAACATTATAGGTGTGGTATGCTTGAGGAGAGAACATGAGTTGTCTATTCAGCGTGGTCAATTCACGGGTATGGCTGTTGTCCTTTCTCGGCTGTTGCTTTCCTCGTGTATCTAAGTTTAATAGTTATTACGACAAGGCACGTTTTTTCTTCCTTGTTGCTTTATGCAGCTGAAGTTAATACGAATACGTGTTCGTAAATGTGAGTGGTGCATTTTGATGCAGCAATGATGACATTACACAAATGACGATCTCTCTTTCCAAATGCACATAAACGAACATGGTTATTATAACCCAGGAAGGGTCCTCATCAAGGGATCCTTACTCCACCTTGCAGAAAATGGCTCATCGATACGCTGTATATGATCATGAACTGGGCTGTGTATCTCTATCTGGAGTAATCTTACATGTATGGATCGTCTAATCTCATGCCCCTTATATCGCACGGATCATGTTCTTATGCAATGTGTTGCTTTTGGGTTATTGTTAAGCTGCTGCTGCTGCTCGTGTTTGACCCTTTTTTATTTCAGTAGTGTACATAGGAAGGCATAAAACGCTCGGCACATATAAGATGATATGAAAATCCCCTTTTCTTTGGTCCCTGATGCATGTGCATATGGTCAATACCAGGGCCTTGGACGGCATGGGATACCGAACTAAACAGTCTCCAGGACCTCGAGCTATTTGCCTCGCTCGAAAATTGTATCACCAAAGGATGGCGTGTGGGTGAAACCATGAGGAGAAACCTTGTACCTTCATAATGGATGAACATTTGGCTACGTTAAAGTTGACAGGTGTTACGCTCCAACATGCTGCAAAATTAATAAAGATCATCGTATCCACAATGTACATCTCATTATTGAGTCATTGATGGTACTTTGTCCTTATCCAGTATTATACAACAAGAGGCCTTTATGTATCATCTCCATGTTGGTAGCCGCTGTGCACTCTAAGATACGTCCAAAGCAGTGCACGATGAATCAGCTGTTTTACATTTTAAGCACTCGGAGGTCTTTGAATGGGGTGACCATCATCATCCCTTTGGATACCTTTGGAAGGCTTTCAAGGTACAACGCGGCAAAATGTTGAAAGCCTTGAAAGGCTTTTAAAGGGTGCTCAAGGCATTTAGCGGAACCCTTTTAGTCCCTCAAAGGCAATGTCACTTTATTGATGCCTCTTGATGGCATATTGATAACGAGCATGCTGTTGTCTAATCATTCATCTCATGCATGGCTAAATGATAACGCTTTTAATTGGACATTTGCTAGGATGATTTTAGCATAGTCAGCCGAAAAATTCATAGTCAGCTAATACCTACACGTCTTTTCTTCGATGTTGAATATGAGCAGCAACGTTGTATCTACTCTTTGATTTGCATTGTTGTGTGTCATTTCTTTGCCATGTGCTTCTATACCCCACCTTGTTTGTTATTACAATGTTGCCTCTATTACCATTTATGATCATGTCAACAATGTTTTGTTTTGGCAAAGAATCATCCTGGGTAATGGTTATCGATAGCTGATGTTTAATGTGCTTCATTCAAGGCAAGAGCTTTCGTCACCTCCTGGTCCCGAATTGTCAAGGGAGCACGCATTTGAGGTTTTTGACAGCTGGGTTATCTTTTCCCGAGGATCACTTGTCCAATTGATCGGAGACAATGCGGATGAAAAAAAAGTGGCCGAGACATTACTTGTCAAATCCTCTAATTGAACAATGACCGTCGGGATATGCCGTCATCGGCACGTTTGGAGATCTCGATAGAACTATTTGTACCTTTTGGCCGATTACAAATCGTCTCTCTTTCTCCTGGATTATAAATCAGTGATTTTGGAGACATATATAAAAAGACCCATCATCATCCATCAAGCATACTCTCATCTTTCATACAACACCTTCAATACTATATAACCATGTCGACCGATACTTTCCACGGATGGGCTTGCGCAGGCAAAGGTAACTCGATTCATTGTCTCATAGGTGAGGATCATTGTTGACATGCTTTCCCTTCCCCTGGTTTATAGACCAACCCCTTGAATGGCGTGAATTTCAACTCAAGACCTTTGAAGACGATGACATCGAAATGGATATCTCACATTGTGGTATCTGTGGTTCCGATATTCATACTCTTGACAGTGGATGGGGCCCCACCGAATACCCATGCGTTGTTGGTCACGAGGTAAAGTATATTAAACAGAGACAAAGGGCGCGCTGGATGATCTACTGATAAGGTGTGATGGATGAATTTTTTTATTCCAGATTGTCGGTGTTGTGACCAAGGTTGGAAAGAACGTTAAGCAATTCAAGGTCGGCGATCGTGCTGGTGTAGGTGCTCAAAGTGGCAGCTGTCAAGAGTGCGACAACTGCAAAAACGGCAGCGAGAACCTTTGTCAACGTAAGGTGGTGTTTACTTACAATGATCGCTGGACAACAACCAACGACAAGACCTTTGGTGGCTATGCCAACAAGTGGCGTGGTGACAACCGCTTTGCATTCAAGGTTCCCGATAACATGTCAAATGAAATTGCTGCCACATTTTTCTGTGCCGGTGTCACCACCTATGCTCCTCTTAAGCGATACGGCGTTACCAAAGGCAGCAAGGTTGGCGTCATTGGTTTAGGCGGTCTTGGCCACTTTGGCACTCAATTTGCCAAGGCCATGGGTGCTGAAGTTGTGGTGATTTCAAGCTCGGACCGTAAGCGTGAGGATGCCAAGGCTTTGGGTTGTGATGATTATGTTGTATCCAGCGACGTTGAAGGCATGAAAAAGCACGCTGGCACCTTTACCCATATTCTCTGCTGCAGCTTTGGCAACAACTTTGATTGGGGTCTTTTCCTTTCCAGCATCGCTTTCAACGGCCACTTCATTATGGTTGCTTTACCAGAGGAGCCTCTTGCTGGTATCCCAGCAGGTTTGCTTGCTGTAAGACAAGTCACCATCGCTGGTAGTTTCATTGGAAGCCCAAAGGACATTGAAGAAATGTTACAATTTGCAGCCGACACTGGTGTGAAGCCTTGGATTAACAAGTATCCTATGAAGGAAGCTCCTGCAGCTGTACAAGCCATGCGAGATGGCAAAGCTAGATACCGCATTGTTTTAGAGAACTAGGATAATCCTTTGTAATAGTACTTTTATTTTGAAACAATCAATAACCTTCATTGTTTGCTATCGTAGATGCAGCTTTATCATTGTAAAAGGGTTCACACAGCTGTCATTTAATTCTCGTCATGCAAGTTTTGGAAATTGAAAATGGGAAGCAAATAAGCTATCAAGGGAATGGTTTTAATCTCGTTGCTGGATGATAGATAGAATCAGCGAATGTTCCGTTGGATTGTCATCATTCGCTCTCGTCCTTCGTACACGACATGGCGTTGTTCAACGACTTGAGGTGGTAACGCACGGTCTCCTCGGTCATTGGTACTGAGGTTGCTAGAGTGTGGAATCCATAATCGACTCCTACGAACGCGAGATCTTCATCTTGACGACGATAAGAAGAAACATTCACTTGATACTGTGGAGCATGTTGCCGTAAACGTAATTGTGGATGTGGAGGGTGGGGCTGCGATGATGACGGCTGTGGAGTTTGGTGGACTTGAGATGAAGAAGGCTGTGGAGTTTGCCAGCCAACTGTATACATTATTGATATTCAAGTCTCGTGCTCGTCCAAAAACCAGATAACATTACGATGTTGATTGGTGTGTGGGAGCATGCATGGTGCGAAAAAGACGTCACTCTTGCCGGTACCAGTTGGCATAACGATAAAAGCATTGGTTGTGCCGAATAAGAATGGTAGATGGCTTGATATTGCTGTGGAGATCGAGATTGCGCGTTTGGTCCATGTAAAGCAGCAAGACATTGCATTACTGCACGACGCCACAAAGTCCCTTGTGATTCAACATTCTCACATAATCCAGTAATCCTGTGATCCATTGTTGTTGATAGGTGTAATCAAGTCATTGATGGGAGTCATTGTGAATTGTTATTGTCGTGGCGCATCTTCAATAGTTGGTGTTGGTGGGAATGGTGTTATTGGTGGAAGGTGTATGTTGATTGACTTGAGGAAGAAGATCGTCGTCCAATTTCAACCGATGCTGCCATGTATGTCTCATTGTTGTTGTTATCACCAATGGTATTGCGTGCGACTGACATCATTTCATCCATTTGTCGTTGATTACGTTCATAGGCAAGCTGAAGCTGATCCAAGGTGCGTTACAATTGTTGATGGGTTGCTGTATTTTTCTCATTTGAAGTCTGCATCCATGTCGCCATCTTTACAGTATGAGTAGCCATTTTGCCTGCCATTTGGGTGGTGATATCCACTGCTGTTGTATACGCATTGGCGACTCTTTGGATAGATCCAATCACAGGTACAAGTTGAGCGCCTACGCGGGTAGCTGCATCTCGTGTGATATAATCTGCACATAGGCTATTGGCTCGATTGCTAGGTCGAGTGTTGTCCTGTTGATGTTGTTGCATACGTGGCGCATCAAGTATATCGATGATACTGTGCCAAAATAAAGACGTGTGATGAAAACTGTTCAAACTTGTCTGATGGGACTTGTGAAGGCACGTTGCTATGGCGACCATAAATCAATTCCGCCGTGTGGGCTGTATGGCCCTGTTGTTCATAGCATGATAACAATGTGTTGTATTGGCCAGCCGACATTTTGGATGCATCTCTTGTAATACGTGTTGGCCATCAAAATGTTGTTCACCCTCGTCATCACCATTGTCGTCGTCGTCACAATAATTCAAAAGTGCCATTGATCGTTCAAAGTGTTGGCCAGCCGATAAGTAATGTCGCTCGTACGTTGTGCTTGTGAATTCACTGCCACGTGCAGGTTGTCCAATCGTCCAGTGTAATAAGGCGCAAAACTTTATGCACCATTGATCCGTATCTTGTAGGCACCTTTCAGCCATGGGAAGAAAAATAGGTCAAAGTCACCTTCTTCTTTTGGCACCCATTTGGCATGTAATTCTTCATTGCGCAAAATATGATTCACGATCCTCAACTCGTTAGCTGGATCCGACAAGGCGTGGTTGGGTTGCGAGTGTCTTGAATAAAGCTGTAGCTTTCGTCTTGGTAAGAGTCATAAACAAATGAGGTCACCAGCGTGAGGGATAATTGACGTAAATCAGTTTGCTATACAAGTTGTGTTGCCTATCGTTGTCCAAATGATCCACGGTGTTCGCGCCATCAATCCTTTCCTTCAACAAACGCCATAGCCGCAAGTCGATGCACCTATCCCCTCTTGTATGTTTGCAGACCCACATGGTAGAGCTTTACTTGAGGATAGCCATGTTCAAGATGGCAGGCAATTAGTGAGCCGTCGGTATCAAGCCGTACATGTCCATGGTCCGATACACGGTAGCGATTATAGATGGGGTATCAGCTCCATGCTGGCTGTCGTACAATATGTCACCAAACCCAACTTTGCAGATGCATCTCGAGAGGTAACTACATCAGAGACTTTGTGAGTATGTGCTTCATAAAACGAGATTATCACGATTTTACCTTGATAAAAGAGCCAAATAACACAATGACAACAAAGACAATGGAAGTAGGATAACAATGAAAGACTAAAGACCATCACAAATATGAGTACATAGATCCTTCACACGGGCTACAAAAATCCACGATGGCACTTACCAAGGGCTTTTGACGATGCCAGCAATCAAAGAGGGATATGATGGGAAGAAGTGATGGGCGACAACATCCACCTTGTTTATATCTGCACGGTGGGCGTGGGTATCTTTGTAGCCACAAACAGTGATACAATGTATGTTGAGAATGGTGATGAGATGATAGATTGATCGGGGAGCCTTCACAGGAAGCCTTGATGTGATTGATTGAGCATCCATAAATCAGGTATGAGATAGACAAGGTCATCCAGCAATGGCATCAATCAAATCATTTGCTGTCCTCGAGTTCCACCATAAGACGTTGTTCGAGGATGGCTGTGTAAGTGCTCGTTTCAAAAGAGAAGCCGTTGACATCTTCATAATCGATAAGCATAGGTCACACGCGTGAATGTTTCCAGCTAACATAGCTCCCCCATAGTGACGATGTAAACGGCTTTCGGTAAAAGAGATCTCCATTGCTGCTCATGTGTTGCCACTTGTTGATATTTGCTGATAAGCGGAATTGTCGTTGTGAAAGCTGCATGAATGGTCGAAAAGAGTCTCCATAAATCCGGTGAAGGTACCACAAAACCTCGTCATGCGTGCTTTCAGCTATTTGGAATACATCAATATAAGCTTAGTATGATTGATATGAGAATAAACTTTCAATAGCGTATATAACATACAAGGGCTTACGCGATGATGATGCATGGTCGTTAACGTCAAGAGCAGCCCCAGAATGGTGTTAGGCATCTTCAAATGATGAAAAGAGTATTAGAATAGTGTTGAAAGAACAGCTCGAAGAGTCAATCGGTCCATTGAATGGCTACCTCTCTCAGCATTGGCTTGGAAAGTCAATGTTCCAAAGATCGCCCTTGGTTGTTGTCAGGGATCGCCTTTCCTTTGCGAGTGGTCAATGGTGCACACGATGAATAGAAATGACAGGAGAGGAAAGGAAAGCCGCATGTCTTGACGTGGTTGTGTGCCGTGCCGTGTCAGAAATAGAAACCAATACCAGTGAAGAAGTTGTCATATTGAGGTTAACAGGATATGAAAGGAAGAAGACATGCATTTATTGGGGAGCTTCAAATCACCTGGCTTTATATGGATACTGATTTACTACAGCGAACATGTACAATGCATATGATAATGCAGCAAGGGGAGATTGCAGGAAGCGAGATTGCTCTTGATGATCGCTTCTTGTGCCTGATACTGCTTATACTGAAAGTAGATTATCAGGTGAATCATATCCCTGGGACTCCAGGTATTTGCAACGTAGGAGGATTGCCAAGGCCATGGCTGCTAAAGTGGTTGCGCTTTCAAGCTCGGATCGTATACGTGAAGATGCTAAGGCTTTGGGTCGTGATGGAGATGTTGTATCCAGCGACGTCAAAAGCTTGAAAAAGCTCGTTGGAACTTGGCAACGACAACTTTGATTGGAGTCTTTGTCCTTTCCAACATCGCTTTCAACGGCCATTTCATTATGGTTGCATTGCCATAGCAACCTCTTGATGCTATCCCTGCAAGTTTGCTACCTATAAGACAAGTCACCATCGCTGGTAGTTTCATTGGAAGTCCAAGGGTATTGAAGAAATGTTACATAATTTGCAGCCGGCACAGGTTTGAAGCCTTGGATTACATAGCAAGTGTCATCCTATGAAGGGCTGTGCGAGTCATACGAGATGACAAAAGCTAGATACCACATTGTTTTAGAGAACTAGGATACTCATTGCAATAGTGCTTTTATTTTGAAACAATCAATGGCCATCATTGTTCATCATTGTTTGCTCTATGTATCATTTTGGGGATTGAATTCCCGGTCTGAAAAGTAGGAGATCAACACGCGTGCGCGCTTCAACAGGGACGTCGTACATTTTTGACACAGCTTTCTCTTTCTCCTTCTTACAAACACGCGTTTACGCACCTCCAAGTATCCCTCCATTCGTCAATGCAATCCCTTCAAGAGTGCATTTGCAACGTCGTGCAACAAGTAGCTGTTGTGAGAGGAGTTCCTGTCGAAGAGCAGAGCCATATTCAAGCCTTTTGTGCCGAAGAGTATTGCAACGATTCCCAAGCAAAGGTATACATACACACAATGACACAAGTAGTATAGGGAATCTAACACGAAGGGATCTTGTTCCATTGTTTGTCTTAGCATTATGAGTTCCTTGGCCAAGGCGTTCTTTATTATGCTGTGAGTGAAGGTCTTGTACAAGCGTATGGCGAGCACTGCCAAGGTGACATACTTGAACAAATGCGACGGCTGTTGTTTGCCAACCATGGTGCTCTCTTCCACGTTATTGCGCAAAGATATCATCTATCCGGCACCGAGGATATATCACTCAAACGGATTGTGGATCGGCTATTGGGGTAAGTGGGTTGTTATAAGCAGCCACTTAAAAGGGGTGATTGATTGACACAAGCTGCATTTATGATTGTTTCAGGGTGATCGCCCACAGCCAACTTGGACCATGGGGTGTCACGACCATCGTATCAACGGCTCTTCAAGAACAAGGATCTGCATTGTTGAAACAGCTTCCTCGTAAAGTACGCACTTCACTTGGTCTACTTCCACCTACCGATGATGGCGTCTTGACACCCATTGATACAACCAATATTCCAAAGCATCAACGGCCCATCAAAACACCACGACGTCATAGTGCTCAAAAGCAAACAGTGAATGAGGTCTTTGCATTCTTGATTCGGGAAGGCGAATACAATCAGAGTTTTATGGAGCGTGAACTACCAGGCCGCGCCAAAGAGTGGGGATGTCAGATCATATACCGATTGACGAAAGGATCACCTTGGTTTTCCCATTCTCGCTATGCAAGCAACAAGAAAGGTGCACGTAGTTTGGTCGTCCATGATATCCTTCAGTACTATGAAAAGCGACCTGATCACAAAGCAAGTCATCAAGAAGCGATGCCCGAGGAAATAGATCCAACATTGGCTACGACTCCAACGGTGCTTGTCATTGATGAAAGTGAATATTACCATGAACCAACAGCAGTATCCACGCCACCGCCATCGATAGAGTGGTATAATCCGATCCCTGGTGACCCATCATTGTGTGCCATTCACATTCCCGAGAAGAGGCCTACGGATGATATGGATATGGATGAATACGATGCACGTATGATGGAGGTGCTCTTGGATGGCTTTCCAAAAATGACCATGGAACAAAGGCAACAAGAGGAGCAACGACGACGACAGCGACTACAACAACAGCAGCAACAACAACAAGAAAATAAACGCATGCGATCATCACCACCCACCTCCAACGAAATGCGAGTACCTCCTACACCTCCTGTTGTGGCTGCGCAATTGACAGATGATGATGGTCAACCTCGGCCATCGATCGATATCATACGCGACATTGTTGACATCAACCGCATCCATAAGATCCTCAACGATCCAGTGCAAGCTTCAAACCCGAAAACAGGATTCTTATCACTTTTACAACCACTCAAGGATGCTCTGGATTACAAGTTTGATTACGTATCTTCAGGGCCACCTCACAACAAGATATTCATTGGAACCTGCTCTCTGATTTGTGGTGAGCATTCTGTATCATCTGGTGGACAAGGTGCAAAGAAACGTGACGCTGAACAAGCAGCTCTCTTGAACCTTTTGCGAACATTGGCCAATATTGCATGATGATCCTCGATATCACATCTCCCTCTTATTCATTATCACACACCCCCTCTTTTATCCTCTCCTTCTCTGATGTGTATACCCATAGTTCCTTTCGTTCCACCCTCTATGAAAAGTTATATAAATGTAACAAAGTGAAATTTTTTTGATAAAACAATCATCTGGCTCGTGCGGGGTATCCTTGTGAAACGTGACAGCCAACTCAGTAATTGCTCATGGTAGTTAGATTTGGATATGAAAGGAAAAGATCAACATGGTTTTATACAAGGAAATAAGAAATCAAAACTAAACTAGACTAGACATATAGATTGGTTGGCATGAATGTTGTATACTAATTTGCATGGCTTGAGTAATCCCAATAGGTGGGTGTGTAGGTGGAATGGCTGATTGATTGCTTGATTAAAGTCACGAGGAGGAAGAATGAAATATACAATGCGGTAAATAATGGGTTGAGGCGGGAGGAGATAAAACATAAAGATAGCAAAATCAAAATGGGTGTGCTGGAATGTGTGTGTGAATGTGAGTGTGAGAAGGACGTTGGGATATGGCAGCGGCATCTCGCACGCATAAATGGAATTGAGGATGGGGTCACATGGCTGTTTTGGTTCAAGATGGATTTAGCCCCAGTGAAGAGGTGTGGCGGTAGAGGGAGATGTGGGCGTTGCGAGGGCGGCACTTGTTTGTTGTAACATGATCAATTGTTGCCATTGTTCAGGTGAAAGACCCAAAAGCATGGAAGCAGCTGCTGCTTGTTGCTCTTGTTGTTGTCGTTGCTTGGCAAGCAACACGTTCCGAAAACCATCTCCAGGTTGTTGCATCCATACCAGATCATCCTCCATATCAGCTGCAATCACCACTGCAGCAGGACCACTATCAAGTCTCGCCCGTTTGTTGCTTAAGCTGCTGAAATTATCATTGTCGTTGATTGTGTTGTTGTTGTTGTGAAGCATAGCAGGTGCAATAGTTGTTGGGCTAGACCTGCCACTACCAATCATGTTTCGATCGTTTCTAAAGCTGGTTGTGGAAGGACTAGTGCTGCTGGTGCTGAAACTAATGCTGTTTGACCTGCTTCCAATGGTAATGCTTGGGCTAGTGCCAGTGGTTGATGTGCCTTGAATGCTTCCACTTCTATTTCTCTTCTTGATGACATCGGTCTTAAGACTCAAGGGACGCACGACACCATGAAGCTTAAGGAAAAGACCACAAGCATTGCAAAGTGGTTGGCCTGCAGGGTTGCGTCGCCATAAAGGAGTTGTTGATGTGGCACAGTTGGAGCAAACGGTCTTGGGTTCCTTCTCTGGTTTCAAATACATTGTTGGTTCGTGAGGGATGGTGATACTGGAAGACTTGTTGGATTGAGAGAGCATGCAAAGATGAAGAAGAAGAAGGACGATGATGCCTGAGAAAGAAAAAATATAAATGGGCGGGTTAATAAAGCGGAGAAGAGGAAGCGGCGGGTAATGGTGGGTCTCTCTGGATGGGGGAATAACCAAAAGAGGTGCGGTATATTCGTTCAATGCAGTTGTAGCACCCATCCCAATCACCCTTTGTGTTTCTTGGCTTCATATCAATCATGCGTTACCCCAGGTTTTATTATCAGTCTCTCATATCATTACAAAGCTACCTAACGTACCTTTTAACACTGCTCCATTCGCACCATTGCTCATTTCGCTCTTGTCGAGATCGCCAAGATTAGTCCTTTGCTGAGTTGTGAATACTGCGACACACGCTAGATCATGGTCGATCATGGTCGATAACAAAGATAGAACCAATGACACTACTTGATATGTCAAAATCAATGTATCAATAGCATCATTCCTCTCCCCCCACAATTAAAATGTCATTGTCTTTCAGTCACCGTTTGATTGGTGCATTGATGTCGCTAAAACAATTTCCTTTGCATGGATGGCCAGACTCAAGAAGTGTGCGTGTGTGTGTTGTTGTGTTTCAATATCTACTTTGATACCATTACTTGATAAAAGATAAGATCTTACCCCACACTTTTTCACACCTGAGCGCAGCGGTATTTCTCTCCTTGCTTTTGGCATGCACGAGGTATTTGCAATAAGCGGGGCTTCATCATGTTTAACACCTTGTCTCAAATGAGTGTGTGAGAATGGTCCAAACATCCACAAGTCGATCCCTAATGGAATGTTGGTAACAGTAACAGGACCATGTGGGCAGTGTTTGATGTGCCGTGTGAACCAATTCCCATACACAAAGAAGTCTGTGATTGTCGGATCAATGAAAGCTGCGGCGCGCATTCATCATTGCCACCTATACTCCTTGGTATTCAGATACTCCGACACTTCTTGCAAGAGAGAGATATAGTGTTTCCCACTTTTATCTCTATATCAACCAAGGGATCATCATTTCCCCACATTTTCCCGCTTGAGCACGAACCATAAATGTCAATCTTGTGTGAGGACACCTTCCACGAATCGCAATAACAAGTAGTGTTTCGAGAGCCCGGCATGTATCCCATAAGAGACTTTGATTCCGATCTCTCGATATTTGTGTTACCTTCCCCCACCTCTTCCCTTCTCCCTTTAGAGCTCATTGAAAATAAATGCGCCGATTCTGATTGGATACCACACATTCTTTTTTGTTTTTTATAGTTTACAGAGTGGAGCTTGACAGAGTGAAAAGGTGGCTTTTCGTTGCGGACGTCATCCAAATAGGGTTATGTGCTCCCGATGGCACGGTCCATTCTTTATCCCTCCTCAGCAAGCCCCAAGGGTCTTGCCAAAAGAGATCCTTGCTTGTGTCGATAGCCCCATCTTGTGTATACCCTTACAACATCTTGGCATGGTCATCATTTCCGGTAGCTCGGAGAAGGGTTTAACATGCACCATCATCACCAGGCATTGTCATGGACATGTTGACGTTGGCTTAGAGCCCAAGTAAACGAAGCAATAGTCATTGTAGACAACGCATTTTCATGCTTGTTTATGTTTGTATCAAATCGCCAATCAGCAATTGCGATTGCTGAAAACAAAACAAATGAGCATGAAAGCTTGAATAAAGCGTGCATAGATGTCATCTCACACCATGGTTTTGGAAGAGCAAAAAGCAGCACTATCTTCACACATGGTAAGGTCCACCAGGTCCTCGTGACCAAAAGAAAACCTTCTCTCCTTGCCATCGAGGCACAAGCCTACGTTAATCTTAGTTGTCATGCATTGCAGAGTTGCACAAGAGCACGATTAATGAGCCAGCTGATGCACCAAATCAAATCCGACAGTAGCCGATGAGCCGTTACAATGCACTAAAGCAAAAGCAACATTCAACGTATCCCACACTTGCTTGCATATAGTAATAACTAATACGATTCTACTACTACTTTATTCAATAAGAGGTATGGGTCTTTGCTTTGTCTACATATCATTACTGAAATTTACAACGAGAAGGTGGCGGTTTGACGAATATCACGGCTGCTTGCACCAATGTAGAGCTTATACTCGCCCGATGGCACAGTCCACTCTTGATCCCAAATGCTCAACTCGGTCTTACCAAAAGTGAATGAGACCTTGCTCTTTTTGCCCTTCTTGATAAACACCTTTTCGAATCCACGTAGGAGCTTGGGGGGTTCACCAGCCGATTCAGGAAAGCCAATGTATGCTTGCACCACCTCTGCACCATCCACATCACCAACGTTGTCCACTGTAATGGTAGCCTTGACCAATGCATCCTCCTTCTTGGTAGTCTTGACCTTGAGATCGGTGTACTTGAACGAGGTGTATGACAAACCATAGCCAAATTCGTAAAGTGGCTCAATGTTGTTGGCATCGAAATGCTTGTAGCCGACTTCGAGCTTTTCAGTGTAATCGATCTATAACAAATAGCGTAAAGAGAGGGGTGTTGGTAAGCTTGAAGATGTCACGTGATGCATCCACGGGTATACATACATCGGCTTCCTTTGATATCTTGACGTTGTAATCTTCTTCCTTCTTCGCAATGGTGTATGGGAGTCTTCCACTGGGATTCACCTTACCGAAGAGCACATCAGCAAGGGAGTTGCCACTTTCTTGACCAGGAAGACCAGGCCAGACGACAGCTTTGATATTGGGATGATCGATCCATGGCATAAGCACAGGTCCAACAGCATGGATAACAACGACAGTGTTCTTGTTGGCATCAGCCACTGCTTTGATCTACAAGATACCACGTGAGAAACAACAACGTGGTAGCACATTTAATATAGGTCTACGAACCAGCTCATCACCATTGTGCCACAAAGAGAGGTTGTTGCGATCACCAGCGTTGCCGTCAACTACAGCAATTTCCTCACCAGAATCCGAGTTTGAGAATACAATGGCGACATCGGCGTCACTTGCGACATTGGCAGCCTTGACAAGATCCCAGTCATCGTAGGTGTATGTAATGTCGATGGAGTCGCCTGCTTGCTTCTCAATGCCTTGCTTGGGCTATGTATGTAGTGGTGGAGAATGACAATGAGGAAGAGCCACAACACAAAAGGAGCTACAATGCAGCAACAACATACCGTGACAAGATAAGGGAAATCAGCTGTACCAGAACCCCAGCCCATTGCCAATGTACCATTATCACAGCCTTGGTATTCGCACGTATTGAGGCCGCTATAGCACAAAGTAAGTATATGTATGACCACGTGTTGATTCATTGTTGTACTTACTCTGGGCTTGGTCCTGCATCACTGCCGATAAGAGCGATCTTGGAAAGCTTTTCTTCACTCAAAGGCAAGATGTTGTCATCATTTTCAAGCAGCACAACAGCAGCAGCACCCAATTCACGAACAATCTTGGCATGATCATCCGACACAACCACCGTTGAAGCCTCTTCTCGATTGAAGCTGCGGAGCGTAGTTTCCGGGAAATCCTTATCTTGTCCCATCTATTGTAAAAGTCAATAAACCTTGCATCGATTAGAATAGGAATATGAAACATACCTTGTACCATGCTGCAGCAATACGTGTAGCCATATTGGTTACCTATATAAAGATACATGAGCTTATTTGCAAACATAGAATTAGTTGATTGCTACTTGCCCTGTCTTCGCTGACTTTGCCATCCTTGACGGCTTGTGTCAAGTTTGCTCCCCAATACGAGGTGTGAGATCCTGCCTCAATGTCACCCTGCAAAAATAAAAGGTGCACAATGGTTAGCTTATGATGATGATATACTCATTAAACAAGGAGAAATAATACTTGCCGGCATCGCGATATCAACACCTGCCTTGGCAGATTGCACGGTCTCCATGTGAGCAAACCAATCAGTTTGGACTGCACCTTGGAATCCCAACTCGCCTTTGAGGATGGTTTCGATTGTGTATTCATTCTCACAAGCATACGTATGATTGATGCGATTGTATGAGCACATCACCGAGCCTACATCTTCTTCCACAACGCGAGCATAAGGCCAAAGGTAAACTTCACGCAGAGTTCGATCATCGATATTGGACGAGGACTATGTTAAATTAATGGTTAAGCATTTGATGCAATGAATCAATGATTGCTATTTACCGTTGTTCGATTAAGCTCTTGGTTGTTCAAGAGGAAATGCTTGGCAGTTGCAATCTAAAGGAAAAGGTATCAACGTTATCATCATGGATCATATTGCGGCATTGGTCAAAGACAAAAAGTGAACGTCATTGCTTACCACACCCTCGCTTTGGATACCCTTCACTGTCAATGCACCAGCAACACCTTGCAAGTAAGGATCTTCACCAAATGCTTCCCAGCCTCGACCAGCATATGGACCACGGTAGATGTCAAGGCAAGGTCTAAATCCCAAAGAAAAAGGTACGCATCCTATTAGTAAATTGACAAGCATTACGACATGCATGTATACCATACATACCCAAGCAGAAAATTGACACCCTTGCCATAGGACTCCTTTCCAAGGTATTGAGCTCGCTTGAGAATGAGATCTCGATCAAAGGTGGAAGCCGTTGTGATACCAGCAGGACCAGCAGTGACATTGTCAGCTAATCGAATACCCAAGGGTCCATCTTGAAGACAAAGAGAAGGGAAATCGGTTGAATTGCTAGTATGGGTATTGCCTACACAGTTCGATTCGCCAAAGCCAACGCCCGTTGCCATGCCAACCTTGTCCTCGAGCGACATTTTGCTTACAAGTGCCTCCGCCTTGCTGTATGCTTCATCCCAGGACAACAACTTTTTGTGATCCGCATGGCCTTGTGGTGCAGCATTGGTTAATCCTGCCAATAGTGTGATCAAAGCGACTTTTCCAAGTGAAAAATACATATTGGAATATCAAATTGCTGTATACAATGTCAATGGCAATCATGATCGCCTTTGCTTTTATATATGTTTTGCCGCGCTAATTCTTCTTCCCCATTCTCCCCGCCTTCAACTTATCGTCGGATCATCTTTGGCGGTTTAAGTTTTGTGCGTGAGAAGCTACCATCGTAAGAGACAAATGGTGGAGGTTTCCAGCTTCTTTCCATAGCCCGCCTTGGGATCAGTTTGCTGTCATTTTTCGGTCAGCAAGCGATTGGCTGATGTACAATGGGAAAATGCTGAAATCGTTACAATTTAACTCGATATGTCACATTCGTGTCACCATGCCCTCCACATTTCCAGAGACTTGTGGGGTGGCCTGGGAAGATTGTGGATATAGAGACACAATACATCATACGTCCGCGTTTCCGGAACCCAATCGATTTGACTCATCTTATCATTACAAACTTGATTTGGTAATGCACATACTACACGGCCTTCTATGAAGCATGCTCATACATGATACAATAGGCTATGATCAAATCAAATGGTCTCCAAAGGCTGAATGCCATTGTAGGCGTAAGTGAACCCTGTCTCAATTATGTTGGCAGCTACCCCAATCTGACACCAGGTAGCTTGATTAGGTAAAGCTTGAATACATGCCCGATCAGGCCATTTGTTTCAAATGTTGGCATGTTCCTTGATTTTGACTACATGGGCTGTATCAACATTGCCCATCAATGACAAATCACTACATGAAGTCGATTACTAATGGATACGACGTTTGCTGCTGGTATCATTGCAAAAAGCTACCCACCCATTACATTTCGCCGATTTTTCCCACCATGGAGTTAAGCTGTGGGAAGACTGGAAAAGATTGGGAGCGAATGTTGTGATGTACATAGTGAGTATAGCGTACCACTGCCGTCCATTATTACTAATATGTCTACTTTTCTTAGTCATAGAAAGCCATTGTCATCAACGAATGCCGTCATTAGAAAGTACATCATTTATCAGAATTGCGCCTTTAAATATCACCGTCAAGGTCAAACGGCCATAGCAAATGGCTGAATTTATTTATAGGAGGTGTGTAATCAAGGAAAAGGCTTGTTTTCAAGATGATGTGAACCAGTCAGCTAATAAGTATCTTTGCCTCGATGCTTGTTTACAAGGTAAAGGTGCCAGTTTGACGAATGTCACGGCTGCTTGCACCAACATAAACAGTGAAGTCACCTGATGCCACATTCCACTGCTGGGATTCGGGATCAAAGGTGCTCAAATCCATCTCTGTGAATTCAAAGGTAACCTTGGCCTTCTTGCCCTTCTTGAGGAACACCTTTTCAAATCCACGTAGGAGCTTGGGTGGCTCACCAGCCGATTCAGGGAAACCAATGTAGGCTTGAGGAATCTCAGCACCATCACGATCACCTTCGTTGGATACGGTAACAGTGGCGGTAGCCAATACACCACCCTTCTTGGCCTTCTTGTGTGCGTTGATCTTGAGTTGGCTGTATTCGAATTTGCTATAAGACAAGCCGTGGCCGAATGCAAACAAGGGCTCAATGTCATTGGCATCAAAATGTTTGTAGCCAACCTCGAGTTTCTCGGTGTATTCAATCTATCACACACACACCATGTTAGCACCCATTATATGATCCTCATCCCATAAAGAAAAGGTATGCAACCAAAGCTTACGTCAAAGTTGGGGTCAATGTGAGCAGCGTAGTCTTCCTCCTTTTCGGCAATAGTAAAAGGCAATCGTCCAGAAGGATTCACATCACCAAAGAGTACATCAGCAAGGGAGTTGCCACTTTCTTGACCAGGAAGACCAGGCCAGACGACAGCCTTGATATTGGGATGATCGATCCAAGGCATAAGTACAGGTCCAACAGCATGAATTACGACCACAGTGTTCTCGTTGGCATCAGCAACAGCTTGAATGAGGTTATCACCATTGTGCCATAACGTGAGATTCTTGCGATCACCAACATTGCCATCAACTTCAAGGTATTCTTCACCAGAGGCAGCGTTCGAAAAGACAATAGCAACATCAGCGTCCTTGCTAATGTCCTTGGCCTTCTCAAGATCCCAGTCATCATAAGTGTGCACAATATCGACATCATCACCAGCACGAGATTTGATACCATCATATGGCTAATAAGACAATGGTACAAATTAATGTGAGCTAACAATGAAAGCATGCTCTTTGTATACACATACGGTGATCAAATAAGGGAAGTCCGCTGTGCCTGAACCCCATCCCATTGCCAATGTACCAGCTCCGCATGCTTGATCGCTGCAGTTATTTAGACCCCTACAATAACAATGAAGAAGGTAAGCATCCCAAAAAGTCATGTTGCATAAGTAGACTTACATAGGGATGGGACCGGCATCACTACCAACAATGGCAATCTTTTTCAAGTCATCCGAAAGGGGAAGAGCGCCATCATTGGTGAGGAGTACAGCAGCGGCAGCTCCCATTTCACGGACAATCTTTGCATGCTGCTTGTCAGCATCAACAAGGACTTCAGGTGCAGAATCACGGTCGAATGCACGAATGGTAGTCTCAGGGAAATCCTAAGGACGCAAAAGATTGTTATGGATACGTTCCTCCTTATCTTGTGTATGATGATAAATACCTTGTCTTGACCCATCTTGTACCATGCAGCCGTAATTCGAGTAGCCATGTCAGTGACCTGAATAATAAATCTCATGTTAAAATCGTTGCATCATGAGAATGGGTAAAAAGGGATTGCTAAGTGAAGCTGCTTGGGCATATGATGTGAAGGCATTTTCGCAAGTGAAGGTGAACAATCCAATGATACAATGAGCATCAATCAATGAGCTCTTAGTGTCTTGGTGCATTATTGCATTCGTCCACCTTTGAGTTTGCGATCATGAATAGCACACAAGAGGCTCAAACTTTGCATCAAATCCTTTCCCTGCATTGAGTAATACTTACACGGTCTTCTGGTACATCACCATCATTCACATATTTTGTCAAATTGGGACCCCACCATGAGTAGCCGTCGCCCATTACAATGTCACCCTATGAAAGTATCATTTGATGTGAGCATAATGTATGCAAGTAGTAAGCGCAACGACAAAGAAAATAAACGAACCGGCATTGTCATATCCAATCCTGCCAATGCTGAAGGGATACCAGACATTTGAGCACCCCAATCAGTCATGACAAGGCCTCGGAATCCGAGCTGTTGCTTGAGAACGGTGTTCATGGTGTATTCATCTTCACAAGCCCATGTTCCTAAAAGGCAACCATTACTTATTAGCGAACATTGATGACTTGTTAATAGGTCGTAAATCTTACCATCGATCTGATTATAGCTGCACATGACACCACCAATACCCGCTTCCACCATTCTTGCATAAGGCCAAACGTAAATTTCGTGAAGCGTTCTATCATCAACATTGGAGCTTGACTTGAAAGGTGCAAAGCAAGACATGAGTAAAGTAGATAGCGGTAGCTGATAATACTTACGTTCTTTCGATTCGTTTCCTGGTTGTTAAGGACAAAGTGCTTGGCGACAGCAATCTGATTTGCAAAGAAAAAAAGCAATTCGTTATGTTTTTGCCACTTCATGGTAATTCTCAATGTCAGGCACATACCACGTTCTGATCTTGAATGCCCTTGACGGTTTCAGAACCAGCTACACCTTGTAGGTATGGATCTTCACCAAATCCTTCCCATCCACTATACAACACCAAGGTAAGCATAAGCGTTATGGTTGCATTATCCGATAAATCACTTACCGACCACCAGCTGGAGCTCTCATAATGTCGACGCATGGTCTTTGGAAAAGGAGAATAAGTCATTCATGCATGGCATTCATTGTTTGCATTACTTACCCAAGGGCCATATGGGCACCCTTGAGATAAAATTCACGACCCATATAGCTACCACGCTTGTAGAGGAGTTCACGATCGAATGTAGCAGCTGCGGTGATTCCAGATAAGCCAGCAGTAACGTTGTCGGCGAAACGTACACCAAGAGGACCATCTTCAAGACAAAGTGAAGGAAACGCAGGGTCTTCTACAGCCTTTGTATTGCCAACGCAAAGAGTTTTTTCCCAACCTTCACCTGTGACTAGTCCTACTCTATCTTCAAGCGTCATTTTGGCAACCAATGCTTCGGCTTTGGCGTAAGCTTCATCCCATGTGAGTAGATTGGATGATCTCGGGGCTGCCAGAGCCATCGACGCCAGGATCGACATAGAAATTGCTGCAAGAGAAGGTACACGCATGGTTTAATTTGCTGTATCCAAAGATTTACAGCGTTGCTATTTGAAAATACCCAAACACTTTTATACTTTGGCGTTGTGTTTTTGTGCATGCGAATAAAGCGGAAAGATGTTGATTACATACGCATATACACACCATGGTTCCACAAGCATTAACGTGCCACAAGCAATTTCCCACTGAACACTCTCGCCACCTTACAAATGTCATTCCTGTAAGCCTATGTCTACATCCCATAACGGTATATGGATACCAGAAGCTGCTAGTTGGCTTCAATGTTGTTGTATCATACGCGATTACCTTTGAAATAGAGCAGCATCTTTCATGCCTAAACCATTCACATACACCATATGCGTGTCGCTTACACGCACATAAAGAGACTTCAGGGTCTAGCTCACCCTTATTGCTGACGGCGTTTCTTTACTATTTTGTGTCTGTAGCCAGGGAAACCTTCTTTCCCATTCTCGTACAGGTATTACCCATTTTGTACACGCTGCGATCGCATCAACCCTGTGACACATGTTTTCCCCACAAATCGAATTCGCTCGGTTACCTACCCGCGCTCTCCTTTACCAGGAATTATCGAATGTCGTTATCCTCATCCCGAACCCTCCCAGCAACCAATCCTTGTGGTTCGTTTACCATAGCAACAGTGGGAAACATCCCAAGCCCATAATCTTCACGGCATAAATATGTGCAACACCGGCAATACAGGAAAAGCTATCCTTCGGAGAATTATCATCCTTCGCATAAGAATAATCTTCCTTTTAGCCAGGATGATGTTGCTGCAATTAAGAACGACAGAGTGACAACGGAGGAAATGCATATGCTCCATATGCACCATAGCCTTCAACCAGCAGCCACAAACTACAATCTGCAGCTAGCTTAATAAGAGTATCGAATGTAAATACCTCCTTACATAACCATACACAGTGATGTACAACAATGGCTCGTGATCATTTCCCTTCCCACTATTTAACCGATTACATCGTTATTCTTGTCATTAAAGTACACAATTGATCATAATAAAAGTGGATAGGATTCATCTCATTGAGTTTTTCAGCATGTTCACGCTCTCCTCGCTTGGGTATACTGTTTCCAATCCATGTAATTGCAGCTAGCCAACACATAGGCAAGGTCCATGATTGCACCAAACCACAAATTCCCATCACAATCATTCGTTGGAGTTGTTTATTTCCTTCCCCAAGGCGGGTAAGCAGATTAACCAAGTTTGGGTTGTTAGAAAGAAAAGAATGACTTGCGTGGATTGTACCAGGGAAGAACAACAATACCTGTACCACTGTCTCCGACCACCAAAAGCATGGCTGCGGGAAAGGCGGGTATAGCATGACAGCATTCCACCACCAATAGGATCCCTTCAAGTCCTACCTTCAAGCTATGTTATACAAAAACGCCCCTCTGCATCTTTGGCTCTGTAGGATCTAGCTAGTTGGCAATGAACAAAGACCACTTTTCATATAGCATCACACTTACAGCATAGGGAAAGCATAAAGGTATCTGTTTCTACAGATTTTCAAAGTTGACCAACGTGCTCGACAACACCTTCTGACCAAGTTTTATGTTTGAGATGGGGAGGGCTGACCCTATTTGTGTATGTTCTCGTCCATACATTTGGACGTTGCCATTCAAAATCTTTCATAATGAAGCGTGGTGTGTTTATGAGAACAACATTGATCAGCATCACTAGGAGCACCTTGTGTGAAAGTTTGAGGTTCGAGAGGGGCAATCTTAATATGAATGTACAGTGTTCATGCATTTATACAAGAGGTGTCCAACAGCTCAGCCTACTTAAATTTCCACTTCTTCCACTCCCGCTTGTATTTGCCCTTCCTCCCATTCTCAACTGTTGCCCCATTCAAGCACAATTACCACCTGCGAACGATTGTCCTGTTTCAACCCATCATGTCAATCCTACAATTGTCTTGATCCGATTGCCTTTGACTTAATGGCAAGTGCATGTCGTGTACACAGCCTTCTAGTCACTCTGCTGCTACAACACGCGCCTTCCTTGATGCTATACACACTGTCTTGCACATTCCTTTGCCACAACTCATCGTAGCAGCAGCTGCCATTAGCAAGGTCTTTACTGCATTGTGTCAAACAGCATTCGCAACCCTGTCATTCTACTACAACACAAGCTCTCTTGCACACCTCTGCCACGACCAAACGTAACAGCAGATAGCCAGTGTATAGAAGCAACTCTATTTACGTACAACAACCTGCTTTGATACATACGGATACCAATGGATGATCCATATCAGCTATCAAGTACACCACAACACAAACAACTCTTCACCTAGTTGAGCAGCGATGATCATGAAAAAGAGAGAGATCAACAGCTGGATGGAGAAGGAAGCATGCAGCGATCACATGGCCCTTTTCAACCGACAATTGGATTTGCAATGGTTATGGATGGAGGGATACAATCAAGTGCAGTGATGGTGAATCATGGGATGTTGCTTTGGTTACTTGACGCGTCGCCAGCAGGACTGATGAATCTTATCACGTGGATACGGCGAAGGATGATGATGGATTGGATGGAATTGACAAAGGGCTTATGGTGTTGTACAGCCATGGATGGATGATATTGGAGTACTCGATTCAATGCATGCAGCAGCTATTTTGCAATCATGGAGGAAGAATGATTATGATGGCAGCAACCAAGAATGCAATGACAACATTATCCCTGTCGCCTCGATGTGATTCATCCGTATCTTATTCAATTTGCAAGACTGTTCCTTCACCAGATTTACTTGATAGACACCCACACTACTATAGGCTATTCTTCAACTTTGTGATTGAATGAAAATTGGATTGAGCATACTATTTGGGGTACCATGCTATCAGCTCGTATGGGCAAGATGTGGATCACTTGGTTGGTTTCTGGTTCGAAAGAGGGAATAGAAATAGAAGGTTGGAAGGCGAGGTTGGATCATTTACATTGCCGTATCGCGATGCTTTTGTTCTTTTGCCACAACATTTTATGACTTCACTAAAGCTTTCTAGTTCACATGCTGATAGTAAACACTAATGCTTATATTGCAAAGATAACTGATCTGAGAGTGATGATGCCCAACATTTGCTTGTTACCGGGCATGGTGTTCATTGTGAGCTTAATGCTTTATATCCAAGGAAGAATGAACTGCTATACAATATGCCACAAGCACATGAACAAGCCATGCTTATCTATGACAGCTTTCAGCTAACGCTACCGCATGCATCCTTATCTAAGAGCGAATCATTCTATACAACGAGCTATCACAGGCGGACCTTACTATGGGAAGGCAGGGGAAGGATCAATCATGCATTTCTTCACCAATAAGATTGACCCTTCGAGTCTGGCTCAGTTACACAAACACGTCCCTGTGCGTCGTTTGCTCTCTCAGGTTCTGGCTACTTTACATTAAACAAAGACCACTTCTCATATAGCATCACCCTTACAGCATATGTAAAACATAAAGGTGCCAGTATCTCCAAACTTTACAATCAAACGTGGGCTCTTTAATAGATCAACGTGCTCGTCGGGGTCAGAGGAATCTTGTGTCAAAGTATGAAGTTGATCGTGGGCAATCCCAGATTTCGCAATGTCGCCACCAGCCAAACTGGATCCAGGGGTCAACCTCTTCGACGACGACGACCAAAAAATATTTTTTGGGCTGTTTGCGACATTGAACGCGAAACTTTCACACAAGGTGCTGTTGGCCAAGCTGAGCCCATTGCTCTATTAAAAACCGCACGTTTCATTGTAAAGTTTGGAGATACAGGCGTCTTTATGTTTTCACTATGCTGTAAGCGTGATGCTATATGAAGAGTGGTCTTTGTTCATTGTCAAGTAGCTGGACCCTGGCAGAGCAAAAGACGCAGAGGGACCTCTTTGTGTAACTCAGCTACTTTGCATGACTAGAAAGATGGAAGGATGATACTGTATACTATTGACAATATCCCATACATTGCGAGCTAACAGCCATTTCCTCACAATCAGCAATGTTGCCCATTCTATGACAGTGGAACGATGCTCCTGCTTCAGACATTCATGTCCATGATTGGATTATGTTGATCCGAGTTGATTTGGCTGAGCTACGCTCATACAAGGTTACTTCAGTTGAGCAACATAGAGCATGGTTAGATGTGTGGATTGATGTAATCCCTCTTTGGCTGTATCTCGGTCAAATCAACTCGGATCAACATAATCTAATCATGGAAATGAATGTCTGAAGCAGGAGAATCGCCCACATGTCCTAGAGTGGACAACAGTGGCTATTGTGAAGTAATGGCTGTTAGCTCGCAATGTACGGGCTTTTGTCAACAGTATATAGTATCATCTTTCCATCCTTCCAGTCATGCAAAGTAGCTGAGTTACACAAAGAGGTCCCTCTGCATCTTTTGCTCTGCCAGGGTCCAGCGACTTGACAATGAACAAAGACCACTCTTCATATAGCATCACGCTTACAAACCTAAAGGTGCCTGTATCTCCAAACTTTACAATGAAACGTGGGGGTTTTATTAGAGCAATGGGCTTGGCTTGGCCAACAGCATCTTGTGTGAAAGTTTCGCGTTCAATATCGCAAACAGCCCAAAAAATATTTTTTGGTCGTCGTCGTCGAAGAGGTTGACCCCTGGATCCAGTTTGGCTGGTGGCGACATTGCGAAATCTGGGATTGCCCACGATCAACTTCATACTTTGACACAAGATTCTTCTGACCCCGACGAGCACGTTGATCTATTAAAGAGCCCATGTTTGATTGTAAAGTTTAGAGATACAGGCACCTTTATGTTTTACCTATGCCGTAAGTGTGATGCTATATGGAAAGTGATTTTTGGAAAGTGATTTTTGTTCGTTGTCATGTAGGTAGCCCTGATAGAGCAAATGATGCAGACGGGCTTCTTTGTGTAACACAGATCATTGGGTGGCACTGGAAAGGATCAATGCATGATAATACATACTATGATCATAGCTCATAAACTGATAGCTAATAGCCCCTTCCTCCAATTCGTCTTTTTTTTTTGCCAAATCCACTTCATGTGAACGATTCTCCTGCTCCAGCCGAGCATTTCCATCATTCAAGCTTCTTGATCCGAGCCGATTTGACTGAGCTACGCTGGAACAGCAAACATGAAAATTAATGAATCGCAGACCCTGCGAATGTCTCCGTCTTTCAAACTTCTGGACGCTCCCATTCCAAATTTTCAAATGAAGCGTGAGGTCTTTATTAGAAAAAGATGATCAGCATGCTCGAGAGCACCCTGCTGACCAATTTTCAAGTTGGGAGTGGACAACTTCGGGGTGGTGGGCCGTCCGCTCTTTTGTTCCCATCATCCACCGTTTGGACCACCCCGCAGTTTGAATCTTCACAATGAAGCCTACAGTTTTTAATTGAATGAAGTTGATCAGCTGGTCCCAGCGAACCTTCTGACAAAGTTTCATGTTCGAGGTGGGGAATCCCAAGGTAATACATACTATTTCGATAAATCATGAAACCGGCGCTGACCTGCTTTCCGATCTCCATCGTAAATCCCACATTGTACCCTCCAATTCCATATTTTTAAATGAACACAAGGTCTTTTTTAAAACAATACTGATCAGCATATCCCAGAGCACCTTGTGTGAAAGTTTCAGGTTCGAGAGGGGCAATCTCAATATCAAAGTTTGAATGTACAGTGTGCATGCATACACACAAGAGGTGTCCGACCTATTCAATTTCCACTTCTTCCACTCCCAGCTCTTCCCTCTTCCTCCCTTTCTCAACTGTTGCTCCATTCAAGTATACAACTACCACCTGCGAACGATTGTCCCGCTTCAACCCATCATGTCAATCGTACAGTTGCCTTGATTCGATTGTGTTGGACTGATTGGCAAGTGCATGGCGAGTACACAGCCTTCTTATCACTCTTCTACAACACACGAGTCTCTTGACACAACACACGCTCTTGCACACTCCTCTACACACGATCAAGCGTAACAGCATTCATTCCAGCAGTTTCTATTAGCGAGGTCTTTACTCCATTGGTTCAAACAGCATTTGCAACCTTGTCACTCTACTACCACGACCAAACGTAACAGCAGTTGCCGTTAGCAAGGTCTTTACTTCATTGTCTCAGTCTACTTGCAGCAACATGCCTTGCACCCCTTTTTTTGCATGAACAGCGGATAGCCATTGTATAGAAGCAGCGTAATCTACGTACAGCAACCTGCTTTGATACATACGAATACCAATGGATGATGCCATATCAGCTATCAAGTACGCCGCAATACAAGCAACTTTTGCCTGGTTGAGCAGCGATGGGAGATGAGTTAGAAAGGGATGGATCAACAGCCGGATGGAAAAGGAAGCATGCAGCGATCACATGGCTCTTTTCAACCAACGTATTGGATTTGCAATGGTTATGGAATATGGATGGAGGGATGCAGTCAAGTGCGGTGATGAGAAAGAAATCCTGGAATGTTGCTTTGGTTACTTGTCGTGCCGTCAGCAGGAACGATGGATCATATCACGTGGGTACAGCTGAGGATGATGGTGGATTGGATGGCATTGACGAGGGGCGTCATATACTTGAAAGGTGTTTTACAGCCATGGATGACATTGGAATACTTGTCAAATCACGCAACAACGATTTTGCAATCATGGATAAAGATGTTTATGACGGCGGCAACCAAGAATACAATGCACGCATACATTACAATGCTATTCCTCTATAGTATTTACTTGATGACATCCACACTACCCTATGTTATTTGTTTACTTTCCATTAAATGAAAATTGGGATTCACAGTATGCTACAATCGGCTCACATGTACAATATGTGGATCACTTGGTTGGTTTCTGGATGGGAAGTTGAAGGTCGGAAAGAGATATTGGATGAGTTGCATCATTGTATCGAGATCCTTTTGTTCTTTGTTACAATATTATGTATCACATTTCACGTATGCTTCTTAGTTCACATGCTGATAGATGAAAGATAGTGGCGATTCTCGAACGCTTGTATCGCAAAGATAATAAAACCCGAGAATGATGATGTTCAACACAACGCTGTCTTATTCAACAACCATCTATGTACAGGAAAACACAAGGAGCATGATTAACAGCGATTGTTTGATTAAGCTATAGAGGGTTTAACGTGTTGCTAGGTGGCTATCGGGCTGCTATTTCTTACACATGGATACCAGGTCTATTTAGAGCATGATCGGCGACTTCGTTGTCAAGGAACATGTTACCCTTAATGAAACACGTGACCGAGATTAAGATTCGTTGATCTGTAATACGCGAACAACAACCATAATGCAATTGAAGACAGTCCATATGATGAAAAGACTTTATTTGCTGTGCTTGTTACGTTGTTGGTATTAGCGGGATTGGGTATAAGGCTGTGAGGAGGGGAGAACAAAAAGGTTTATCCCTTTTATGCGATACGCGAATGAGCGACGAGCAAAGCAAAGCAACCACGGTCGAATCGTTACGAAAAGCACTTGCTGATCTTGGCCTGGATACCCGTGGACATAAGCCAGAACTTAAGAAGCGACTAAGGAAAGCAAAAAAGAAACTCAATGCAACATCAGAGTCAAGCACCACAACCACAACCACAGCGTCAGATCAGCCCAATCCAGCCATTACTAAAAAGCAACAGCCACTCGATTACTACTTGTTCTTTGATGTGGAAGCGACATGCGAAGAGAATGGCGGCTTTGAATACCCAAACGAGATCATCGAGTTTCCTATTGTACTTGTTGACGGCAAGAGCTTTGAAAAGGTAGAGTGATGATACGCTTCGAAGTTGTCAAGCATATGCTAAACGAGGCATGGTTGCGCACACACGTCTCCAGGTCGACGAATTCAGGTCGTATGTCAAACCATCCATCAACCCAGTGCTATCGGCATTTTGTAAACAGCTTACAGGCATTTCTCAGGTGAGAGATTTCATTGTATTCTCTTGTTTACATCCCAACACTAAAAGGCAACCACATCCTCTTTTTTAGGAAACAGTGGATGACAGCCCTGATTTTATCCAAGTATTGAACGACTTTCAGGAATTCATGGCCAAGTACTCTGTTTTCCAAGATAAAACGGCTGCATTTGTAACAGGTAACACGCATACGTGAATTTGGAGGAGTGTCACTAAAGACATGTGATGTTACAGATGGCCCATTTGACATTCGAGACTTTGTCACCAAGCAATGCAAGCACAGCAACATCAAATTACCTTCGTACTTTGAGATGCCATGGGTCAACATCCGCAAGTTGTTCAAGGATTTCTACAAGCAAAAGGAAGCCAAGAATATCGCTCGCATGTTGGAGACGTTGGATATGACATTTGATGGACGTGAACATTCCGGACTCGATGACGCTCGCAATTTGCATCGGATAGCACAACACATGGTCGCTGACGGCTGCATATTCAAGACCAACATGTTTTGGGGCCCCAAGATGAGAGCTCAACAACGCAGGGCTCGAAAATCGTAGACTATTTCATCAAACGCAAGGACGCGAATACATGCAAGAAAACTTTATTTTTGTTTGCAAAAGGGGTCATCTAAACATATGGAGATGATGGTGATAATCTCGGTTCCGAATAAGGATATAGCAGCTCCACATGCAAGTCTGTTTCAAAGCGGGAGGAATTGACAGCCTCAGATGACACATTTCTTCACCCTTGCGTCTCAGTCTTATGATTCTGGTACAAGAAGAATTGGATAAATATCTAAAGGAGTCTCTTAGTATCAGAATAAAATAGTCTTTTGTAATACATTGATGTATGGGAAATGCGAGTGGGACTTACAATAAAATCAAACACAAGTGTACCAACACTACCAATGATCCAAGAAGAATTGATCAAAAGATAGTATGGATCGACCGAGCGAAGGAAGATTGACTTTTGGGGATACAATGGATGAGTTTCATGCATAACATGTACATCTATGATGCACTTACCGCTGTATAAAAAACATTACCGCACACAGCACAAATGAATAAAAGCTTGCTAAGTCCTTCAGTGCTTTGCTGTTTCCAGTTCTTGATAATCTGAGGCATGCGGCTGCTGATGTACAATGAGGCACTGACCCAACCAAAGATTTGCGGCCATAATTGCAATTTTTGGCTTTGAGACTCATCATCCAATTCGCTATGTTGCTGAGGAGATGATAAACCAAAATGGATATAGGCATAACAGGATATGATTGTAAGCAAGGTGGTGGAAACGGCAAAAAGGACATTCATGGACAAGGTACTCTGCGGATCTCGGTTCCCGGTGTATGCTGCTGTAACAGGCCGCCAACTCAAATGCTGTTGCTCCTCTTGAGTAGCACTTGTTCTTCTTAAAAGTGGTTCAGTCTCATCAGCATTGTGTTGTGATGATCGTCTGTTGTTGTTGCTTGCTGTATTGATCTCTTCTTCCACCACCAGGAACTTGGGTTGTCGTCGTCGATAGTATAGCACTTGCCAAATGAGTCCAATGTCGGCCACCGAGTACCACAACGCTAACACAAACTAGAAATGTATGCATTGTGAGCATGGTGTATGGTTCCCAGGCAACAAGTTGCGTTTCTTTACCATGGTTGGCAATAGACCCTGTAATACGACACCAACAAGATTGAACAAATCACCAGCAAGCCATATGATTAGGAATGGCATGGATAATCCTTCTCCACTCTTTCGTGTATAGTTCTCCCATAGTTGTCTAATAAAGGGACCATAGCATATAAAAAGAAAGATGGCGGTGATGCTGCATTAAGTATATACGTATATATATTATAGGTGTAATAAAAACGAGTGGAAAATACAGTACGGTGTGAAGACAATGATCCAACATAAGATGGATATATATCCTGTGATGGCTGACGCTGCATCTTGCATAGTGTGTTATAAAGGTTGGGAGAGCGTAAGTAAGAAAAAAGAAAAAGAGAAACAAAGAAAGATGTCAAGACTTGCTAAAAAAAGTAAACCCATGGTTTCAAAACGATGAAGGTGTGGTGGGGAGCTAAATCGGAGTATTCCCTTGTCACAAGTTGAAGGAGCGTAATGTCGTTGATAATTTTGGTGAAAGAAAGCTGCCAATCGATGAGCCATCGCTGCTACTATAGACGCTAATGCTTTCTGCACTGCTGACAATACTTGGAGCACCAATGGTTGAGGATGTAGCAAATGTGCTAGCAGAGCTGCTGATTGAACTTGAATTATTGCTGCTTGTGGTAGTAGTGGTTGCCGTACTGGATGTGGTGGTGTGATTGCTATTGTTTGCGGACGAGGAACGTTTGGCAGTCTTATCCATTTCCTTGCTGGTCTTTGCACCCATCTTTCGCAGATATTCAGAAATCGATTTGAAGCCGCCTGAACGAGCAAGGTCGAGAGGTGTAGGTGTTTGTTTGGGCACGTAAGGATTAGGATACACGCCAAGATCACCAACAAGCTTACACACAGCCTTGTATTGTCGTCGTCGTACCGCATAATGTAAAGGTGTTTCACCTTTGTGATCTCGTGGATCTGGCTTAGCTTGACAGTCTCGCAAAAAGATCAGCATCATTCGTGTACGCCCTAACATGCACGCATAGTGTAAAGGTGTCGCACCTGATTGACAAGGAATGTGAGTCGTCAAACATCAAAGAGCATCCATATAAGTACATATACAATACCATCAACATCCACGCTATCCAGCAATGTTAGCCGAGAGGCACGTAATAGGTATACAACGATATCCAAGGAATCATTGGAAACGGCTGCATGAAGTGCAGTCATTTGCCGTGGGCCACGTTGAAAAAGGTCCGCATTAGCACGTTCATACAAAAGCCTTACACCACGCATGTAGCCTAGTTGAGCAGCAAGGACCAAGGGTGTAGTCTTATCCTCCTCATTGGGTCCAAGAGCAACAATGTTGGGATTAGCACCAGCTTCAATCACGCGACTCACAGCTTGGCTGTTTTTGACGGCAACAAGTGCATGTAGTAAACCATATCCTTCCTTGACAGATTTGAGTGATGCTGAGTTCTTGGCCACATTGGGTTGTCCACCACGCCGTAGGTAGTTGCTATGCAACCATGTTAATATAGGATAAGCCATACTTTTAAACATGTACACACCTTATCAATGTATCCACTTCGTTCTTTTTGTTTTTGCCTCGTGCAATCGTGTCCCAAAAACCATCACCACAAGCATAGGTAAGGTCCATGGTACGTGTTTTGATGGTTGCTGCAGCTGATTCAGTTGAGGGCGTATCCTTTTGTTTCTTTGTGTCTTGTGGTTGATTATTCTCAGCGGGCGAGGAAGGGGAAACGGGTGATTCAAGAAGTGGCGGTGGCGGTGGTGGTGGTGGATGTTGAGGTGGTGGCATTGGTTCAGGTGTAGTGAGAGTAAGCATGTGTGCGTTTTCAGTGACAGCAGCCATGACATCCAAAAGATCAATACGGTCGTCACTCAAAGCCCTTTTCATCTCTGTATTGTTATAAGAAAGACCAGGTTTTGATGTCGTGCTGCTGCGCTCTGAGGAATAAGGCGATGTATGTGAGCTGCTGGCTGTTGTGTATTCCCACGGCGATGGCTTGCAGCTGGGATGATCACCTTCTTCCGCCCTTTCATACATCCTGATACCATCACGAGAACGTAATAAAGATGTGTCTTCTTCAGCTGAATAGAATGAATCCATTGGTGCTATTGAAGAATCCTCATTGTTGTATAACTTCAAAAGTTCTCGTTCATGATAGCGAGCAGCCATGTGCTGATACTTTTCACGAAAATAGCGCACTTCGCGTACAGCCTTGTTGTATTGAATCGTTCTAGCACTAAGGCGATCTTCCAGTGTTGCTCTTATATGCTGTGCCGTGTCAAGTTGTTCAATCAAGGCATCCGTGTGTGCTTTGAGCGCGCTCTTTAACCTTTCGCGAAGGGACTCGTTGGTGATCTCATTGAAAAGTGACTCAAGAGAGGCTGCAGTAGTAGTGGAATTATTGCATGATTTGCTCATAATAGTGAGGGGAAAAGAGATGGGATACTATTGAATGGGCGGAAAAGAAAAAAGTTGAAAAGCCATTTATAAAGTGGAATAAAGATAGAGATAGTAATAGTGAATGGGGCGTGGGTGTCTAGCGTGCCATGAATGCGTACTCCTTTGTTGTTGTTGAGCGAGAGTCGTATCTTTCCCCTATTGCCGACCACCAAATTGATCGCCTGGTCAATTGCAGGACTGACTTTGATTCAAGACAATGAACTTTAAATTGGATGAAGGTGCATGAACCCGTTACCCCGAGTTCCACTGCAATCCATGCGTATGTACTATTGGTATGTGTGTATGTTGTTTATGTTGTTATCTACAAGTATAATAAAGAAAAACGTGCGTGCTGTATGGGGGTCCTTTGGAACAATGAGTCCTAGAGGTCATCTGCTTCGGATAATTCCATCCCTTGATATCCTTGGGGTCGTCCTCGTATCCGATTTATCACACCTGCAACATACACAACGAATTAAAAAGATGCACTTGCCACATTTAGGATCATACTGCTTCATTCTTCTTACCAGTCCATATCCTGCCGATAGCATCACGATACTTGACTTGAACGAGCCACACAGGGAATGCTGATAATATGGCTGCTGCTGAGATGGCACTCTCAACGGGCGCTTCAATGAACGGCATGGTGCACAAGAATAATGCCACGATACAGAAAAGAATGGGTGTTGTCAACCATACGCGATAAGGTCTTTTAAGATCAGGTTCTGTATAGCGGAAAATGAGCAATGATAAAACGGCCAAAAAGTAAAATCTAAATTTGTATCGGTAAGTTCACCATGCATGTCATACAAGGTGCTCTTAGCACCACCCCCTTCCATCTCCCAGAATCTATACTTACATCCACGCACAAAGAGAATAAAAATTAACCAACCCACGGAAGGAACCCACAAGAATCATAATGGCTGTCAACACAGCCTGTAAGGCAATTGCTGTCATTGGCGTCTGTCTAGATGCGCTAAGTCGTCCAAAGAAGCTGGGAATATGGCCTTGTTTGGCTGATACGTAAATGATTCGAGAGCCTGTGAACACGGTGGCATTGGCTGTCTACAATGTATCCAAAGTTACTCTCGTTGTCCTTTTACACTTATCATCCTTTCACTTACCCCAAAGCAGCTTAATGCTACACACACAGCAAGTAAAATTCCACCAGCAGCACCAAAAAGCTTCTTTCCAAAATCCATGGCAACCGAATTGGTATGCATGACAACCTCAGGTCGTAATACAGCAAGGTAGGCAACATTGGCGAATAAATAGCAAACAATGACCACTGGGATGCCGATAACAATGACACGAGGAAGGTCACGATGCGGTTGCTTCATTTCACCGGATATATAATTGAGATTGTTCCAACCATCATAAGCCCATAACCCTGAGATCCATTGGTTAGCGTGTTTGATCTCTTTCTCCCATTGTATCCATCCTCCCCTTAATACCTGAATAAAGTGCAAGGGCGTATTGACCAAAACTAAGTGAATCAAATCCTGCAAATGGGTCGCCTTGGAGACTGTTTCCAACCATAGTGCCTTTAATAAGAATGACCATTCCTGCAACCGAAATGACAAGTGCTGTCAACACCTTGAGAACTGAAAGTCCATCCTGTACACGGATCCCGGCTCGTACTGAGAAAGCATTGATGAGGCTGACAACAATGAGACTGATGATGGCTAATAGCTTGGGCAAGTAATCGGGGATGATGGCATCAGCTAGCTCAACGGCTTCATCTGAATCGTGTGGCATGCGAAAAAAGTAGGTGTGATAGGCTATCCGAGAGACGTAATCGCCAAATACAGTGCATACAATGGCCAATCCTCCTGGCTACAACAACGAGAGCTATGTATTAGTAAAGCAACTATAACAATGTACATGTAAGAACTTACCCTTTGTACGATGATGCATACGAATTCAAAAGTAAATGATATAAGGCTGCCAAACGCTCGGCTGAGATAAACCGATTCGCCACCATTCATGGGAAGCATGGTACCCAATTCTGCATAACAAAGTGCACCACATAATGCTAGTAAACCCGATATGGCCCAGATGACAAGTGCTGTTCCTGGTGCGCCCATTGCTTCCAATACAGGACCTATTCAACGCCATTAGCCACTGCCATAATGAAGAATACGTGTGCGTGTGTATGTTGTAGTCGAAAAGAGTATTACCCTTTTACCTGGAGAGCTGAAAAGACCACTTCCAATCATGGAGCCAATAACAAAACCAAGACCATTCCAAAACGACACCTTTTTCTGTAACTCTGGGCCTTGTACGTGGGATTGAGACAAGGGAATCATGGGGATCGATTCCAGAGAGAATACGGATGACATTGAGTGGTTGCGATGATGGGCTGGCAAGAGAGTTTCGTTGTCATCGTGGTCGTTTGAATTGGAGGAGAGAAGAGACAGGACTTCATCGTCGGATTCGTTGGGGTGTTTTTGAAGAGCAAATGCAGCCTCAAGCTCGTTGGGATGATGGAGATCTTGACGGGCAGCAGGCATAAAAGAACAAAGAGTGGAAACAAGGAGAAAAAGGATGCAGGATCAAAGAGAGGGGAACAAATGATGTATGAAAGGTCCACCCACCACCACCACTACTACCCGCGTAAAATATATCCAAAGAGAGGTCCCTGAACTTTTTGTGTGTGTGTGTGTGCGTGTGTCTCATGCCACGAATGGTTACACATTGGATAGTAAGGAAGATGATGATGATGATAGTGGTATTGATGATGACGATATTGACAAATGGAGAGGGATTGTAATCAATGCTTTCTCTTTACTCGGGTCAAAAAGGGGGTTTTATATTGGGGGAGCATTGAAAAGAAATCTTGTTTCAGTATTGGATGTGCTGGGATGATCATTACACAAGTACCCAAGCATGTGTCCCACTGGTTATCCACGCACACACACACACACTCTCTCTCTCTCTCTCTCTCTGCTGTTGCTGCTGCTGCGCTGCTGCTGATGCAGCCTACGATCCTATTCCACCCCCAACTCTACTTACGTTTATTTTTTTCTCTTTTTCCTTTTCTTATTCTCGTTCTCTCTCTCTTTTTCTCTCTTTTTTCTTGCGCGCTATTATTTGTATGTGTACTTTTCTCTCCTTTTGCATTTATTCTTTTCCTTTTCTCTCTCCCCCATGACGTTCTTTGACCGGCCTTCCACAGCCAGCGACGACACTGTTACTACAACAATGCTTTCGCGTTCAAAGAATGATACACCCGAACAACAACAACACTACCAACATGATTTAACACTTGAGACAAGTCAACTTATGATCCGTTCTCCCCCTGAAGACAATCCTGAACACCAACAACCTTACAAAAAATTCAGACAAGACCCATGGTCTTGGGATCGTCTTTGTACCGATACCAATAGTCCACTCGCCACATTACCATTGGATGTAGGTATTGGGTGATATGGGGTGTCTATATATATATGCATGATCGGGTGGGAAAGATTCATCCTTCCGGTGTTGCATGATGTGTGTGCGTGTGTGTTGTGTGTGAGTGTGAGTGTGAAAGAGCATATAAAAAAGTCATGCATGGAATAGCACATGTGGGGGATATACACACTCATTCAATCACTCACCCAATGATAATTTCTATTATGCAACCGATAGTCTGTTTTCGATTATTCTACATTTCAATTGTTACCACCCAATGATCAAGCTGAGCTGGCACGGATGTTACCTTCCGTCGACAATAACGCCAACAACAACAACACCAACATCCCGCCCTCCTTCTTTTCTAGACAAGAAAATCCGATTTTCTGGAACGCGTTGGATGACTGGCAAACGATGCTCGGCAATGGAGAACTCAGTGACAGCAGTAGCAGCAGCAATAGCAACAACACGATACCTACTTCCATGCCCTCAACAGAAAGTGCTGATCCTGCAAACAATAGCTTCAAGGTATATTACACGCCAACATGCAAGATTTCAGTTATACTGATGATGGGGGTCGGTGTGTGCGCGTTGTGTTTGTGTTTAGGACGAGGCCTTTGAGGCATATTGGGGGGAACTCAATGACCGGGAAAAGCTGCATAACGTTGCAGGGTACGTTTACATGTACAACATGAAGCAACCCATTGCTAACTTTTCTTTATCCCATCTATACATTTATAGTGATTCCAAGAACATCACACTCAAAGACATGTGCCGAAGAGGTTTAATCCGCGAGCAAGATGTGATTGTGTATAAGCGGAACTTCAGCGCATGTAAAGTGGTCGTTTCCAAATCAATGAGAGTAAGGAGCATGCAGGGGCAAAAAAGGGCAAATTGGGGGTTTTATCCTTCATGTATGATTGTAACGTCATTTTTCTTTTCTCTCTCTATTGCCGTCTTACGCAGGTGGTCAAGGCTAATGGATCCACGGGCATATCCATTGAGTTGGACAATGAGATTTTTGAAGATTTTGAGACACCTACAGCATTGGAAACCAAGATACTGGATCGCCATGGCAAAATCACAAAGGACAAACGACCTAATGGTAATGCATTCAAGAGCATCCGATTGATACGCGATGGCAAAGATCTAGGACGTTTATTTGACATTCGCAAAGATGGTTTTGGGGAGGCAAACTGATATGCAGACTGTTTGTTGCATGCTAAACTTCCGAATGCATTGTATCAAAATATCCCAGGCACACACACACACACACGCAAGCAACCACACACACATTATAGCGTATATCGTAATAAAAAAAATGACTATTGCTATCGAATTTATACAACAGAATAACGACCACCACCTCCCGTTCTAGCTTCAGCTTCCATTTGTGCAACCGTAGCTTCCACCAATATGCGCTTGATCTCAGTCTTGGCTTTTTCCACAACCAATTCGGAATCTCCTTCAATAAACAAGTACAATTTCCGTTCGTTTGGACCAGGTTGCTTTCCTGGCGGGAAAAACGTGCCTCGTGTGGTAATGGCTGCACCAGATACTTCTGTAATTTGTGAGATTTGTTCCTACAAATCGGATCACCATATGTCAAAATGATAATGCCTTTTAGTTTCATCTCCTCCTCCCCCAACTTTGTTACCTTGTTTGTGACACGCCATCGTGCTTTTTGCGGGTAATCATTGATGACAATCTCTTCCGCGTAGACAGGGTTACCTTCATCCTTCTTATCATCCGTCGTTGTCGTTTGGGGTGTTGCCTTTGAAGATCCCACCATGGCATTGATACGTGCTGCTACTTCGGCGGCCTTTCTTGCAGCTGCACTGACAGGATCATTGGCGTTAGCTGCTTCAGATGCAATGGGTGCAGCGGCACCTGCTGTAGATGCATTAGCAGTAGTCGTAGTAGTCGTAGTAGCAGTAGGTGTTGCTGCAGCTGATGTGGCTGAAGTTGCGGCACCAGTCTCCTTTTTGCCTTCTCCCGATACGATGCGGCTCTCCAACTCAAGTTCTTCCTCATCTGATTCTTCCATATCTTCGCCACCATAAGCCTAGTAGTCATAAATTAGTACTTGCACGATAGCATCAATGAATCCAAAGCAACTTACTCTCTTTTGTATCTTTTTGACGAGATCACGATCCTTATCAAGGCGTTCAAGACCCTTGCCACCAAATCCAGAACTTGCCATTCGCTCCTTACCAGCCTTAACCTTCTCTTGGAATTGATCAGCTAATGTCTGCAAGTCCGCTGGCACAGCTTGACCACTCAATTTGAGCGCTTTGCAAATATCGGTGGCATAACGATCTTGATCCGGGGTAATGAATGTGTAGGCTGTTCCCTTGTTACCAGCACGTCCAGTACGACCCACACGATGAACATAGTCTTCCATGTGGTTGGGAGATTCATAGTTGACCACGAGCTTGAGTTGCTTGACATCCAAACCACGTGCAGCGACCGAAGTAGCGATCAAAATGTTGCTTACACCTGACTTGAAATCAGCAATGGTGCTGTCTCGATCCGCTTGATCCTATCAAATATGATTAATATGAGATGCATCTCTTTTCCTCTTTCCTATTGCTCACCTTGCCACCATGGAGTGATTGACAAGGGTAACCACGACGAATAAGATCACGTAAGAGATTATCAGCAGCTTCATGGCGATCGACAAAAATAAGGGCTCGTGCATCTTCATCGCCTTCATCATTAAAGAATTGGCCAAGAATTTCCAAAAGACGTACAAACTTGGTCGAATCTTCTCGTACCTCCACTCGTTGATCAACATCGCTACACACAACGCTACGACCGCCCACCGTAATCTCCAAAGGTTTCTTGAGTACTTTGCGTGCCAATGCCTCCATCTAAAAATACATATCATCAGCGATGGGTCCTCTTTTCAATCATACAATGACTAACCTGTCGAGGGAATGTGGCAGAGAATAGCACTGTTTGCTTGCTTGGTCGTACATTGTTGACGATTTTCATAACCTATGCAACATGATGGTTAGTGCTCATGTAAAGAATAATGACATCATTGACAAAATACATACCTGTGGCTCAAATCCCATATCGAACATGCGATCAGCTTCATCAAGCACCAAGTAAGTAACACGTCTGAGGTTTGTAACGCGTCCCGAGTTGGCACATAATAAATCAATCATTCGTCCAGGAGTACATACAATGATTTCACAACCTCGCTTAAGATCCGCAATCTGATCCTTGATCGGTGATCCACCATACGCACAGACCGCCTAGAAAGTAAATTCAATCCTCTTCAATCAGTATCCTATATACAAATTAAACGAGCATGCAATGAAGACTTACGCGTAAACCAAGTACTTTGAGGAAAGGTTTGCATTCACGATGAATTTGTGTGGCAAGTTCACGAGTAGGCGTCATGATCACAGCCACAGGGCCTTCGCCAGGCTCCAAAGGTCGTTGATCTTTGATGTGTCGAAACATGGGCAGTAGAAAAGCAATCGTTTTGCCGGATCCAGTTTTTGCAACACCAATCACATCACGTCCACTCATAATGGCAGGGATGGCTTGTGCCTGAATGGATGTAGGCTTTTCAAACTTGAGTCGACGAATCACTTCCAAACATCCAGCTGGTAATCCACAATGCGTCCATTTTTGAATCGGTTTTGGGCAATTGACACCACGAATCTTGATACCATCCAACTCAATACGCAGCATATCCACTTGATCTGGTGTCATCTCACGCAACTCTGGTGGTTCAATATAAAAGTTCTTGCGAAAAGGTTCGTAATCCATTTGAGAATGATCCACGGCTGCAAGGTCCTTCTTTTTAGCTCGCTTGGCTGCCATTCTATTACCATTCATATTAGTACAATCGTTTTTCACATTAAAATAAAAATCACTTACGCCAAGATATCTTCTGGATCACTACCATACTCTTCATCCTTGTCCTCAGCTTGCTCACGTCCTTCTTCTTCATCAACATCCATACGACTCTCATTGGCTGATTGCATTTCCTGCATACGTCTCTTATCCTCTTCATTGATCTTGCGTGCTTCAGCAGTGACATCCATCATATAAGCTTCAAGTGGATCAACATCGGTGTCTTCCATTGCCGTATCCTCTTGCTTCTTTGTCTCGACCACCTTGGGTTTGGCGGTTTTCGCTGCAGCATTCGATGCTTTCCCCATCATCATTCCCTTGCCGAGTCCAATTCGCATACCACTGCCACCACTACTTCCAGTCGTCTTTGTCTTAAGGGTCATCATACCATTCGATGGTTTGCTGGTTGATTGTTTGCTGCCAAATGTAAACGTTGCTCGTTGTGGTTGTGATGGTTGTGCCAACAATGGTTTTGGTTTGAACGATTCTTTGGCTGATTCATCGTCGTCGTTGTCGCTTCTCTTTAATGGTTTGAAATCTCCAATATCAGTGCTGGTATCATGGTCGACCTCCATTGCTCCATCCTCTTTATCATCCTCCAAATTCCATTGTTTCTCGGTCTCTTTTGATGATGCCTCTTCTTGTTGTTGTTGCTGTGATGTTGTCTCTGTGGTGGATTGATCGGGTGTTGTATCCATCTTTTCTTGAGCTGCTTTACGTTGTTCTTCTTCTTGTTGCTGTTGCTGTTCTTGTTGCTTTTTCTTTTCCTCTTCTGCAGCAGCTTTTTTGGCTGCTTGTTCACGTTTCCATCGTTCAATCTTCTCGAGACGTTGTCGAGTCAATTCGTCCTTATCAACCGCTTTGGTATCTGAGGCAGCAGTGGCGGTCTACAATTGTTGTATAAGTATCCAACATACATATGAATAAAGATCTACACTTACATTAGATGTCTCTTGAGTCGATGTTGTTGTTTCTACAATTAGGTACACCTTGTTTAATGCGCTTGATGGATACAAATGTGATATAAACACTTTACCTTCTTTACTTGGTGTCGTTTGAGTAGGTGTTGTTGCTGTAGACGAGCGGTTACGTGCTTCTATACTGCTTGAACGATCACGGTGACGACGTGGGGATGCATGACGAGTGGTGTCACGACGTGAGGAATAGCGATCGTCATAATGGCGAGAGCTGCGGTGAGAGGACGTACGATGCGAAGATCGGTGACGATGGGAGCGATCTCTGCTGGAGCTGCGGCTTCTCGATGATCGTTCTCTATAATGGTCGTGTTTTCGTCGTTTGCTAGATGGTGAAGGCGAGCGATATCTTTCTCTTGACGATGACTTGTATGATGCCATGTGATTGAAAGAATAGGATAGAAAAAATCGAAAGGGAGGAGGAGGAGAGAGACCACACTACGTTTGCTGGCGGGGTAAGTACCATTTCTAATGCGGGCCGGGATGTGCAAATATAGAGAGTGAGTGAGACACGCTGACACACATACACACATACATTGGCCTGGGATGCACTGTACCAATAGATAAGCTCTGTTTTGATCCGGCCCTGACCTTCGACTCGAGCTGGATGGGGGAGAATGACAATGACCAGCTATTGCGTATTACCATATGCATGTTGATGATTGTTTTTTCCTTCCGAATGCATCTCGTCATCGTCGTCGAGTATTATTGTATCATAGATGGCACAATAAACATGAAGGATGTATTCCCGTTGCTGCACCAACCAATGTCCACTATCTCAGACAATCATGTAATTACCATGGTAACACTAAATGCTTATTGAAAGTACCCGCCATTTTGATATATGGAAAAACGTGAGATGATTTTGTGTGTAGTAAAAGTGCATTTAATCCCCTCATCATGTAACATTTCCCTATAGTCTCACGAGGTCATATTTGTCGTGTACATTGAGATGATCAATAGCATGGTAAAGTTAGGCCGTAGGGTAGTAAAGAAGATCCCCATTTTACCAACATTGTTCACCTGCATGCTAACGATAGAGAGGAGCTGTTGTTGAAATGTTTGAGGACACGCGATACGGGAAATGCATAATTGTGCTTAGTACTCTGTAGGTAAAAGAGGTTTCATTTGTTGTGGAGATCCTCAAACATAATGAAAAAAAGGGGTGATTACGGAAAGGGTACAAAAAGAGAGAGAGAATCGAAATCATATCAGGGGCAGCACACTCTGCACACGAGGTTTTTTGGCAAGGGAAAAAAGAGCTGGACCACCCTTACTTCTTACATCTTTGTTTTATCTTTTTCATGCGACTCATCTCTATTGATACTTGTTACAATGACCGATGTAAAACACCCTCTTACGACGACAACTACATCTACTGCTACCGCATCATCATCAAAAAGAAACGATACGCTGAAACAACCATCATCATCTACGACACTCCTCCAATCAAAATTACAACGTGGTCGACAGCTGATTGAACGTAATAGCATCACCAAGAATGGGGTGGGTAGATATTCAGTACAAGGATGTATGGACACTCGCTAATATCATCAACGTAGACGCTGGCAATGTATTGGGCTGAAATGGAAAATGTGATTATGCAGATTTTCGATATCACGGCGGACATGCTCAATGTCGATATTACACCTCTTTCACCTTTGGCTTCTTTGGACATAATCGCCCTTCTCAGCATCTCGAACAAGTTCTCTCAATTGACACGCTCATTGGCGCAACTCCTTTCAGACAATGAACCTGTACAATGGCGACAGCGTAATCCTCGTCGATGGGCTGGCAGCAAACGAACACAGGAACAGCAACAACGACACATGACTCAATGCATAGCCGACATTGTTCGTAAAGAGTCCAACATTATGCTTGAGCAGTTACAGGCGTTAAGAGACTTTGTATCACAGCATGGGCGTCGCATGGATACGCAACAAGAGGGAAAGCACCGTGCAACGGCAGAGGTATGGAGAGTGTACCGAATATGGCATGTGGATTCCGTCTGATATCGCCCCGTGCTCTGGGATTTCGTGTGATGATGTCTTTTAGTCAATTCAACATTTGCTCATATCTCATGCAAACAATCTGGTGGATACACTTGTCGCATTCTTCATTTCACCCGCTTTTATTGCTCTTGAAAACAAGCTTGAACTTGATATTCATCATCATCATCATCATCAACAACAACCACAACACTTTTCTGATAACGGTATGTGTAGTACTACTACTACTGGATGATCAACATGCCGTCGTCTTGTATATGTGGTAACATGTGCAGGATGGTGTAACCTCTGTATTACTCACCAATTGGCCCTTGCTCATCTATTCATTCATACAAAAGGTTCCACAATGCTTGTAATGGTTCAAGACGCCGTGGTTGGATACGACATGACAAGAGATTCTGGATCATACGAGATACACAAAAAGTAGGTTGATGGGTAACACGCAAGCATGACACCATATCACTCATCATCACCACACTTTGAATAATTAGCCATGACCAACAAGAAGACACAGGCAAGTCATTACACAACAACCCGTCCCCTGAGCAATTATATGCTTTGCTCTCCGCATGGGGAGGTCATATCATGCTCCTTTTGCATCTTTTTGAAGGATCCTTTTTAGCTTACATTACTCTCTCTTTTCTTAGTTGGCAGGCGATTCTTTCGTAGCATATCATCATTCAAAAGTCAACCAGCCTCGACAATGACAAGTGTAGCACCCAACTCAACTACGAACATAGCTGACACCTGCTCATTCGATCCCACCAACAACAATCATCAACACTACGCACCACCTCATCACCATCATCATCATCATCACCATCGACCACCTACACCAAATGATGCTTCTTATGAATTTGCGTCATCATCAACTCCAAAAAATGGTGCGAATGCTCTTAAACTACTCTTCAGTAATCGATGGGGATCACATACGCCAGCACCTAAGAAATCTCGTTCGCTCAAGGACATGTTTTATACTCAATTATCGAACGCATCCATGTCATCACATAAGCAACGGAAAGGATCTCTACAAGATGCCAGTATCTATGACAACGAGGTAAAAATGGGTGGATGATGGTACGCCACAAAGAGCAACAAGCCCACTCATCTTCTTTTCGCCTCCTTTTTTTGACACAGTCGGCTACGTTGGGAACGGTTTCTGGATATTATAGCTGCTCAGCCTCTATCAATGAAAACGACGACCCCCAAAACAGCCATGTGGATTCACTTTCAGGGGTAAGAGTTGATGGAGTGACTTGCTCGCATTTACAACCGACATCTCATGAAACAACAATGTTCGTATAGCAGCTATCTTACCAGCCTAATAATGAGGATCCAACGTCATCATTACCATCACCTCCACCATCAGCAAAGAACGTGTCAAAGATATACCATTATCAACATCATCATCATCCTCCACCACTTGCTCGTGTACCGAAAATGTATCAGGATCCAATGCCCTCATCCTCCTCTGAAGACACGCTAGTCGTATCAGCATCTGAATCGTCAATACGCACCGAAGTTGACATGGATCCATCCAATCATACTCTTTCCATATCCACATCACATCCCACTGGATTGACGATCGATCATCCTGAAACAAGTCGACTACCACGTTCACCAAGTACTTTATCAGCCATTCACACTGAGCATGCGCAACCAACTTTTGTATCATCACAACCTCGTCCCTATGATAATCCACACGTTATTCCAGAAGATGTCTCCCAGCAGCAGCAACCACCATCCTCTCATTTGGCTCCACCTCCACCACCTCCTTCAACTATAGGAGCGACTCGCTCGTTGAAGCATTTTCGATCCGAGAGTGATCTTGCACGACTCAAAAACATGTTCACGCCAACATCAACAAAGGGACGATCAGCACATGATCGACATCCAAAATTCCATCCACAGCAACAATCAAATACGGGCTTGTCATCTGCTAGAATGTCTCCCACTGGCAGCAACAGCACAACATCATCCAATAGCACCAAAACTCTAGTACCACAAAGAACAAGTAGTCTACACAGCTCCACATCAAGTAAGTCACTGTTACAATGATATCATCATATACCAACTAACCAATGTATCAATAATAGCTGTAACGGTGAATAGTGCAAATGACAAGGATTCAAGTAGTAGTGGTGGTGGTGACAATCATTCTTGGGGTCTACTACGAAGTCTACGTAAGAATTATTCCTCAGTCAATTTACGACAAGCTGCCAAGGACGAAGCTTTACGAGAAACATCGTTCGACACCACCTCGCTTTATGGTACGAATATCTACTTCGCATCACTGGTTTAAACAAAAGCCATTCATCATGCTAACAAACGATTTCATTAGGTTACTCCTTGGGCAAAAGCATGCCATCCAATCGCCATGATTCAACCATCCACGTATCAGAAAATGGCCACGACGTATTGATCATGGAGAGCGTATGTGGGAAAACCGAGGTTGTGGCTGGAACACAAGAAAGGCTTTTTGCTCGCTTGGCGGATGAAGGTGTTCAAGGTAATACGCAACTTCCAAAGGTGGGAGAGCATTTGAACGATTTGGAACTAACGACGCTATAGACCTTGATTATGTGGACACTTATATTCTGAATCATTCCAAATTTACATCATCCGCTGATTTGCTGGAGAATCTCATGGCTCGTTTTCACATGGAAACGCTTCCTGACAGCCAACACTATTCCAAGCGTTGTATACAAGTCAAGTAAGTATTCCTTATTTATTCCACGATGATGAAACGTTGACATTAAATTGCATTGATAGAGTCCTTAACGTCATATCAAGATGGGTCAAGCTACAATATTTCGATTTCAAGAAGAAAGGGATACTACAGACGCGACTTGAAGCCTTTTTGAATGGAGATGTTGAACGAGCTGGTTTCTCAACAGAGGCAAAAATGATCAAGGATGCATTGAATCTCCAGATATCAAAGCATAGTCGCCGACGCCATTCATTGCTTGCTATGAGTTCACATTCCTTGACATCCTTTGGCAGCAATAGAAGCGCAACTGGATCACCACCACCCCAACGTCGTACATCACCTACTACAAGCATTTTTTCATTTGCTCAGCAGTCGTCGCATCAACAACCCAGTAACATGACAACACCTCCCACATCTCCTATGTCACCCATATACAAAATGTCTTCTCAGGATGATACCACCTCCATTCTTCTGTCTACCGATTCCAAATACATTGCACGGTATTTGACGCTGGCCGACTTTTACCTGTTAAAGTGCATTACCGGATACGACTACTTGAATGGGCTCTGGAGAAGACAACAAAAGGATGACCAACAAGAAGCCCATGATGGCTGTTGTTACATTGACCTAATGACCAAACGGGCGAATATGGTAAGTTTGTGAGAGGAGGATGGTATGATCGTTTAAGGAATTAATTGGGAGAATCATACTTAGCTCACACATTGGATCATGCACGAGCTGTTGTCAATCAAGGGGAACAAGCAACGTCGTACAGGGTTACGTCGTGTCATTGACATTGCCAAGGTTTGTATTGTGTCTCCTTGATGCTGTCATGGAAAAAGGGAGCTCATCCATTTACTATGTGTAGCATTGTGTAGAGTGGAATAATTATCACACAGCCATGGTGATTACGATGGGATTGGCTAGCACGCCTGTTCAAAGGATGCAAGAGACATGGGAATCATTATCAAGTCGAGACATGAACGCTTACATGTCCTTGCAACGGCTTTTGGATGTGAGCAACAATATGAGCCATTATCGTCAAGCGTTTTCCAAAAAGGTGGTCAAGAAAACAGCAGCACCTGCAGTGCCATTCTTCCCACTTGTACTCAAGGATTTGACATTTTACATGGATGGCACACCTACTATGAAGCAATCCTCCACCGCTGGAAACGTACCATTGATCAACTTTGTCAAGTTTCGTGCCGTTACCAAGTTCGTGCAAGGGATCCTTAGCCACACTCATGAAAATTACTGGTTCGCAGGCGAATTAGACCATTTGGCTTTCTTTCCAGGCATGCACCAAAACGAAGCAGCTTTTTCATCAGCGGCCGGTCCGCTCGATCCTGTCGCAGAGGCTATTGAATATAGATTACGAGCCGTAGTCGATTGTTATAATGACACTGGGTGTCATGTTTATTCATCTTGTACATAATAATACAGCACCATTGGACTTGGATAGTTCACTTACATAGTAGTACTACTACATCTTGATGATATGAATTATCGCTATATGAGAAACAAAGGGGAGGAGGATCAAGTATGAGAACGAGTGGTTAATAGCAAAAGTGGTATTATTACGACGTTTATTAGAGTATATAAAAGTATATATATGAGTTTCTTATATACACAACAGCACAAGGTAAAGTGGACCCCTCGACTAGCTGTCATCATCTTTTTCCTGCTGGGGCTGTTGTAGTGCCTCGTCCTGCAAGGCAAGCGATCGTTCAATGGCATCGCAGTAATTCTGGTATTTGATGGTTTCGTGAAGGAGGTATTGCGACTTGTTTTCCCAATTGGCCATGGCTCGTGTTGCTGCTTGGCTACGCATGCATGATGCAAACTTTAAAGTAGGAATAATGTTACTATTGTTGACATGATATCATAAGGAGAGATGATTCTCCTCTTCTTATTGCTCCTTACCCGTTGTTGCATCTTTGGTTTGATATCACGGTGCTTGTCAAGATCCTGATTGAGTTGTTGGACGTGACGACGTAATGTTTCTAGCTGTGCCTTTTCCTCAAGGTTGCTGCTGACTGTGGGTGGTACGGCTGGCATCCATTCATGGACCATGGTCACGGGTGGATAAGGTGTCGTTGATGTTTCATCATCCACAACATCAAGACAAGGTCCCCAGCCATATTCCATACTGCTAACACCACCTGTCAATGGCTCTTTACTTTCACGAGCTGCCCAATAGTTGCATGTGGATACCCATTCCATGACTTGCTCAGCTGATCCTGCTTGAAAAATGTAGACACCACCATTGGGTTGTTGAAGGGCCAAAGCATGTGGGCGTTGTTTGCTGTAGCCTGATGGTAATGCATTGGCAAGTGTGTGCTTGAGATCAATAATATCAATCGGCTCAGCATTAGCCTATAAATTCAATGGATCTTAGTCAATGGGATGAAATGATGTAAAAACAAGCAAATTACTTACCAGCCAATCACCTCCACCTACTGCTTGATTTGCTAATACATCAGCTGATGGGGACTGGTTGCGAGGAATGATCATGCTCATACGATAAGGTGCCATGCTTTTACGTGGCAGCTGTTGTTGTTGGTCTTGGGTCATACTACCACCTCCACCTCCATGCATGGCAGTAGTACCAGTAGCAGCACTGCTATCAATGCGATAGGTACGAATCTCAGCACGATCCACTACCAAAAAGCATTCTCTCCAATCACGATGTCTTGCTTTTTGGCCAGCACGTTCAAGTAAATGCTTGCGTACAATCATGCCTTCTTTGTAATAGGGTGCTGCACATGTATAAGATGAAGGCAACTCCGAATGATGAAGCAAGGGTGCAACCGGTTGATAGGTAGTAGCTGAATTGGTCAAGTGAGAACCTTGGGATACAGAGGATTTCACGGATGCTGATCGTCGACGTTGGCGTGCAAAGGAAGTAGCAGATCGAGATCGTGTAGAATCGGCGTCAGGCTATAAATGATATTAATATCCGCCGTAGTAGTAATAATTATGGAATAATAATAAAACCTTACCTCTTCTGCAAGCACCATACTTTCACGCCCAGCTTTGAGCATGATGGTGCCCACGCTACGTTTGAATGCACCCACACGTGAACCCGACATTTGTATGCTGCGACGACGTGTATGTCGAATACTTGCATGTGGATGGGTTTCTTGCTGCTTTGAGAGGGAGGGGTCTAGAATCTGGCCACTTTTGATGGACGAATACATTTCCTAAATGCCATGCAATGCAAAAAGCAATATAAATCATCTGCATGCATCATGCAAACATCACACGAGTAGTAGAAGGAAACATTGCTTACCCTTAACGAAACTTCAATTTCAGCTTGCCATGATTTGCTGCCAAAGGTGAGTGTCATGGGTGTCATGGAAGGCACATCAAATGAATAAGATCCACCACCACCACCACGGCTAATGCTGCCATTGTTGCTGCTAGATGCACTTTTGCAGCTGGGAGAACGCTTAAGATCATGTGACTCAATGGATTGTAAAGTGACATTGCTGGCACGATGTTCCTCTTGAATCGAAATAGCATCACCGAGTTGTTGGTGACATTGCACACTGACAGCATTCATGGTGTTTCGCACAAAGGCCGATCGTGACATTTTCTTATGATCACCCTGTGCCACGTGCAAATCCGTGTTGAGTAGCAACAGCGAGTAAACGATCGCATGAACAACATCTATAAGGGCGCGGGCGGGGTGAGTGAGTGAGAATAGTAAAAGGAGGTAGCTAATTTACCTGGATTGCCATAGATACTAAATGGATTGCAATCCCAGAAACGTTGAGCAAATTCTTCCAATACACGATCAATTTGCTGGGTCTCGGCTTTGAGATGAAGCCGGCTGCACAACAATCTAATAGCATTCTTTTAGTACCTTGCTTGTCTCCTTCATGGCTCTACTACTCACCTGAATGCATCATCCACTCGCATATTGGTGAAATCGAAAAAAGTAAAATAGTGCTTGAGGATACGTGTGCTAAAGGGCTTGCTGTAAAAGAGAAAATAGTAACATGTATGCATAAGTTGTCTCATTGCTGCAGGTGGTTTTTTCTCCTTTTAACATACCCATTGCCGATCCATTCAGCCACGTGTTCCCAATCCTCATAGACCGTGGTATCTTGTTCCCAAATACGTCTAGCAGTCTCGGATGCTATCCGATCGTATTCCTCTGGTGTATTGGCGCTGTTATTGTTGTTGTTGTTATCTTCCGTAGTCGTAGTCGTAGTCGTAGTGGTTGTAGTAGTAGTAGGATCATCATCATCGTCATCGTTCACTTGCACTTTGTCATTTTTCGATGAAGGATAATCAGCAAGGCTATGAGAGGGTGGTGTAGCCAAAGCGACTGATTCTGATTCAATCGTCTCGGCATCTTCTCCTTCTTCTTCTTCATCATCCTCCTCCTCGTCGCCTTCATCTTCATCGTCATGATAGTCTTGTTGATTTAATGTACTAGCAATTAATCCACCAGCTGATCCATAATGTCCTCCGCTAAAACGTTTGGATAACCTGTCAACAGCAATTTGACTATCATCGGCTGGTTGTTGAGGATCATCTGGAAACGAAATGTCGCTGTTGTTGATGGTGGATCGTTCATCCAAAGACACCGAACGACGCAAATGTGGGCGTTTGTTTGTTGTTGATGGTGGTTGTTGGTGCATGTCATTCAAGGTTGAATATTTTTGTACCACCACTACTGTTTTAGATGCATCGTCATCATCCGTGCTAGAGGTTTCATCATGATCGGTATCATTGTTGTTGCTGGTATCGTTGTTATTGTTGCGTGTTGCACTAATGGTCGGTGATGCAGGGCGCTCCGCCGGCTGCAGTTCCGGTGTTTCAGATGACATTTGGATGTGGTGACGAGTAGGGGTATTATCAACATGTTGATGCTATCCATTGAAAGAAAAAAGGGGAATTAGGATAGGTTTGCATAACAAGAGAATTAATGCAAGGGAGCCAAGTGGGAGGATGAATCAAGAAATCAATCAACCATGTACCTTGCCAAAAGAGCGAAAGAATCTGCCAATGCTTCTGATCCCTGGAGAACGCTAAAGTCCGACATGGTTAATTAAACACTGAGACATGATCAATCTCAAACCTTACCTTCTTTTTGGATACGCTTGGCGTTGCCATCATGGTCTCCTGAGGAGGAGATAGTTGTTGATTACAAGTCGCGTTGTTGTTATGATGAGGTGTGAATGGTTCTGGTTGCATCATTTCCATGGGAAGTGGAGGTCTTTTGCGTTGCTTGGAGATGTTGCACCCATCCGATGGTGAAGGGGTCAATGTCATAGCTGAGGGTGATTCGGTCATATCGTCCTGTTGACGCTGTTTAAGTTTGGCCAAGAATCTGGAACGAGAGCTGGTGTCATCATGATAATTGCCCCAGGATTCTGATCGTGGTCGTGTATTGGTGTTGTTGTGTTGTTCATGCATGTTGCACGGTGGATAAGGCTCCTCCATTGGTAGAGAGTTGTGTGTGAGTGTGTGTGTGTATGTAGTTGAATGTAAATGGGTGGATGACAGTGAAAAAGAGAGAGAGAGAAAGAAAAGGAAAGGAAGAGTGGAGTGAGAGAGAGAGAGAGGAAAAAGAAAAGAAAGGTATAATGAGAAAGAAAGAGAGAGAGCTGTCGAGGGAAAAAAAAAAGGGGGTGTGAGAGAGAAGGAACGAGCAGAGAGTTGTTTCTGGGTGTTTTCTTGACTAGTTAGTGCGCTGGCGACTCATTGTTCTCCTTTTTCGGTCTCCCAACCGACATCATGGATGATTCAAAATGATTGATTACAAGATGATGGTGGTTGATTGTTTACGTATTCGCCCCCCTGAAAGACATACAAAGAGGATATAATGAACTTTAGATGATAATCAACATAAAAAGAGTATCGATTGTATATGCGATAGGAGGTGGGGATGGATAAGATGAAGCTGTCAAACGAACGGCATGCATAAGTTGCATGGGAGAGTATGTGCTGCTGCTGCTGCTGCTTGATACCTTTGATGTTGCTGCGTGGTGTATTAGTTTGTGGCACATTATTATGATAGCTGGGGAAAGGAGAAGGGAGCAAGGAAGGAGAAAGAGGGATGATGGATCATCCAGGGGGGGATATCATTTTCATTATCCGTCATCCGCACTGACGCAATAGACACTTCTTGTCAATGGTATAGAATGGATCAAGGCATAGCAGTAGTATAAGTGGTAATACCACTAGCACTGGCAGCAGCAGTATTACTCGGAGCAAAGGATCAAAATATAACATCCGTAACCCCATTTTCAGGTTTACTGTACTGAGAGTAGCTTATCCTCCACTAAGGGATCGCATCTTTTCCACGTTTTCCTCACTCACACTTTATATGTCTGCCGCCGACACCCGTCAGCTGAAACTTTCCACAGCTCTTCTTTCACAAAGCGATCCGCCCATGGTCTTCAATGACAGCAACAACAACTCCTCTTGCGATCCCTGTAAAACAGCCCATTCAACCAATGCTTCAGAACGCCTTTCAGATACGGCAGGTGTCGTTCGAGAGGTTACAAAGAAACTAGGTACATACAATATACCGCAGTACCCCGTGCCCTTTATTCGTTACTAATAGCCACGCTGACAAATAGGAAAGACAAGAATCAAATGGGACAATCCAGAGGCTGTCATGGTCATTACAAAGCCTGGCGACGTTTCTTTGATCGGCATGACTCGAGAGGTTGTCTTGTGGTTGATTCGTACCAAGAATCTTACAGTGTAAGTGGGTTTGCGTGTGTGTGTGCGTGTGTGTTGCGTATATGCTATGCCATTGTGTGCCGTGTGCGTGGAGACTAAGGACGGGATGAGGATTAATAACCATTTTTGGTAAAAGACTCTTTTATCATGACTGATATCGATATCCTTCATAGTTATGTGGATGCCAAGCTCAAGACAACAAAACGATTTCGCTATAAACGCATCATTGAGCGGTTTCCAGGATACGAGGCAAAGCTTAAGTTTTGGGACCCTGATCTTTGTGCTTCACAGCCTAAACTTTTTCATTTCATTATCACAGTAAGTCGGCTTATCAGATCGATCACGGACCATCCACTCATTGTTACCTCCTCCTCCTCCCCGCCCCTTTTTTCAATAGTTAGGTGGTGATGGCACGGTAAGATACATACATCCATATCCACGCTTTATAGTTATAGGGGATAACTAATCAGGTTTATAGGTCTTATTCACATCTTGGCTATTTCAATCCTATGTGCCACCTGTGATCCCATTCAATCTCGGCTCACTCGGATTCTTGACGCCATTTCAATTTGATCGATTCGAGCAACATTTGACACAGGCGATGGAAAGGGGTGTTCGTATCAATATGCGTGGCCGATTGACATGTACAGTATATCGACGTGTGCCATACCCTGAAAATTCGACACAATCCATCAAGACATCGGTGCAGCTTAGGAACGTCAAACGTAATCCTGTCACGGGAGAGATCAAAGTGGGTGGTTGGTGCAAGGCGACACGCAACAAAAAGTGCAAAAAGTTTGGAGAAGTCGATGGCGAAGACGTCGAAGAGGATGAAGATGGCCAAAATGATGACGTTGAGGATATGATGGAGCATCGACAAATCCCTTGTTTTACCACAGTACCAGTGGAGAAGTATCATGTCATCAATGACCTGGTGGTGGATCGTGGGCCTAGTCCCTATGTTAGCTTATTGGAATTGTTTGGTGATGACAAGCATTTGACCACCGTACAAGCGGATGGATTGGCCATTTCTACACCTACGGGTAGCACAGCTTATTCAGTAAGAGAAGGAAAATGAGGCTTTGATGTAAACCATATCACTCACATCCATTCTTTAAGCTTTCAGCCGGTGGACCATTGACACATCCAGAGATTCATGCCATTTTGATCACACCTATTTGCGCCCATACCTTATCATTCCGACCTACGCTTGTACCGGATTCAATGGAGTTGCGTATATGCGTTCCTTATAATTCTCGCAACACAGCTTGGGCTAGCTTTGATGGTCGAGGCCGAGTGGAACTTAAACGTAAGGATGGGGGCTTGAGTTCATGATTTGTAGATGACTAATGTAAATTACATGGTGTAGAGGGCGATCATATCAAAGTGACAGCATCCAAATACCCATTCCCAACGGTTTGCAAGGAAGATCAGGCTACTGATTGGTTCAAGTCATTATCCAACTGCTTGAATTGGAACATTCGACAGCGTCAAAAATCATTTGCAGTTGTTGAATCGAATCGTACGAGCAATGGTCGACGTAGCGGATCATCCACACCTTCTTCAGCCGTATCACGTGTAACATCGAGCACAGCCATATCACGCATGACACCCATCAACAACAATAACCCTACGTCTCCTACCAGCATCATCACCAATAACCAGCAACAGCAACATTTGTCACGCAAAGCATCCATCAAATCATCGAATGGATCATCACCAGAAAGCACCGTATGTGAAGAAGTCTTTGGCATGTTTATCGATGACGATGAATACCTGCAAAACAAATCCGGCAGCACCACCGGCAGCTTGCATGGGATTGAGACCGCGTCATCAGAGGAAGAAGATATATTTTCAGATGACAGTGATGAGGAAGAAGAAGATCCCAACGAAAGGTTCAATGGCTGGACTGATGAAGAGATTTTGCGGGCCCGGTTCAATGCTTCACTTCGCAGATCCACGTCTTTCCCAGCAACATCAATAACAACAGCACAAACATGATGATAATAAACGCTGGAAAAAAAGTGCGACATTGTCTTTATTATGATGATGGCTACTACTCTTGGCTGGCAGGAGAAGAGGATGAGGATGGACGATGCCTACGCATATGACGACGCATGTTGCTTAGTACGCTGAATCGCTTGTCACACCCTTCAAAGGCACATTCAAAAGGTTTCTGGCCAGTATGCGAATACGTGTGTGTTCGAAGAGAGGACGGCCGTATGAAGCTCTTGTCACAATAATGGCACATGTATCGACGTTGTGGTTGCGATGGCGACCGTTTCAATCCCATAGTTGGCGTCATAGTTGTAGATGTTGATGATGATGATGGTGGTGGTGATGGTGATACTCGATAAATGATACGCAATGGGTCATTGTTAGTTTGCATCAAAGCTGTGTCCGAAAATGAACGTCTGTGTTGATAGGTGTTGTTGTTGCTATTGCATACAGATATACTTGGTGATGAAAGAGCAAGATTTTCCATACTAAAAGGGAGATAGTTGTAATCCTTTGTATCGGATATTGAGGATGGATGAATTGGTTGTGGTGGAGGAGATGATGTATTCGATCCTTTGATTGCTCGTTCTTTTGATGATATGACATTGGTAGCAGCATCGTCATTGTTGTTGTGGTGGTTATGCAATGGTGCAAGCTTCACTTTTTCGGAAGATGTATCTTTAAATAGAGCGTTAATGATGTCCACAATGTTCCTTTTGATGCAATTCATACCATGTGAGTACGCCTTGCTGGATAAAAGCTCATGAATCGGTGGTAGGCAAAGGTTACTTTGGAGATGCAGCATAATCGACTTTTACAAGAACAAGAAGAAATTGAGTACAGAGGATGATTAGCAAAAGCGCATGAATATAAATCTGGTATATCGTGAAAACAAATGTTTTGTTTTGTACCGAGGACCTGCCATGCTGTTGTTGAGTGGTATGGTTGCGATCCAAATTGTCCACTGAACAAACACAACCGTGATTTAGAGAGAACATGAAAGATCTCCGGTTAATTGCATATACAAATCATCATCCTAATAGCCTGCTCAAATAAAAGATACCGAGGAATCATTTCCTTACTATGGTGATGATGCTATGAAAGCATGACAATACGTGGATACGTATGTGTGTTGTAGATGAAGAGAATAAGCTACCAGATGCATCTATCGACAATTAGCACTGTTTGATAGCCATATTGGATCAGCAACAAGGAACAGCTTGATCCGCACGAGACAGCTTTCTATCTATGACGATAATGGAAACATCAAATGACATCATAGACATTTATTTCCTCGGTATAAGCCGCGTACTGCCAGCTTGCAAAAAGCATCATGACAACTCAAATGTTTGTCTCCTTGAAAGGAGGAACACATTTTGGCAAAGCGCAGCAGGTGATCGATATGGCTATGTAAGCATGGAAAGCATTGGATATGCATTGTATTGGTGGTGGTGATGTCAATGACACCCATCCCAATATGAGCTCAGGTGACATTCGCATCAATCAATATGGATAATCATTTTTCAGAGAGACACAAACAATAATGTGACATGTTAATATCCAAGTTTTCTGAAAAGCTTATGGCAGAGAAAGAGCATGATGTCTTTTGTGAAACAAAGACTTTACTTGTTACACGTTGCTTATCCGCACACAGGCGACACGACATTATTACCATTTTTACAGGCGGGGGCGCCTCTCACATCTCTCCTTGCCATTCTTGATTTGGCAAGTAGTAGCATTGTGTCCTTATATGCAGAATGGCTGATTGAAAGTTGTTGAGAATAAGCAAGAGGGCGCTGTGGCACACATGGCTTTACGGGATAATCAGGAGGAGGCCCCTTCCCAATGGGGCTATTTGATACTAATGAAAGGTTCATCATGGTATTATGCTCGCTGTAATAATGACAAGACCTTATGAGAGATTTCTCCTATTGTTACAATACTAGGAGATACATAGATATTATGGTGTGCATTGCCAAGACCAATATTTTTATCCATTCTCTTTAATAAAGACAAACAAATGTTCTCGGGATCAATGATGATGGTAATTCCTATGACTGATGCGTGGTACCTGTATGTAAACAGGATGAGAGGAAAGAGGAAAGAGTGCATTGTTGTTTTCATGGTCATAGAAAAAGATGCAAGCTTGTATATAGCCCAAAGGAGGCAAAGAAGAGAGGAGGAGGAAAAAGAGATGATGTGGCAAGGGGAATAAGCGGAGGCAAGTGCCTTCAACCGCGGGATTTCTCTCAGGGTGCAACCAATGCCAAGCCATATTAAACCGGTGAACGAGCTTTATATAGCTCATTCACATTGTGGGTGTGCATATTTATACATGCTCAGGGCCCCTCTCTTCTTTAAATGGCGTTAAAGTATCATGAATAGCGAGCACCACGTTGAATGGAGCAAGTGCGTGGTGCTACTAAAAAGTTGGCGCCCCCCTTTCATGATGCATAAGCACAGCACATTACATATTCTCAAGCAGGTTCAGCCACAGCTGCCTCTATGGGTACTATGCTTGTGTGCGTGTGTGCGTGTGTGTGTGTGTGCGTATCTGTGTATGTGTGTGTGTGACCCTTTAGGCAAAGAGGCGCAATCGGTTTCCCGCAGCTGTTATTCTTCTTTTTTTCTCTTTCCACTCTTGTTGAACTCGTTTTTCCTTTTTTCTCTTTTTTCCCTTTGTAAACTCGGTGGTGTGGTTGTCTTCTCTATATCTCTTTCACGTTCTTTATACTACGCTACTTGACACATGAGCAGTTCAGTGCCAAACACCCCGCTCATCGTCTCGCCACAGCCCCATGACGATGCCACAAGCGACCACAATAGGTCTCCATCACTGCCACCACCTCCTCCACCTCCTCCGTCGTCTATCTCTTCTCTTCTCAATGTCACGTCAAAATCAACGGATGACCCGAATCAAGATCCTGTCAGCAGTAACTCACCTTCACCTACCACCACCACCAACACCAACACCAACACTAACACCAACACTAACACTCACTGTGGCGCAACAGACCAACAACAACAACAACAACGTAAACGACCCTTTTCAGCTCTCGAGAATAATGACGACTTGACCATTACTACTAATACCAATGACTCGACATCAAGTAAAGAACATGGGATGGATACTTCTTCAACTCAGGGAGATACTTCCAATCAACAGCAGTCTTCTTCATCATCTTCATCATCTTCATCATGGCCTGGGAACCATCATCAACAACAACAACAACAACAATCACATCATTTACCTACTCCAGTAAGCCCTGCGGCACCTATGCCTCATCAAAACAAGATTGCAAAGATGGATACCGATGAACGACAACCATCTATGAGCACGAGTGAATCTGGATCAGTAATCAAGGAAGAGTATCATATGGTGCAACGTACAAAGGCTGATACGCCTGGTGGCATGTATACATCCTTCTCCCTCAAGCAAACAAATGCCTCGAATCATGGTACTGGTGCTTCCACGGCATCTTCTTCGTCATCTTCTAACAAGGCTCGGGGATCTCGTGATAATGGTTCAGTATCCAAACCGTACACGTGTAGCGAATGTGATCAGACATTTAGTCGAGCTCATAATCTGAAATCCCATACTGCGACGCATTCGATGGAGAGACCTTACAAGGTAAATGAGTGTAGGATATGGGATTGAAATAGGGAGCTGACGTATGATCATTCTAGTGTGATTCATGTCAAGCAAAGTTTCGACGGCTGCATGATTTGAAAAGGCATCAAAAGTTACACACAGGAGAGCGACCTTATGTATGCAATGTGTGTCATCGCTCATTTTCTCGTTTGGATGCATTGAATCGACACCAAAGGACTGAAGGTGGATCAGCGTGTCATTATCGACAAAATCGTCGGCGTGTTGAACAAAGACACGAGACTACGGACTCAACAAGTACTACACCAACTACTTCTAAGCCGCATCAAAGCCCATCTTCGTTACAACCACCACCGCCACAGCAACCATCACCAGGAAAAAGTGCAACCTACCCACCCGCATCATCTTCGTCATCACAACCACCACGCCATACAGCCCAATCAAGACCCAATATCCCACAATTAGATTTACGCCACCGATTTAGTTCACCTTATCATCCAGATGACCATCATTCACCACAACAACAACAACCAGTTGTATTCCGCTCTTCTCCTGTCAGTGCTTCTCCATCAGCTACTGGAAGTCCACATGAAACTCATCGCCGTATTGTTCTTCCTCCTCCTACTTCAGCTACTTCAACGCCCACCAATTCTACACCTACAACAACAACTACTACTACTGCCACGCCTACCAATACCACCGCCGCCACCGCTCATCCTCATCATCATCCTCATCATCATCATCCTACTGCAACAACGCCTACTGCAACAACTCCCAATTCTACAACTACTACTACTACACCCACTACATCACTCTCTCGTTCATCCATTGCTCACCTAGCAACTCCTTATCCACCCTCCTTTCAACCACATGAATCTTATAGCAGGCGGAGTAGTGGTGCTTCTGATTACGACCCAGCGTCTCCTGCTGCATTTGCAAGTCCAGAGAGTTTTTCGGCATTACGAAATGCTTATGCTCAGTTATCTGATCAATATCGTGCCATGCAGCATTCCTGGAATACTAAATACGATGCCAAGGTCGATGAGGTCGAGTCACTAAGACGTCAATTACATGATCTTCAAGTCGAGGTAAGCTCAAACTTTATTTGGTCTCCATGACAACCCCATTTAACTAAATTATCGTTCTAGATCCGAGTATTACGGTCATTAGTCGTTGAACGGCAACAATAGCCCACAAGAACCCCAAAAAGAAAAGAGAGAGAGAAAGAGAGCCCCTTATATGTGTACATATTGTTGTAGTCTCTCGCATTAAAAGAAAAACATACACATTAAAAATCCTTGTGGGCGCCATTTTCTTTGTGTAATGGTTTTATCTGCATGAAAGGCAATTTGACATGCCGCACCGCGTCTCACATACCCTTCTCTCTTTTCATACCCAATCCTTGTCTTTCTTTTTCCCTTCCTTGCTAATCATCCCCGATGACTAAAAACAAGACGTATACATACGAGGAAGTAGCAAAGCACAACAAACCCAACGACCTATGGATGGTTATCCACAACAAGGTGTTTGACATTACACCCTTTATCGACGAGGTAGATTTATGCCTTCCTTGAAAAGCGTGGGTTGGGTCTAATATCTTATTGTATAGCATCCTGGTGGTGAGGAAGTGCTTTTTGATGAAGGTGCAAAGGATGCTTCTGGACCGTTTGATGACGTGGGTCACTCTGATGATGCTCGAGAATTGATGACAAAGTATTATATCGGTGACATTGACTCCAAGGTAAATAGCAGTAAAAGGATGTCATTGGTTGAGTATCGTAATATTAACACGCACCACACACACACACTTTCTAGTCAGCTCCCGTTATCCCATCCGAAAGTAGGACAACCGTACCAAGAAGCCAAGGTCAACAGGGAAAGTAAGTGATGATGATGATGGCTAGACCCATTTTAAACAAACATGGTAATGACTCAAAATTCATGCAAACATACCCAGTGCTTTACGCGTTGCTATCCCTATTGCCATTCTACTCGCAGCTTTGGGTTATCGATACTATTATGCATCTCAATAAGAACAATGAATCATTATTTTCTTCTCTGTGCTATACACAAAAAAAAGACTATGGATGGATAAAGGGAAGAAATCTAAAAGAAGCTACTGCCACCCCATGGGTTATTGTTGGTAGCGGTAGCGGCGGGGTTTTGCATTGTGGAGAAACCAGTGGGTTGATTAGCCATAGCACCAGCAAATGGCATCATATTGTTGGGTTGTTGTTGTTGTTGTTGCTGGGGTATCTGGGATGTCGAAGAAAATATGGATGGTTGTTGTGGCAATGTAGTAAATTCTGGAGCTGTTTGTGAACGTTGGGGCATTGCAAATCGGTTGGCGAAAACGTTGTTTGAAGTGTCATTGTTGCTGGTCATTTGTGAGAATGGATTCGATGGAGAAGGCATGCCGCCCATAGAATTATTCATGGCAGGTGATGGCATCCCTGTCAATTGAGGTTGTAGTGATGTTGCAGGAGAAGAAGTAGGCATTCCTGTAAGTTGAGGTTGTTGCAATGATCCATTGGATAATGCCATGTTTGGCATTCCCGTAAGTTGTGGTTGCATAGCAACACCATTTGTAGACGATGGCATTCCTGTCAATTGTGGTTGCATGGTTGCTGGCATTCCTGTCATTTGTGGCTGCAAGCTGCCGTTATTGAATGGTGTTGCTGTTTGATTTTGTGGCAATCCGGTAAATTGAGGTGCAAGTGACACTATAGCTTAAACGTTTAATCCATGACCTTTTGCTTTCTTCTCCAACCCCTATCCTATACTTACTCGTTGTGGCAGATGATGACATGGTTAAGCTCGTAGTAGCAGCTGAAGCGCCAAATGGATTAGTGGTGTTTTGTTGTTGTTGTTGTTGTGCAAAAGGAGATGGCTGAGATTGAGTTTGCATGTGGAATGGATTACTGCTGTTACTCAAAGATGATGACGATCCAGTATCCAAATCTAGTAGGACCCCTGTCTTGCCGCCAGATAATTTGTGTGCCTGGCGTTCATCCGTATTCTGTGCTCGACCAGCGAGATCTGAAGAAGAGGAATTGTTGGTACTAAAAGCAGCCATAACAGGTTCAGAGACTGGTTTCTTTGCATTCTCGAGGATGTTCAAAGCAACATCAAGGTTGCCACCCGAACGACGAAGTGCATCACGATTGGCGACCATATCGGTGTATCCAAGAGCATTTAATCGCATCAGCTTTTGGTCATCGGACATGTGCTGGCTTGATAAGATGGGCTTTTGTGCACCTGGCAATCGTGACAAGATATCCACGGCAGACGATAGATTGCCCTGTGTGTGCTTCAACACTTGTCGATTACGATCAATATCATTGAATCCCATCTCTCGTAGTTTTTCGGCTGCTGCTGAATAATCATCCTGATCACGTACAAGCACTGGCACTGAAGAGGATCGTTGAGGTAGACTATGTGATGCAGGTGTAGATGATGTCAATGTTGAAGCAGTGGGTCGTGCTGGTGGCTATAATCAAATGTAAGATAACTTGTATATGTAAAAGATCATCATCAACCATACCATTGCCGGTTTATCCATGAAAGCTCGCTTTTCCCACTTTTGACGAATGTATCGTTCCATAGCACTGAAATAGCACATGCCATCAGTAACGTTTCATTCTTCTTCTTCTCTCCCCCCAAGAAAGGAGATATCCATTATTGAGCTTACCGATCAGCATCATCGTCTGCCAAAGGAAGTGGGTGCTTGTCTGGATGAGGATTCACGGTTTGGTTCACCTTGTCGTTACCACCACCTTTGCGCATCATCTACCGTTGCCATGTCAACAACGTTTCCTCGATCCCAAAGTCCTTCATCCTTACATCAATCTGCTCTAGCGACCACTCGTCCATAGTAACGGACTTTACACGCGAGATGTGTGTACCCATTTTGCGATGAAGACCGGCACATCGTATACACAAGAATATACCGAGAGAGTAGGATGCCCATCGAGGATCTAATGGGTGGATGGGTCAACAAAGGATACCATTGACCGCCAAGTCGACTTACTCCTTGCTTTGCAATCAGCACAACGGTCGTTACCCGGGAGTTTGAGCAGTTCCAATAGCATCCGTTCATGACGGCCCTGAGTAGCTTTCGACTGACGCTCGGGCATTTTGTTTCAAGTATGAGATAAGAGTGAAAGGGAAAATGCTGTAAACGGAGGGAAAAGACCCAAGAAAGTAAACCTAATTTCGGTATTTATAGTTCCACCTCTCGCACTTACCACATGCATATCATGTTGTACCAAGTCGTCAAAAACCATCCATCTTAATCAGGAAACCTCACATGCTGCTTGATGAACCATCATCTCTTCGTCTTTTTCCCCTTCATCGGTCTTGTATATACCTAAACGATCTCTTTACTTGTCAATACACAACAAAAAAACAATCATTTATTAAACTACTCATATTGTCAGAGGTGCTCTTCCTTTTGGCTCATGTACCGACTACTTTTCTTTTCTTGTATTCAACCTCATTTTTGTGTTTTCGTGTATGTTGTATATGTTCAGGCATGTTCTTTCTGGTTACTTGATCCTCATTTAAACACGTCAACTCAATGAACACGCATTTTCAGTGATTAGTATATAAGAGTAATAAATGGGTACTAGGGGCATGTCTTTTGTGTATTGCAACTATCGCATGCATGCATCCAACAACACTTTGAAAGAGCATTTCTTTGAGATCCACCATTGCGGAATTCCAATTTGCTGACTCTACCCCAAGCCAATCATTGACAATGCAAAATCTGAATTACACTTTCACCCAAATCACCAACGATTGACCTTCCCTATTGACCTTTTAATCATACCATTGCATACAGCGTCTACTCCGCTACAACATGACGTTTGTTTCATCTTCTTACGATAACCTTTTTGCACCCTTTTCACTTACCATATATGGAACTTTAGTGGTATATATATGCACCCGCGCGTGAAAAAACAAGGAAGAAAGCAACAGACCATCTCGGATAGTATAGTGGTCAGTATCCCCGCCTGTCACGCGGGAGACCCGGGTTCAATTCCCGGTCCGAGAGCAACTTTCGCGATCAATTCGCTTGAATTTCTTTTATTTTTTGGATTTTGGTGTGGTCACGTGACTCTAGATCGTGTGGAATCCTATGTCTATGAAATAAAGTGAATGCGATGATAAAGGTCATACTACAAGTACTCTATAAGCCATCAATGCATTAGTATTGTAGATGATGTGAGTAGTTATCCACTCGGTCTTTGTGGAATAAAGCAAACGCATATACACATGCGAGATGTGATGTTAATAGACGAAAGTTACATGTAATAACGTAGTAAGGTAAAGGGCCAAAAGGAAATACAAAGCAGCATTACGACAGCGTATTAATGCACTTGTATTACAAACTTAATCAGTAAGGTTATGTAATTCCATAATCAATGATAGAGCCGCTTGGATGATAAAGGAAGGAGTAGTAGTAACAAGGTCATGGATGTATAATTATACGATAGAACAACATCATGTCAAAAGAAGACATCGACTTTTTAATGAAATCTTTGGTATACGTATTATAGGATACATGCACATCTATCACATTCATTCCATTTGTATGCATTGATAGCTAGGAAACACCAATTCGTCATCGAGCATTTTGCGTAGCTGATCCACAATGAACTTTTCAATCTTTCCAACATTCTTCAGGACTACATGAAAACATAAATGCGTCAATGGAAAGTAATAAAGATGGGTTGCGATGACTTACCTTGCTTTTGTTTATCACCAACAACAGATTCGATATGTACTTTACGTAAAAGACTAAGGATGGTGATTAGAACAAAAATAATCTCCCCCTCATGATCCTGTACACGTACCTTTCCAAGCTGACATCACGACCGCTACTAGGATGAACGTCTGATAACTCGGGTTCCAACATTGATACACAAACACGATTCATGCTTTTGATGTATGCGACGACTGCTGTAGCTTCAAACTCGACACTTTTCACACGTAGTTGTATTGGGAGGCTGATGAACATCATGCTTGGATAATTCATGCGTAGTTCAGTCAATAAAGTCATGCTCATATCGCCCTTGTAAGAAATCAGCATGGATGCTTGGAAATCCATCTCGGTAGGATCCTGATGTAAGCGTGCCGTTGGTTTTGATTGGCTATTGCTGTTCACTGATGGTGGAGGAAGAGGTGGTTGTTCATCATCGTCGATCCAATCTTGGATATGATGGGCTGTACTATTGGGTGCAGTTTCATCTGTATTCGTGGTTGTTGTTGTTGTACTAAATGTATGCGGTGGTTCATGTGTGGGCGTGGTTGGTGATGAGAAATAAGGAAGATGTTGTGGTGGCGAATAATGACTTGCGTGAAATGGATGTTGTGGTGCAACGAAGGGTGAACGATGGAACGAGTGTATTAGGTTGAAGCGTTGTTGTTGTGAAAGAGGATTGTTGAGTGATAACCTTGCCGGATGAAAATTCCTGCCATAGAGCTCACTTGACGGCGACATGAGCACTGACGGTGGTGCCGGTGGACTGGAAGGTGGTACACTACTCGATACCCCATCGTCATCGATGGCATCAGAATCGTCGTTCTCAGGCTCGTAGAATTCAGGAAAGGGATCGGTAATGTTGGTGATCTCGATTTGTGGTGCTTCTGTTCCCCATTCGAAGGCTGTAACTTCAATGTCTCCAATAAATGTTGGCTTGGCAATGCTCTTAAAGTGTCGATTCAGAAACTGTTGCACGTGTACAGCAAGTTCTTGGTCAAGCTTTGACCACTCGATATCAAGGGACATGGATAATGGATGTGCTGGTCCCTGGTCTCGTGATAATGTAAAGAAAGGAAAAAGAAGCGGGGAGACAATATGCATGGTTGACTTGAAATTCACTCGTACAACACCCACATCCTACAAGACCATGTATGCCATGTGCCATATTCTTTATCCATCAATGGTCATTAAAATGCTACTCATTGTGATGGCTGTTTTATACGTTTGCCGTTGTTCATGCACCACGCGTGTATAATAAACAAAGATGCGCATTGCAGCTAATTCTGGAAAGGCGCTACATCCATCACTCCCCATGCCTGAGCTATGCTTATCGACTATGAAGATGCCAATGACTTCTCTTTTGAAACGAACACTGACGCAGCCATCCATGAGCAACGTCTTATTTCGTGGAACTTGAGCACTGTTAGTGATTTGAGTGGATGACCTTGTCTATCATCTCAGATCCTGATTTATGCAACATGCAAAATCAATCACCCCAAAGCTCCCTGTAAAAAAGGCTTACCATCAATCTATCACCTCATCATCATTCTCAACAGACATTTTATTACTCTTTGTGGTCACAGAAATACCCAAGCCAACCGTGCAGATATAAACAAGATGGATGTAGTCCCCCATCCTTCTTCCTATCATATCCCTCTTTGATTGCTGACAATCTTCAAAAGCCCTTGGTAAGTGCCATCGTGGATTGTCCTCTTGTGAATGATCCATGTACTCATATTTGTGATGATCTTTAGTCTTTCATTGTTATCCTACTTTCATTGTCTTTGTTGTCATTGTGATATTTGGCTCTTTTATCAAGGTAAATCCTAACCCCTCGCCTGATGGAGCATGTATTCATATACATATCATGTACCTTTTGATGTAGCTACCTCGTGAGATTCGCCTGAAAAGTTGGATTAGTTGGCACGTTGTACTACAGCCAGCATGGGGATGATGTAAAGGTTTCGTTTGAAAATTGTACCAAGGACCTCCAACTTGTGTATTTTCAAACGCAAAGCACTCTATCTTTCATGTTCATTTTCTATCGCATCACGACCAGGTGAAGATTGTTGTATTGAGATGTACTTATAGCTGATATGGCAACATCCATTAGAATCCGTATGCATCAAAGCAAATGGCTACACGTGAATAAAAGCTGTTTCTATACAATGATCATCTGTTTATTCACGTAAAAGGCACGTTGCTGCAAGTATATCGAGACAATGGAGTAAAGAGCTTGCTAAGGGCAACTGCTATTACGTTTGGCTGTGGCAGAGGCGTGCGCAAGAGTGTGTGTTATAGTAGAGTGACAAAGTTGTGAACGCTGCTTGAGACAACGTAGTAAAGACCTCGCTAATAGCAACGGCAGGAATGAATGCTGCTACGCTTGATCGTGGAAGAGAGATGTGCAAGAGCGTGTGTTGTGTCAAGAGACTTGTGTGTTGTAGAAGAGTGATAAGAAGGCTGTGTACACGCCATGGGCTTGCCATTCAGTCAAAGACAATCGGATCAAGCGAGTTGTAGGATTGACATGATGGGTTGAAGCAGGACAATCGTTCGCAGGTGGTAATTGCACTTGAATGGAGCAACAGTTGAGAATGAGAGGAAGGGGGAAGAAGCTGGGAGTGGAAGACCTGGAAATTAACTTGATGATTCTGATGTTGGATGATGTTTCTTTGTTTGAGCGTTTTTCAGTCAAATCTCATCGGATCAAGAAAGTTGAATGATGGGCATGCTGGGCTGGAGCAGGACAATCGTTCGTATGCATTGGATTGGTCAAGAATGGAGAATGGGAGGACTAAGGTTATTAGCTGGCATTTTGAACTATTCCTAAATAGCGTACAAGAATCATGCATCGCCTATGCTGAATGACTCAAGTTACACAAACACGCCCTCTGCATCTTTTGCTCTATTTATAGTCATACTACTTTACATTAAACAAAGGCCACTTCTCATATAGCATCACGCTTACAAACATAAAGGTGCCTGTATCTCCAAACTTTACAATGAAACGCGGGGTTTTGAATAGAGCAATGGGCTTGGCTTGGCCAACAGCACCTTGTGTGAAAGTTTCACGTTCAATGTCGCAACTAGCCCAAAAAATATTTTTTGGTGGTGGTCGTCGTCGAAGAGGTTGAGCCCCGGATCCAGTTTGGCTGGTGGCGACATTGCGAAATCTCGGATTGGCCACGATGGACTTGAAACTTTCACACAAGGTGCAGTTGACCAAGCCGAGCACATTGCTCTAATAAAAACGCCACGTTTCATTGTAAAGTTTGGAGATACAGGCACCTTTATGTTTGTAAGCGTGATGCTATATGAGAAGTGGTCTTTGTTCATTGCCAAGTAGCTAGACCCTGGAGAGCCAAAGATGCAGAGGGTCGTGTTGTGTAACACAGCTACGTTTGCATGAATGAAAGGGTCAATGTATAATTACTTTATGGATCATCTAGGAACAGGCATGTATTGCTAGCTAACGGCCACCTTTATCCAATCATCATTGTTGCGAGATCCACTGCATGGGGACGATGCCCCTGCTCTAGACATTCATTTCCATGATTAAAGTAGGTTGATCCGAGCCGATTTGACTGAGCTGTGGTCAAAGAGAGATTACATCACTCTGGACATAAAGCACGCTCGATGTAGCTCAACCGATGTAATCTTGCGTGAGCGTAACTCAACCAAATCAGCTCGGATCAACCTACTTTAATCATGGAAATGAATGTCTAGAGCAGGAGCATCGTCCACCTACAATAGAATGCACAAAAGCTGGGAATGCACAAAGTGGCCGTTAGCTGCCAATGTATGACATAAAAGTGAGGGTTGCGTACCTTTCATGCATTGTCCCTGAAGTCCTGACTTTTTAGCTGAGTTACCCAAAGAGGTCCTTCTGCATCTTTGGCTCTCCAGGGTCTAGCTACTTGGCAGTGAACAAAGACCACTTCTCATATAGCATCACGCTTACAAACATAAAGGTGCCTGTATCTCCAAACTTTACAATGAAACGTGGCGTTTTTATTAGAGCAATGTGCTCGGCTTGGTCAACAGCATCTTGTGTGAAAGTTTCAAGTCCATCGTGGCCAATCCCAGATTTCGCAATGTCGCTACCAGCCAAACTGGATCCGGGGCTCAACCTCTTCGACGACGACCACCACCAAAAAATATTTTTTGGGCTAGTTGCGACATTGAACGTGAAACTTTCACACAAGGTG